AAATGCATGCCCGGGCAGTAGCAGGCTAGCGAGCCTGTGAGCCTAGGCTGAGGCTGGACGGGCGATATTTTATGTCTGTCCGAGCCTCGCCCTTTTCCGGTAGCCGGGACCTGATGACTGTGAGGGCGAGCCTCTTCCCGTTCTGGGTTGAAGTTTATTTGCCCACCCGCCCTCCCGGTTAGTTTTACGAGATGAGCCAGTGGTCTGGGTCGGTAGTTACTTCGGATGGGTCGCTGGGCCTCGCGCCGCTCCAATCTGTGTTGGGGTAGGACAGAGGTCGCAAGATATCTCCCACGGCGGGGGTAGGTGCTTCCAGGGCGCCTCCTCGTGCGACGCAGTGGGAGATGCTCCCATCGAGCGATCATCCATCGGGTGATCCTTCCGCGGTGACTGCATAAAATCCACCTCTGGCCCTAGTCCCTTATCTTTCGCGGCTAGTGCTGGTCTGCGGGTTTTTTTCCACCAGAAAGGCACGTCGACGTCGGGTGATGTTGTCCCCAAGCGATGAAGGACGAGGTATAGATACACTTCTAGACATCCTGTCCTCTACAATAAAATCCTATTCTATCATTAAACAGGCAACACTAGCAAGACGCCGGCGGCCGCAACGGGCGGGGCCGCGGCGCTCTCCGGGTCCGCGGAGAGCAACAAGCTGCAGAACTCCGGCGAGCAGCGAGAACAGCAGGCGAAGGCCGAGAGTGAGCAGAAGCAGCGGGAGCAGCAGGAGGCGTTTGCGAAGGAGATCGACAAGATGCGGGGGGATATGGAGAGAAAAAAGTTTATCACAGTCACTAATTTGCAGGGTTTGCATTAGCATCACAAATTTTCCTTGTATTGCAGAAACACTAGGGAAATCCCTAATAAAGTTTGGCTGTGATGCATTTTTACGCATGACAAACAGTTTTGTATTGCAAAAATGCGCATGAGTGATCGTGACGAACTTTTTTTGTTTGATAGGGGATCTGGCGCAGCTGCGCCAGGAGCTGGGCGCGGAGATCACGCGGCGCGAGGAGGCGGAGCTGGAAAGCGAGTACAAGGACCACAAGGTCCAGGTGGCGGAGTCGCGGTGCGCGAAGGCGGAACACGAGAAGAGAACCGAGGAGCTGAAGGCCAGCGAGATGCAGCGCTGCCTCGAGTTGCTGCAGGAGGACGTGGTGAAGAAGACCCGGGAAGTTGAGCTCAAGTACCTGGAACAGGAGCGCAGGATCGCCATGCAGCAGGAGATGTACTCGAAGATGCACCGGCTGCAAAACTTCCTGCCCCCGAACATCATCCAAAAAAGTTTCCTCTCGGATATGAATATGTGAGCCGCCGCTATTATGGCGGTGGAACGACGGAGTCGGAAGGGAATGGTTGACCTGCGAAAGGTAAAAGAATGCCACGGAAGACTGCTAGAATTACAACCGGCAGATAAAATAAAAGATGACCACTGGAGGTGGACGCTGCTTGGTTCTAAGCTGTATTTCTTGGTTCAAGTTGAGAAGTCTACTCATCTTCTTGTTTTCCATTCTTGGGAATAAATCAGGTGAAGTGCAATCCAAAAAAGTCATGGGCCCTCTCTGCTTCCCTTCTTCAACTTATTTTTGCTCGTAGTTCTAGATCTAGTTCTTCTTCTTCTGTATTTGTTCACACGTTGTGGATTCCTGGCGAATCCACGGGCACGGATTTATTTATAGTTCGTTGCGTAAAAAACTGTTTCATGCTCCTTGTACAAGTGGTCACAAACACAATCTATAAAACTAATCGGCACTAATGTCTAGAACAAAACAGTAAATAGGCACTCAGGTTCTGTGGACCTGCCCCTTTGATCACACGCAGAGAATAGTAAAACACGGAAACAGTTTAGTTCATCGGATTTCTGTACGATACGTCGCTTGGAGGTCAAAACATTTGTTTCAACATTCATTTTCCCTTATTATAAAAAACCAAAACAAAAAAAAAACCGAAGTACATTCACACAGCAGGACTTTTTCACTCCTAGCTTCGGCAACAAAAATGTGTACTAAAAAAAGTCGAAGATACACGAGAACTTCATCACTTTTACATTTTTGGGTGTCAGCATGAGCATGAAGGATTTGATTGCGCACATTGGAATCAGTCGTCTACAGGTTTCTTGTACAATGTGAGAATCAGGATACCGCATCGTGTTCGTGACGCCGTCCTCTCGTCGGATCGTCTAGCTAGAACGCTTCCACCAGGGGACAATAAAGGGATCCGTACCGAACGTAATCGAACTTGTGATGCTGAGGTTGATGCAACGTCAATGACCGTAGAGGGACTAGAATGCCGCCCTCCGTCGTGTTAACCCTTGCCACAACAGCGGTGCTCGTGTATAAGTCTCAAACTTTCGCCGGGTGTAGGGTAATGGCGTGTTCTCACGTCGGAGAGGCGACCACACTTCCCCCTCCTAGTCGTGTGCCAGGCTGCGAACTGATGTAAACCCGCTCCTGTCTATCGAGGAATTGAGTAAGAGGCAACGCCAATCGCCACCTATCTAAAGACTAAAAAGCTGACTCTCAAACCCGAACTCAAACTGGCACTCGCATTTTGATCTATGGCACTGGTAGTCAATGTCTATAAGTACTTACAAGAATAAGACTGTGTGTGGGTGCTGTTGTTTCACTGCAGATTGTTTCACTGCAGAGCGAAAGCGATGTCTGGATGTTGTAAGTAGCCATGATCCACTTCCACCAGCACCAGGACGATTGGTCATTTATGAAGCTGATAGACACAGATCGACAAGAAAAGATTCAGTTTCAGGTGCAGGAGATGTCAGAGATCTGTCCAGAGCCAATTTTTGGGGAGTCAGAAGCATTCGATTTTTGAGGACAAATGTTCGGTCAGGTCCATTTTGTGTCAACAGATCCATCATGAAAAAAAAGGAAACAAATAAAAGATCAACATCGAGAAATTCATCAGCATCAAATGAGTATTGTCCACGATCGAGGAGTCGATCATACCTGATGAAGATCAGCATAGTCCAAATTCTGGATGGCTATGAGAGTGGAAACAAGGCGATCTACAGTTTCGAGTTTGTAAGTGCGATTTTTTTGTCAGGCGCAAGTCTGCGAAATTTCATGTCAAATCAAATAACTCGGTGACTTTTTTTCTCAGCACGGCCAGAATTGAGGCCGGGTCAGAATTCAGATGAGCGGGGAGCTTTTTTTTCTGAAAGTTTGATGCTGTGCCTTGCATAAGTAAGTAAGTGATAGCCTGTTAAGATGCACAGACATGTTAGTGCTGTGTAAAATTCAACGTAAATAATCCGCAACAGCGACCGCAGTCCCCTCAAGATTCCCTTTTAGTCATCCTTGCCCGTATTGGAATTTTCTGTTACGTATTAAATAAGTATTTATACGTAGCAACATTTAATCGGAGGAGCCAGCGTTTTCTTTGTTCTCTAGACTTCTGCAGAGCCCTTTGTGCTGCACAATAAAGGCAAACAAACTGAGTTCGTAAACATTTTTTCTTCCATTTATCATTTTCTTCTCTGAGCTATTCAAGTTTTTCTGGTGTAATTTTCAGTTGGTTGCACAACTAGAAAAAACAAAAAGCCACAGCTCCAATAAATAAGTACTCATTTCTCTTTTAAATCTACTTCTATAATGGGGGACAATCTCGACTGGCCGGGCCTCCTTGCCTGGTCCACGAAGTACCACGATGGCACTGCGCCGTCCAAGTTTGGCCTGATGAGCGACGAAGACAAGGCGTTTCTGCAGAAGGCCATGGAGGACGCTTTCAGTCGGATTGAGGATATGAATCAGGTGTTGAACGACGGACTGAGAAAACTCGAGTCAGCAACGGACTTCCAGGTATTTCACTTCTATGTATCAGAGCTTTTTTACAAGTTTCTTTCACGACACTGACACCAGAGCTCGCCGTGCGTCCGTCTCGGCATGAATGTTTTGTTGAAGGAAGTTGTACTTATATCTAGTGAGGTCACGATACTCATAGTTGAAAGATTGTTGCACAAAACACAACGAAGATTGTTGAACAAAACAGACTCTCGTAACCGCGTTGGAGATCATCGAGCGGTGCGTCGATGATCCAGACTGCGCTCGGAATCTGGAGAAGCTGAATGGGATCAGTCCGCTGCTGGACAAGGTTTTCCACGACAATGAAGAAGTCTCCGACCGGTCCTGCAGCATTCTCAGCATGATGCTCGCGAACAACGACAGTCTGCAGTTGACGGCGGTGAAAAAGTACAACGCGCTCACGTTTCTCCTGGCTCATCCGCAAACGCTTGCCTCCAAAAAGAAGATCAAGCTGCTGGCGGACATCGTGCGCGGCGTGGAGGAAATAGAGGAACTGTTTCTGAGGTCCAGCGGCCCCGCAAGCCCGATGAAAAAGCGTGCTGTGGGAGCGGCTTGTGGCAGAAATGAGGTTGAGGATGCAAATCATACTAGTAGTGCAGCTCTTGCAGAGGATCCAAGTGGAGTGGCGTTTCTGTGCCAGGTCTTCGACCCAGAATTTTTCCTTGTCGCGGCAGGATCGACTTCTAAGTGTAAGTCCGACAGCATTCGGGCCGTGCGCGAGCGCGCAGTCACTTTTCTTCGCCATTTGCTCGCGGAGAAGCCCGCACAGCGGGTGGCGCACGCGGAGAAGGCACTGCAAGCCGGTCTGGTGCACGCGTACGAGGAGCTAGATCAGGTTGAACAAATAAGCGAGCCTAGTGCAGCGCTGGCAGCTACCGGACAACAAGTTTCCCTGCAATACACGGAGAACCTGGCGCAACTCACCCATATTGCCGTCAAGGAGAGCGCCGTGGTCAAAGCAGGGGTGCAAGGGCTTCTGAAACAACGACTGGAAAATTTGCTGCGCTCCGGACCCGCGGTAGTTGCCGACTACGGCATTGAGATTGAGGATCTGAAGCAAATCTTAGCGACGCAACCTGCAAGAATGTAACAAAAGGAAAGCTAGTATAATAGTGATAGGTACTTCTACCTTGAAACTTCAAGAATTTTGCAAAAACGAATTTTTCTGTTACATCACATGAAAAAAAACTTTCCGTACATAATAATAATAATGAACACACGACTGATTCTTGCCTTTGCTTCTACCGAGCTAAAGGGGAGGGTATGAGGCAGAAAAGAAGTGAAGTGATGCTGATATCTTTGGGCCGCTGGGCACACCTGTGACTGTATTCACTACACTGTACCACACTGCTCCTGCTCAGGTGCAAGGAAGGAATCCACAGACTGCTGAAGTACTGCTGCGGCTCTTCGCTATTCCCTGCTAGAAAATGACCTACTACCAAAAGAAGTACCCTCACACGACGACCCCGCCGCGCGATTACTTCACTAGAAGTGAAATATTAAGATACGAGTATACAAACTTATCACGACTGCGTGGCGCCAATCGCGAGCTTGCGTGAAGCCTCTCAGCGAAACGTGTGGACATTGCGTGTTCATCGATTGCGCTTGTTGCTCCTAGGCTCCTGCCGGGTCCTCCGTGCACGACATTTTTCTGTCAATTTCGAGGCAACGGTAACAGCAAGTACACCGAAAAAGTTGTTTTTCGCGCCCACCAAAGTGCTCTACGTCTACTTTGTCGGTTGGGGCAATGGATAATGTTTAACGAAAGGCGGTGCAGGACCCCAAGGGCGCTAGGCGGTGCAGGACCCCAAGGGCGCCACATTATCAGTGATGCTGTACAGGCCCCCTAATTCTGGTGGTATATTACGGCCGCAAGAGCAAACTAGATCGTAGATCCACTTCGTCCACATGCATTTTTGCCCATGATGGATGCAGATCAGGCACGGTGCGCGACACGACACGTTCGCTCTGCTGAGGTAGAGCCAAGATCAGGCTGTCACCAGCAAGAAAATATTGAGAGCCGAAAGAACACTGCACGCACAGTTGTAGAGCAGGATCAGAATTTGTTGCAGATGATGAAGTGAGTGTTGTCATCTCCAATTGTATTGGGTCCTCAGATGTAATTCTGATCGTGTGGCGCTGGCGGCCACAAAATGGCCACTGAGAGAAACGAAAATGACAGTTCTTGTTTCATCAGGTGCAAATTATACATTGTGGTTCTTGGTCGTGGTGTGTGTCTGCTCTACTCAGATCAATTTAGTAGAGCATCAGTACTGCTGGAGCCTAACTTCAGCGCTTCCTGCTGATCATTGAAAATAATAAGCACAGCCCAGCGTGCTCTCTTGCAAAGATTGCTTGACCAAACAGGAGGCATCCCCGTCGGCCGCAAAGTAGTCGTATGCTGGCTCAGCTCGGCTCTGCGCGGTCATATTCGCTAAGAAATTTGAAAGTGAAACAGATATGACAGTTGGTGCTTGACCTAGCGTCTTCAGTATCAAATACCGCATGAAGCTTGCTTGAAATAGCACTAAGTAACAGATGATGAAAATGATGTTGAACAATGTTGAAATATAAACGTAAAAATCACTCTCAAATCACAGCATCTGAGATTGCGTTGCCGCCTATGAAGCATGTGGCCACAAGTAAATCAGATGTCCTCATCTGCACTAACGCAGTGAATGAGTTGTGAATGTGATATGTGAATGGCGCTCCATGCATTGGCTTGCGCACAAGCTTCATTGACTTTTGAAACGAAACAGTGGACCACGGCAGAAATGCGGCAGATGATGACTCCTTTGCAATTCGTTTCTCTTTAATTAAAGGCACTCACTCTTTGAATACTTAGACATACAACTCCCACTGCATTGGTAACCGATACCTTTATCGCTCGTCGCGTTGAGGGTTTTTCCTTTATTTCGCGAGTATGATTTTTTTGTAACGTTGGCCCCGCAAGTGGATTAGTGAGATTGACAAGACAATGGGCCAAGGGACAGTCTACACCAGGTTTCTCTGCTCCTATCCGATAAGAAAAGATGAATTCAGTATTGAAAGAGCATAGAGCTCGTCCTTTGTAGTTGACTGAAGCAATTTAAATAAAGCTAGCTGGTCTGGATTCCGATCGGGAAGGATGCTCTAACTCGATAGAAAAGGATGATTTTTTTCAGGTCCTCGACCACACTGAATCGAATCTGTCGCCGACAGTCTGCACCAGAAAAAAAAAGTGCGCGACCACACACTCCAGCTGAGTTGACAGGACGAGGGTACTGCTAGCTTGTCAGTGGAGATGATTTCGTCGCCGTCCTGATCTGTACTGGTGCAAATTATAGTCAATATTTCCATTTGATGGACATGGACTTGATTGTGATTTCACACCACAGTACTCTTCCTCATGGTCAGTGTCGCCTCATCCCTTATCCCTTCGACGTCTAGTGGTCCGTAGTTCCGGCGGAATGTAGTTTCTCCTTCATGCAACACCTAAAACAAAGACGAACCAGAAGAAGAAAAGCTATCGAAGGCAACTGGACAAGAAATCATACTCGTCGTGGTAAAAGTTGGTATTTTCGATTAGAGATAAAATTAAAAAGTTGTTTTTTCATATGCTGAAGCTACATGTCCTTCTAGAAGAGCCTCGCTTTTAATACATTTCTGTGTCTTGCAAGGGCGTCTCCTACTTTCTTCCTTTATTCCTGGCATTCTACAACACGAAAGTCCAAGTCGTCGCCGGTGGCTTTTACTGTATGAGTATGAAAACCCAGCACCGCAGAAGAATCGGCACTGCAACCTAGTACCCCGTCAAGAGACGAGACGAGAGCAACTGACGCAAACCGGACTATTCGTTGGTTTAAAACTGACTCAAACCGGACTATTCGTTGGTTTATTCATCTGCACCTCGAAAAATAAGTACTAAGAAAGGGATAACTATTTCAATTTGTTTTAAGTAAGCATATTATCGGACGCCGGACACAGTGCTGTGATAAATCACGTTCACGACCTTCTTTGTTCTTGCTCAGCGCTTTGCGCCGAAAGACAGATTTTCGCGAAGGTTTGGATGTATTCGGCGAACCACTACAGAACAGACCAGCTGATCGAACGAAGCCCAAACTTGTTGTAAGTCCGGATTCAGGATGAGTACCATGGCGGCGCTGGCACAGGAAGAGCTGCTAGAAGCACGACCTCCCCAAGAACTACATCAATACCCCGGCGGCGACGTGGACGGTGGAGGCACATTAGAAGTACTGGAACAAGCTGGTGCAGGTGCGGACGAACTTTTGCGTAGCATGGACCTGGCAGCTGCGGCGGGCGGTCTAGAACGCGACGAGGCTTCATCGCTTGGGCTGGGTGCCGCACCGGAAGCGGGACATGAAAATGCAGCGCCGCCTACTGCATCGAGCACCACCAAACATGGGTTTTCATCTCACATGAGCAGGCCAGCGAAGCAGCCACCCCTTGCAACCACGGTGGCAGGTGGAGCAGCGGCCGAAAATGTGGCACCACAGGATCAACATCATGGTACTCGCTCAGGTGGGGTTCCCCCTTCAGCAGCAGCAGACCCGCCAAAGGCCGCGCCGCCAAATCCAACGAGCGGGGGCGGGTTCGTGCACATGAGTGCTTTCGCCAAACCACGCAAGAACCGACTGCCGGTGGGATCGCCGCTGCACGGTCCTCTTGCAGGAGCCGGGACCACAAGCGGTGTCCTACTTCCCGGAGCAGCGGAAAGTAGCAGTACGGGGCCTATGCAAATGCAAGTAACGCAGCAGCTGCAGCTCAACCTAAACCCATTGGTGGTGCAGCAGCATCATGATCCACACCAACTTAATCAACAGCCAGCCGGGAAGATGAATATCGCCAACTCATCAAGTAGTACAACTGCTGGACCTGGACGACTAGGCATTCCCCCGACCACCAGCTCGAGCGCCGCGAATCTGTTTGTATCAAATGCAAATATATTTGTCTGGAGCGTCTGGAAGAGAAGTGCACATGCACTTAGTGCCTCTCTGTCTCTGTCATGCATCTCCTGCAACAGAATCAGAAAGATAAGATGGTCTGGTATGCACGCAAAGTGTTTTGACATCTAGTATATCTAGAGGCTTTCAAGATACGAATGGTTGCTCCTGATGCCTAGTTGTACCCCACACCATCAGAAATAGATTGAATTCGCTCTTGATGCAGAAAAAATTTGATCTTGGCAGCGTTTGGCATTGACGCAATGCAGATTTTTGGTGCCTACGGCTGCTCGAGATCTGGCATCTTCACAAGTTGGAGCTCTTCCAGAAGGCCCAGATCGATATTTGCAATGCATAGTTTGCACCGAATAGCAATACGCGAATGCCCCCACGTCTGCAGATACAGCAGCAAAAGGGCGGGGGTGTCGTGTCATACCTTGGAGGCGTCGGAGTTGGCAAGGGTGCAGCGACGTCGTCGTCGTCCGCTTCTAGCTATAATTTTCTGCCCTACACTGTCCTCCGTAATAGCACTCCTGCAGGAGGTACTACAACTACAGTATCGGCACAGAAAATGTCGGCAAAGAACGTTGCTAACGCGCAAGGCCTGGGTCGTGCGGCGAAAGGCGTCGGCAAAAATGGCAGGGGGCACGTCCAGCAAACTACTGGTAGTCACTGTTTCATCATAAACTTTCTTGTGAAGAGCGTTTGTTGCTCATTTATTGCCCACTTTTCGTCCCAATTTGTCCTTGTCGTCTGATTTTTATCGAAGAGCTCTGGCCTACGCCTATGGCACTGTGTTTGGAATATATTTGTGTCGCTGCACCTACCAATGCCAATGTATCCACGGAAATTTGCGAATTCGATCGTGAAGTGTTTGGGTTTACTTCGCGATCATGAAAGTTGCATTTAATGTACGAGGTACAGTATCAGTAACAGTCAGAATCAGAAACAGTATCTATCTATCAGTTCTTGGACACGAGGACATGCATCTTCTCCTTGTTCTATTCTAGGTCTTCTCGCGAACCAGCGTCAGCTGCGTCCAGATGCCTTCGGGCGCAACCAGGTTTCCACAAAAATCAATCCCGCGGCGGCGCTTCCGCACAGAATTTCCACACTGACAACCCCCCGTCCTGCACAACCCGGCGGCCTACCAGGTTATAAGCTCGGCGGGCAACTACAGCTAGTACCCGGGGGGGCCCCCGCTAGTACATCAACGGCTGTCCCAGCTGGCCACCATAAAAACAAGCGTGTGTTGCGTTCGCAAGTCGCGGGGAACAAGGGGATCCCTGGCGGACCCGAGCCCCACTTTATGCAGCTGGGCAAAAACGGCAAGCAGATCGAGACCCAGCCCACGGTGCTGCCCGTGCACAAAACCTCCAACTTGAAACTGACGGAGGTGGCGAAGAAAGTAAGAAAGCGCCGCGACGCCGAGGGCAGGCTGGAGCTCGACCATAGCAGGCATTGGAAGGATAAGCTGGTCGACGCAATAAACTGGCTGAAGAAGCAAGAACCACAGGAAGTAGACCTTTCTGGTACAACGAGACTAGTATCCTTGGCATATTTATTTAATACTACAAGAAAGCTGTTTATGTCTTCCTTGTCCACGGTGTGAATTTCAGAGATCGAGTCGAAAGGACTAGCGTGGCAGGTCGAAGACACGCTCTTGAGTCACTGTGGTGAAGAGAGAAATTGTAGTTGACCCTTAAGACGCACGTACACGTATCTATAGGATTTCTTTCAGCTGATATGACCACAATGGACGAACACTCGCGCCGTTGCGCCCATCAAGAATGAAAATGAAAAGCACATTAAACATAAAGCTGCCCCAGGAAACGAGATGAAATGATTCCCGAACAACTGCAGGTCTGGCTGATGACGTGCGGGCAACGATGACAAAGACGAAGTTCAACGCCGCCCAATTCTTCTCCGAGTTGCCCGTCATAGAAGATTACCCTGAGATGCAGCTGGATGAAAACGAGAACGACGAAGAACCCCCAGCGCAGAGCAAAGCCGCAGACCCTCAAGATCAGAACGCAACTGCCACCGTGGACGTCGTTGCACAAGAAAACCAGGGAGACACGCAGGAGCAAGACAAAACCGACGCTGCACCTGCTTCGGGCGAGGATAATCAAGCTATCGAGAAGATGAAAATAACCTCCGCAGATGATGGTGAGGATATCATAGCGACAGCTGCAGAACGAGAGGACGTGGGTCTGAATGCGACCGGCGTCCCCGCCGGGGCCAGCATTGTGGAGGCAGGCACTAGTAAAGATCCAAAGAGCTCCTGCTGCGCAGAGGAGGACGAAGAAGTCAAAGCCGACAGCGACAAAAAGGGTGGAATTGTACCAGCACAACATCAAGAAGGAGGAAAAAAGAGTAGGCACAAGAAGTTCCACCAGTTTGACTGGAAGTGCCTTTCCCTGAATCGCATCGTCGAGAAGTTGCAGAACAAACAGCCGCAAATGGTGGTCGACACGTATTACCTAGTCGACGCCGTCAAACGCGATGTTCATATGATCCAGACGGAGATGAGCCGGGTGTTCGGATTGAACCACCATCGTCAGTACATCGTCCACCTTGCTTGCGAGTTGTTTGAGGAGCTGGAATTCTACGCCGCCGACATTTATCAGCACGAGCTGAAGCTCGGCCAGCAGAAGCGCGTGGCCAAGGCACAGAAGGAACAGGCCGACTTTCAGAAGCAGGAACTCCTTGCGCATCAAAACTACCTGATGCTGCAGCTGCAGCAGGATCAACATCTTCACGCGACGAAGCAAGCTGCAGCGGTAGCACCGGCGGGAGGCGCCACTTTGCCGCTGCAGTTCCTCTGTCCCCCCGGTGCGGCAGCCGCGAATGGGATACAAGTCGTTGCTCCCCTTCCCGCGGCTGCAAGCTCCGCCAATAGTAAACCCCTTGATAGGAGGTCCTTGAAACGGCCTGCATCAAACAGAAATAACGACGAAAAGACCCCATCCAGCTCGGACAACGCGTCTCTGTACGGCGCCCGCTCGAAGCCGAAGAAGGCGAAGCGCAAGGCGCAGCCGAAAAAGAAGACTAAGCAGGCGGAGCTGTTGACCGCGGCCGATGAGGATTTCTTCGCAAAGGACGCAGCCGACGACACCAAAGATCACGACGGCGATAAAAATAGCGCAGCTGCGTCGAGCAAATCCGAAGACAACAAGTCCTCTGTCGTTTCGCGGAAAAGCGCCAACAAGAGAGCGAACCCGAAGAAAAAGTCCGCGCCTTACCAGTTAGGCATTACAAAAGCACTTCTGCACTTCGTATAAATGCCAGGCCTGCCGCACTAGAGATCTGCCTTATCTATATCCACCTTGGCTAGCATGACAAAATCCACCATGTTTCTTCTTGGCCTTCTTGGGACAATTTGTAGTGCATAATAAGTATGTGATTTGGATTTGGGTTTATACTTGTGCGATACTTTTGTACAGGATACCAGTACAGCGGTAACAACAAGAACCTCGACAAGAAGATGTTGCTCAACCAGGCAAAGGGCGGGACGCAGCTCTCCGACTCCGAGGACGATTATGAGAGTGCACATCTCGCTCTCGTCCCCCTCACTTGGATGAAATTTCTAGCAACAGTTGCGACAACCTAAAAAGTGGCGCTTGGCCAGAAGTGAAGTAACTGTGGGCTGTAGGTCATTGTCGGCTTCCAGAACTTGTCGTGCAAGCACGGGCATCAAACTTAAAGGGCCCAGATAAGACTTGGCATTTTGCAAATGTAGCGCAGTCTGTTAAAGGATGACAAAGGAGGGGATTGTGGTTGTGCACTATCATAAGGATGAAGACAACGACAGGAAGTCCTCGGTGGTCGGGAAGAAGTCTTCCGCCGGCACGAATAAGTCCAACCGCAGAAAGAACTACGACCTGCGGATATCCTGAGTAAAAACGTACCCACACCAGAGTTGTAATGCAGATTTGCAAAGACCTGAAGACTTGGTATGCGCATCCCCATGAGAGCCATTCCCAATCGTGTTTTGGAATTTGTGACGCTGTGAACAGGATGAGCAGATGAATCTGTGACGCGGCTGCACTTGCTAACCTGCACTACACTGCATAGGGCATCTTGTCATGCGTGACTCCCAAAACTCCTAGGTTTGTGTTGCAAAATCCTCATCCTGACTCTGGTGTGGGGACGTTTTTACTCAGGATAGCGGAACCGCAGGACAGCGGATACCGTGCCGAAAGAGCCGCAGTACCCGCCAAGCAAGGGCGGGATCACGCCGCAGCTTCGCACGCAGACCGCGGGCTACTTCGGGGAGCTGAAGCCGGAGCATCAGGAGCTCATGCACGATTTCGTCCGGAACTGGCTTCCAAGTTACGACGAAGCGGAGATGGAGTTGGAGATCTGGGACTTCCTCCCCACCTACCAAAAAGCCTTCGCGGAACAGGTGAAAAAGTACCACCGACAGGCGCACCCGGAAATGCACAAGAAGCAGGCGTCGTCCAGCGTGGCCGGCGGGGCGGCTAGTAAAAAGAGCCGGCTTGGGGTTAACGCGGTCGGAGCACCAGGACAGGACGGAGCGGATAAGGTGCTTCACTTTTTATTTTCGCAATATTGAGAATATGAATTTGAATATCCATGACGTAGACTCATTTTCGAAGATTTCCGCTTTTTGGAATTGTTTTGTTGCAGTCGCCTCGTCCCCATAGGCGCCCTCCCCTGTGCGTCATCCCGTGCGGGGTTCGTTTGCGTTGTTGTGCCACGTCTTCACTTTTGCCTCTGCTCGACAACGTCATCATCAGTATCGAAATAGGTTTTCAACAAATTACAGCGCGCCCGCTACGCCAATGGCGAGCTCATATCCGACAACGAGTCCGGGTCCTCTTCCGAAGATGTCCTTTTTAACCAGAGAAATGCCAAGAAGCCCAAGCGGGTGGTGGACAGCGATTCCGACGACGACGTGCCGAAGTTCAACTTCCGCCCGAGGCCGGGGACCAGTGCAGCAAATGATGCCGTAGGCGGCGGGGGCAGTAAAGATTCTAATCATGTGACCAGCAACGCCGCGGATGATGTTGATGTTGCTCCCCTGATCGCCATGGAAGATGATGGCATGTTCGCAAACGTAATCCGAGAACAGCAGCAGCAACAACTGCAGCAGCAGCAACTGGAAGCCGCACAGAGTACTTCTTGGCTTTTTTTTTGCCCGATATTCTCGAGAATACACTCAGAAGTGCACAAAACAGCTTTGTAAGCTTGTTTATGATAAAGATAAATATATGAATAGCAACGTAAATAAGCACGACCACACTTGAAATGCTGAAGCAAATCCCTACAAGAACCCGTCTACTATTTTACAGGAGCAGCGTCCGCACAGCAATTGCAGCAGGCTGCAGCGTATCAAATGTAAAAATGTCTGGGTCTGGAAAAATTCACGTTTGTCATGCTTGTCTGGCATGACTCTTAAATCTGTCATGCACGTTACCCAAGAGCTCCGTTTTTCTGTGATGCAGAGGCACAGTTTGTCATGCAGAATAGGCAACACCTAGGAGCTCAGAAACTTGTCATGCTGAGCCAGCATTCGTAGCCTCATCATGAGACGCTACCCAGCATCACAAGTTTCCAGACCCAGACATTTTTTCAGTTGATACAGTGATGGCAGAGCAGAGCCTGCAGATGAATGGTGCCGGTAACCACGATCGAGGAAACGGGGTAGATGCTTTGTTCTCGGACAATGTGATGAACAACGACGCGGACTTGCAAGACATGATGGGTTATCCTGTGCAAAAGTATCGCACTCGTACTAATTGCAGTTGTGCATGACAAATTTCCTTTCCAAGGTAAAACAGCATGACAAATGCAATTCTTTATGCTGTTAAAATTTGCAATGCAATTTATACCAGTGCCATGGTTTTGCAATTCATATGGTCCTGTTTGAGGACGAAGAGCCTGACGGTGTAGAGTGACAGCGGCACACCTAAGTACTACTACTAGGGGCATCAAAGAAGATAACTGGTCGACTGTCACAATCTTTGACAACTACCGCAACGAACTGCATGTTGTGGTGCGTACGAAGATAAATACAAGTGGCCAGCGTCCGAAGTGGAGCGTGCATATAACGCCACCTGACAGACCTACTCAGAGCGACAGCATAACACTCCAAATCTTTTCTACTGCAGCGACAAAAAAAAACGTATCTGTTATACACCCCTTTGAACTCATCTACGCGACATGAGCAGCGATCCAAAAGAAATGCACACCACAGGAAGTGTAGTTTACGTCCTAGTCCTTGCGCCGGCTGTGCAGAGCGACAAGCGCCAGCGTCGTGGCAATATATGGCTTGTTCTGAAGCAAGGGTAGGTCCATCAGCGACGCCTACTGTCTTTGAGTATTCTGTGATTTTGAAAAGTTTGAGCTTTCGTGCAGTTAGTTCCGCTGCACGCTCCGCGGTTCAACTAGGGTTTTTCGTCATCCTGTGTATGGGAGAGACCAGCCTCCACACGGTGCGGAAAATTTGGCGCTGCTAGGACGTTAGGGTTAGTAGCGCTCCCGCTCTCGCTGTGACAGACTTTGTGGCAGTAGTATCCACATTTCCAGCCCTTTAATAATAAGCCAAATAATTCTCGTCGTGTGTAAGAGAATAGAGCGAGGGAACGCGAGGGGGGGGGTCAGTGAGGGAGCGACATTCTTTTAATGCGTATTTGTTAGTTTGAGATTATTTAAGTAGAAACTGTCGACTTGTGTTCCGATCATGATGGGTCGCGCGGTGGGGATTGACCACGTGTTTTCGGCTTTGTTCGTGAATTTCCCATCACACCGCTTGGCGTGACAGATGTATCTATGGTTTGGATAGTGCGGTACGTCTCGAAGTGGTCGGATACACTACATATTTAGATAGAATCGCATGGCCACGCGATGCAGATTTACGGCTGCAGTTGAAGAGAAACGGACTGTCCGCGGTGTGCGGAAAAGCTGACGAATGCAGAGAAAGTGGATGTGATGCGGTGCCCTGGATCCAACAGCAAAAAGCTCAACCGCCAAGCCCTCGGCGTACCAGGATGATTTTTATCATCGCAGCACTTTCGCCTTCCCTCGCATGCAATGACGCGCCGAAGTTGATGACCAGCGATTAACGAAATTGAGAAAGAAAAACGCAATCCACGAGCGCAGTGTTGCACTAAGTGAGGCACTTTGCGCTGATTCCCTGTTCAGGGGCGCATGCATAGCTAGACCGAAGGTGGCAGGGCTGGGAAAACGAAAAAAAATAAAACTCAATGCAAGGATTGTGGCCTCGGTCAAGGACAAGAATCAGGTGCACGTCGGACGCCGTGACGAGAGCTTGCGGAGCCTTTATATATTGAGATTGGGCCTGGCCTCTGGGGAAGGTAGAAGGGCACGCGCTGACGAGGTTCCAACCTTTGGCCGAACGTACCCAGACCACCCATCCAAGGAAACGCTTACTAGTGTGGGTAGAACGAGTTGGAGGCGAATTGCGCACCATGGATGAGCAGGTGCGAGCATGTGGCTGTTCGAATGTTCGCACGACAATTCCTCGCTCAATCCCAGAGACGAAAAAGTCTGTGTTGTTTACTTAGCTTGTTCAGAGAAAAAGGGACAGGTGAACGAAGCACGCAAGAAGAGCCTGCGCAAAATGTGAGTCGATAGAGGATCTAATATTATGCACCCTATAATGCCGCTCCAGCGCCTGCGGAGGCTTGTTTCCGCAGCGATATTGGACAATGGCAATGTCGGCGCGGTTGTTTTAGCACCCCAAACATTTATATTTTCTAGCACAAGCTGCACTGCGACGGAAAAAGCGCAAATATTCCTTGATATGAAACCTATGTTCGGGCAGCCCAAGTTGGTGCGGCTGCGCCATCCGACGAGAACTAGCGTTCGGTTCTCCGTTGAGCCGTTTCAAGGTAAAGCTGTTCGGAACATTGCTAGGATACAGATCATCGATCACCGACGCGCCCCGTCTTTGCGTACGCTATCTATGGTCTCGCGTTTCCGTTTCGCAATCGGTTTATCCGTGACAGGTAAAGTCATGCTCGAAACAAAGGAAAAGGCAGTCGATCAGCTGTGCATCTCCTTTCAGACCCTGAAGGAAGTATGGTTGGACGATCATGGCTATCGCAACTTTTGGCATTTCTGGAATAAGTACTTACTTACCATGATTGCAAATCCATGGATCATCTTCAGTATGATCGATCCATTCGTGTAGTTTTTTCTAACAGAGCGAGGTCCGGCGCTTGGTCTAAGGTCTCTCTTGCGTGTTTTTGTTTTTTTTTTCGGTCCTCCATAATTCTTGTCGTGCACATACCACATTGCTCATATTTATCAGACTTATTTTCATTATCCCTGGCCGAACGGTAGTGCCACTGCCTGCCGAAGCCGATGTTTGTTGAAATGATGCAGCGCATTCGCACGGGCTGTCTCTAGCGCGTACTAGCACGGGTGCCGCCTATAGATACAGAACTACGTGGTCGTGTAGTTTTCCCCCTTCAACATACTTTCTGCAGTCTCGGTCATTCTTCCTACATGCAGCTGCAATTCTTGCGGAGGAGATACTTATTTGGATTTGCGCCTTTCGTGTTAGATTAGTGCCGACCTTGGCGTACTAGGCCAGTGACGAGACAAGTGACAATGCGGCGAAAAAAATGAAGATATAAGTGATGAATCTTTTCCTACCTTCAATCTTCTTGTCGAGAATGACTCTCATGTTTCTGTTCCGCATGGGAATCCGCTCTCTATCGGTGTGGACAGCATTTATTTTGCTCATGTGTCGTCCGCCTGGAGGAGGGCCTACACCGTTTTTCTTCGCCGCTGCCTACTACCTTCCCTACCCGCCCTACTACCGCGCACCCTGCGAATGCGAGGAACACAACCGAGCGCACCGCTGGCTGATCGAGGTCATGCTGGCGGACATGTTTGCAAACCCGCGAAGAAGTATGAGTTTTTACCGGTACGACCCGAATGCCCCAGCCAACTTACGGGAATTTTTCGAGAACTTAAACGACGATGGTTGGTGCCAGCGGTTTATCTCGGGGACGTACTTCGACGTGTTGCGAGAGCGGGGAAAAATTCTGAAATTCTACATCGATTTGGTCGAGCAGAAGCAGTTTTGTCTCCCTTTAGAACTTCTCATCCAGATGCTGTATGCGTTGCAAGTAATATGTCTGGGCCTGGATGAAAGTTGTGATAGGCAAGGCCTCTAGGCTTGACAAATTGTCGAGCTGCTATGTGTTGCGTATTCCGCAGGGCGAACTGCGTCTATGCATGCCTGACAGGAGGCTGTTCTCGTTGCACAGCATCACAGAGTCTCAGGTCATGTCAGACAACCTTTGCACATCAATGCACTTTCCTGGAGGGCGAAGGCCTCATACAATCCCGCACCATCTCAGACAAGCACGACAAGCCTGGCTAGCTACTCATATTCCAAACCCAGACAACCTATTTCTAGTTAATATGCTGTGCCTTCAGACCATGATCGAGGACATGCGGTTCACCCACGTTTACCGGCAAGACAAGGCGGAGTTGCTGCACGTATACCAGAATCAAATGCTGTTGTTGGACTCCATCGGGCAAATTTTGCCCTTGGTGATCCATTATGCATTGCAAACATGTCTGGGTCTGCAAGGATGCGAACTTGTGATGCGTGTTGTGGATCATACGAAAATCTGTTTTGCATGACTTGCAAAAGGCCCCCATTTCTGGCCATGCTGAGAGGGCATTTCTCATGCAGAATAGGCATCACCAAGGGGCTGCAGAACCTGTGATGCTGGGCACTGCATAATTCCAGACTTGGTGGATCTTGGATAAACTGCATGACAAATACCGGAATCTTCCAGACCCAGACATATTTGCACTGCATATCCACTGCTTCGCCGACGAGCCGTTCTTCAGTCTGGGAGAGGAACGAGCCGGGATCGTGCAGGAGAGCAGTTTACGCATGGATGAAGATTTATTTCCTGGCGGGGCTAGATTTGTCATGCGAGATTGCTATCATGCCGGGGGGAAGATTTGTGTTGTTTGAACATGGAAAAGATTGGGGACTAGCTTTTGTGGTGCCGGAAGGCAGCTTGATATCATTCAGGTAACGCATGAAAGTGTATTTTAATCTGTCCCGTAAAACATCTGATGTGGTTACTTACTTATGTTGTACAAATTGGTAGCACGCTACAAGAACTTTCGCTTTCCAGGTGTCCAGGGATACTGTTTTGCATTCGATACAGCCTGGTGAGTTCGAAGAAGAAGGTCTGGAACTTGTTTGGTCGCGCTGACGGGGAAGCCGCGTCACCTGGCACAAGCAACTTTCATCCTCCTGAGGTGCCACGAGATCAGCTGGAAGGTATGTTCGGCCAGAACAACGTCCAGCGGCGCCAGGTCCTCGTGCACTGGGACAGCCTGCGCACGGAATTGGCAGCGTTGGAGTTGTATGCACTGCAAAAGTATTGCATCAGTATCACAACTACGTAGAATTTGAAGTTGAAAAGTGAAATTTGTTTTGCTGCGTTCCCTGAGGATTGAAATTCGTCGTGCGTGACTGCATTTTGCACGAGTGCAATTATACGTTTGCACAGGATGAGTTGAAAACGTACGGCCCGAAAATTCCGGCCGAAATAGCAACGGGAGCGGGCGGTCGAACAGCCTCGAAGATAGATGGCGCAAGCTTTTTTCTCCGCAACCTGAAGCACTACCACCACCAGTGGGCGTCCGTCATCCGTGCGGCTGATTTGGTGGAGACCTACTGGATATCAACTGCAAATGTTTCTGAGTCTGGAAGAATGCGAACTTCAACTTGCGATGTGGTTTGCCTGTCTTTCTTTGGAAGGCAAAAATGTGTGGTGCGCATTAATTGGTCAGCAGAAAATGCGCAGTAGGAGGAGTAGAAGGCATTTCGCATGCAGACTACAGCCTAGGGGAAGAGCCCCCCACAATTTATCGCGATGTGTGCACAATGCTAGACAACTGTCTTGCAGATGCAAAAACTGCATGAGGCCGCATGTCGGCTGCGTTCTTCCACCAGACGAACCAGACACGTTGCAATGCATACTGGAGCTGGTTCGAGAAGTATCCCACGAAAAAAGTGTTACAGTTACACATTTGTAGTCAATTCAGCAACACAAATTTCTCTGCATGAGAGAGAAAAATAATGCAGAAATCCTACGGGAAAACACCTATAAAATCAGGCTCCTATGCATATCCGGCATGACAGAGCTTGTCTGTCTTGCTTGGCCTGCAACACAATGTGTAACTGCAACACTTTTTTCTCACGATAAGAAGCAGCTCTCGAAGGATCGGCAGGGCTGGGTGGACGAGGAGGTGAGGCTTTGCGAGGGGTTCGGGTTGTTATGAGAGTGCACAACTCCGCCTCCGCCTCATTTCTTTGTAAGGCGCGAACAGCAAAAATACAAACACCAGCACGCGCCGTAGAGCCTACGCATGACAAATTTATGCATCTTAAGTTTGGGCTTCCAGGATCTGTCATGCAAACAGTGGCACAAGGCAGCGATTGGATTTAAGACATTGCATGACAAATGAGGAGGATGGGGAGTTTTGCACTCTTATAGTTGTACGAGACGCAGGACGTGCTACCGAACCGGGATAGACATCTGTTCATCCCGGCGATCGACCTAGCAACGGTCTACGAGAACGACAAGGAAAGAATCGACGCTGTCATTCCCATATCGGATGCACAAATGTTTGGTTCTGGAAACTTGTGATGCTAAAATGTGGATGCTGGAAGCATTTCCGAATGCAGCCGAGTTCGACAACTGTCCAGAGCGCTGTCTTATAGGAAATCCGCACGAGGAACTGCGTGTTTGCATGTACAAACGAGGCTGCGACTTTAGTTGGTTATACAATACAGAGTTTTCCAGACCCAGACATCTTTGCATTAGATATCCCAAGCACCCGCAGACAAACCAGCCGGTGTGCAGGTTCCTCGCGTCCCTCCCAATCCCGCAGAACTTGACCGACTCGGCGTCGGTGTTGGCCAAGCACCGGGCGGCATTGGTGCGGCTACAGGGGAATACGCTGTATCTGGACCTAACTGCTTACGGCGGGTTTTCGAATCTGTTCGACTGCGAGAAAGCAGACCCGTATCCTGTGTAAAAACGTCCTTACCCCATAGTCAAGTTGGTAAATCTGCAACACAAATCTCAAAGTTTTGGGAGGTTGGCATGACAAGTTTCCATCTGTAGCGTCGTGCTGTTTAGCAAGGGAAACCGCATGAGAAAGCCAGCCTCTCATCCTGTTTGCAGCATTACAAAGTCCAAAAAACGAGTGGAAATGCCTCCCATGCAGATCCGGACTACAAACGTTCCGGTCATTGCGCATTTGCATGACAACTCTGGGGAGATGATGGTGATGGCATTTCGGTGTCCGCCTGACCCACCTTCCCTGCGTGACAGCCATCTGCGGCCATTTACACAGGGGGAAGCAAAGTGTGTCGCGCTTCGGTTTAGCATGAAAACTCTGGGGCGGGGACGTTTTTACACAGGATAATGCGTACGGTACCTTCTGGAGCCGGATCGGGGGCATGCTCTTCTCGACGCACTGCGCGCCGAAGAAACAGGACGAGGAGGAGGACGAGGAGGATAATGCGCCGCCGGCCCCCGGACATCAAGCAACTCATGCCAGCCACAAAGACGGACAGCCGCCGCGGCAACACGACGGTCAAGAACAGCTGGAAAGAAGAAGTCTGGACGACGAAAATGCGGATAGGAGCTCGACGTTGACCACTACGCAACCGGTGGTACGACGTGAAGAATTATCAGCCCGCAACGTCCTGCGGCTACAGGACGGCACCGAAATCGAGATGCATGACGAATCGAAACCGTGGGCGCAGAACGCGCTCTCGGGTCGCGAATTGAGCGAGAACATGCCCTTCTTCGATTGGGTCAAAGCGAAGGAGAAGGTGACGCTGGAGTGCGACGTGGATCCAAAACGGGAGCAGCTACGCATCGAGCGACACTTGCTCCAGTACATGCGAAGGTACCCGCACCACGAAAATCAAAACATGCTGGCAAAACTGCTCGTGGAGCAGGAGAAAACTACACAAGCGCGGCAAGCAGCGGGGGTCCAACCAGCGCAGCGGTGGTATCATGTTCAGCAGCACGGAGAACAACTGGACCAGGAACTAGAGCAGGAACCAGACCAGAATTTACATCACAACGTCCTCGAAGATGAGAAAGAGCCGATCATAGCGCGCCCATTTTTACCATCGCGTGAAGAAGTGGAAGAACAGCGAAGAACGTACAGACTGGTCAACTATCACAAGCACCAGGGCTCCCCCTTCGGGTCAGCTTCGAGGCTGGCTGGGACAGGAGCGCGCCAAGATGTAGTAGACCCCAGCAGCGGCAGCGGGGGCAAGAACACGATGAGTGACAACTCCGCGCAGGGTCGTGGTCCTACCTTATCTTTCAAGAACACAAACGCGCGCACCCATTCTGTCGCCTGTTTCTCTTTGATTACCTACCCGTACGAGACCGACGCGATGGCAGCGCTTTCAGAAACGGTGGCCCCGCATTGCGACGAGTTCCTCTTCTTTGTCGCGAACCGCACGAGTCCGGCCAGGTTTAACGGGTACAGGGTGCACGACTTGGACATTGTCGAGGACGAGTGGAGGCAATCCTCGAAGCAAGTCAACTTCCTGCAAAAGTGGTCGGCGATCTTGCTCGAGTTAATGCGAGAAAAAAGGATTGGTTTATAATGGTGTAACTTTGTGAAGATGCGCATTTGCTCGCGTCTGTCATGCTGGTCCTGCGTTATTGTAGTGTAAAAGTAAATTAATTTAATTTCAAGTGCGTTCTCGCTTCCTATCTGCGTATGATAATATCATATTTTGCTTTCATGCCACTGCTCCTGCAAATAAAAGTTCCGCTTGCACACTTTTTTTCTTGGATACAAGTCGTACGAGCACTACTACAGCAACGACGCGCTGGATGGTGGGCTGGAGTTGGCCGCGAAGCAATTGGAACAGCGGGAGGACCGGTTGTCGGAAATCATGCGGGGACGGATTTACGTGCCCAAAGAGAGCGTTCTGACCGCGGGGGAGGAGGAGCGGAGGCTGTATGCGGAGGTAGAAGGACATGAACAAGCAGCGTCCGGAGAAGATCATGTTGAAGATCAAATGCAAAGTGATCTTCTTCCAAATGTTTCTACGGATGAAAAATCCTCCAATCAACGGACGCCGTTTCTCGGCGAATATGTGCCTTTCGGCGTCGCTGATGATTTCGAGGACTCAACGTCGGACGAAGCATCGAAAAGAAAAGCCGCTACTTCATCACCGGCGCGCGAAAGGGACATACTAGCAAAGCAGGAAGTTATATTCCCCCGCAAAACCGATTTTGCTTCGGAGCAGGAGCAGGTTTTCTACGAGTCGCGCCGAAACTTCCACGGAACTATCCCACCCGGGGCGGACCACTGGCAGATCGTGCGAAGGTTTCCCAGTGACTTGTCCGATTTGAAAACGGATAGCGAGCGCATGACACTGCTTAACGAGTTAGAGAAGGCGCAAAAGGTATCCAATGGAAAAGAAGTATGTTGCTCGTTGTACTAGGTGCGTGGTTACATTGCATGGCAGCTTTCTTTTCTAACCTAATAAACCTTAACCTAGCCTCAGTCGCGGATGACCATGTAGAACAAATCGTTGTCAAGCTGGTAGGAGCTCGTCCCCGATTTAGGTACTGATAATAAATGCGGTTATTTAAATAACTTCTACAACTAGAAGAACTAGTGCAAGAGCAAGTCCGAGACTTCGACTTGTAGTATTGCATACAAGGAGTACAAATTCGCGAAGTTCAAATTTGAAAAGCATGTGGAAGCGATCACACAGATACAGGGGGAGTATGAAGAACAGGAGAGCAGTTCTGGATCTCGTCCCGACGCCGAACCGCAGAACGGATTGAACAACGTCAAACCCGCAGCGGATTCGATAGATGGCACGGATGAAGTCTTCAGTGAGGACAGAGATGAACAAAGGGAACTACAAGAAAGTGGCGAAAGTAGCAGAACAGACCTTCCTAGACAACCCCCGACGTCGTCAAGCATCCACTCTAAGCTGAAATTCATTCCTGATTGGTACTGTTTCCTTGAGTCCGACGTGTATTTCATCCCCGAAAACTTCAAGCGCTACGCACTCCTGAACAACTACGACCCGTGGCGGCAAGCGTTGTTCCTCGGCCACGTGTGGTTGTACGGGAACATTTTGATGGGGCAGGTGACCGAGCACAACTACGGTTCCTGTCTGAGTCGCAGAGCCTACGCGAAGTTGGCGGTGAAGTTTCAGCAGCTGAAACTCGACGAACTGGAGGAGGAGCGGATTTTGCTGGAAAAAGCGCAGCGGAAAGTGCGGGGAAAGTTGCTGGAGGTGAAAGAATTCTTGGAGAATATTGAAACTTCGAAAGGACAACCAGAACCTGCTCCTGTGTTGCGCGAAGAGATGCTATCCTCCTCCTTCTGGATCAAAGCCGAGCAGGAGAGAATCTGGAAGTCGCAGGAGGTTGGTGTCGAGCACGTGGAAGGGATTCTCCCCGGGGAAATTTTTTCGGAAAGACCCGCGAGGACCGCAACAGTGCCCGCGGGCGAGCTGCAGGAGGAAGATGACCCCGTAGCTACCGACTTCGTTGTCGCTTCAAGACAAGATGAACGGGTGCGAACAGGTGCTGGCGAAGATCATGATGATGCGAAAAAAGAAGTAGTACAACTTCTACCACTACTAGAGCAACAGGCCTCTACTGGAGGTCCTGCACCCACTGAAAAATCTCGTCAACAAGAAGACGAAACATCAGTAGAGCCTTCCTCGACATCAATATTAACTTTTGACGTGGTTCTGAGCCAATTCCACCACCTTCAAAAAGTGTATTCCGATCTGCAAACGCGTTCGCCGTCCCTGAAAGATCCGGAGCTCTACCTCGGCCGCGTCCGCCCCAGTTCCGCAAACCACTTCGGCACGAGAAGGATCCCGTCCCACTTTCAATGCCTCCCCTGGAAACCCTATGAGTGGCACGATTCCATCGGGATTGTCCAAGCCTGTCTGTTCGACATCGGCGTCTTCTCCCAGAATCCGCAAAAGGTGACGGACAGTCTGGGGCGGTACTACTACGCGCAGGCCCTGAACCGGGTGAGGGAACTGTCCCCGCCGGTGAAGGCCTATGGATTGCAAAAGTGTCTGGGTCTGGAAGAGTGCAAGATTTGTGATGCAGGTTTTCCATGACCCATGAGGTCTGGAATGCGAGACCCAGCATGACAGATTTTCTGAGGTCTCTATCATGCCTTTCCTGCATGAGAAACCCCCTCCCAACTTGGTCAAAAGCGGACAGCTCTTGGTACTCACGCAACACAGATTTTTGCATCATTCAGATTGTCTATTGTTTCAGATTTAGCATGACAAGTTGCATTCTTCCAGACCCAGACATTTTTGCATTTGATAAGGCCAACGACATGACGATCTTGGCGCCGCGGGATGTGCAAGAGCAGTACAAAATGCTCAAGGGGATGTGGGTGGCGCGGGTGCACGAGAACAAGATCTGTCTGGCGAAGCGGCGGGAGAAGCAGATGCTGCGTTTGTTGTACCTGGAAAAAACCGCGAAGGTGTTTGTGGGACAAGAGTTTGGTGATGCCCAGGAAGTTGTAGAGGTCGATATGCAACAAGTACAAGCCGACGGTCGTGTTGACAACAAGAACGACGAGACGATGGAAGACCAACAAGACCTTCATGTTGCTGATGACAGTGCTGAAGGACATCATCAAACCGACGAGCAGATGAAACGAGAAGCTACTACAACAATTGTATCGACCCTCCACGCGGACGCGCACAGTCTTCTCTACGGGCAGCACTACTTGGCGTACGGAGACACCGGCGGACTGGACGCGGAAACAATGGCAAGGGTAGCTGCGCAGACAGCCGTGACAGATTTTGCAGCTTCGTCTCAACAGCACCGGAACTACAACTCCAGGAGGCAGCTGACAGGCATGTCAGATGAAAGTAAAAATGGTAATAGAGCGGGACTAAATATTAAAGATTCGCACTTCACCGATGCCACCGCGATGGAGAACGTGCAGAATCTCGTCACGGACAGCTTTGCAAAAACGAAAATTTTGGAAAAAGACAGTCGGATGAGCGAGGCAAAGTACGGGCTTGTGGATGAGGTAGTTGGAGAGCATTATCTAGATGATGATGTTGTGGATCAACGCACCACGACCACCCAGGATAGTACCCGCCGCGCCACCTCTGCACGACCATCATCTTCCCGTCACCACCTCTTTTCCGAGTCCGAGCTTCTCGAGTTAGCGGAAGACGGAAAGCTCGAGGCGGCAGTGAATACACAAGATGCAGAGAATCATGCACGAAGCACCGTCCCCTTTTCCACACTGAACGCCATCCTGAAAGCGTACGAAGAAGACCAAAAACCGACGTTCGCCTACTCGGAATTCCCCATTTGCTTTCACGGGCACCGGGCGAAAACGCTGAATCAAGAGGTCATCGTGCGGATATGCACCGCAAATTGTATGATTGAATGTCGTCGTCTGGACGATGAACTCGAATGCACACAATTCTACGTTTTCCGTGTTGAGCAGTAGACTTGCGATGTTTATTTACACGGCATGAATATCATGGATACAACTGACAAATTTTTTATCGGCCGGCATTGCCATCTAAGTAGAGTTGAATGTTGACATTGACAACGAAATCTCTTCCAGAACGAGCACGACGGAAGAAGTTTAACAATGAAATCTCTCCCATTTTTCATCCCGCACCACAGATCTTCTTGTCCTCGAGATTTGTCGCATGACAGACACGACAGATTTTCGATGCATAGCGGAACACCGGGGACAACAACCGAAACGCGAAACGGAAGAAGAAGAAAAACTTCTCGATGAATTACGTCCACGAAGTTGTGCGGAAGGGAAAAAAGTGTCCAGTCTACTTTTGCGGGAGCTACGAACCTATCGAAAGGAAAAATCCCCCCTCCCCATATCAAAACGGAATTTCTAATGCTGGATTTGTGTACACAAATCAGGTTTGTATTGCAGAGAGGCATTGCGGCCAGATCCCCAGGCTAGGTAGAGGCGTAGGGGTCTAGTTGTTCAGCATGGCAAACGGCTCAGCTTTAGTCCCAGCAGCATGACAAATCGCTTCCATAATGGGGTGGAAGCTTCTGCCCTTGTCTTCTTGCAAGACAGAGGTGATTTGTGACCTCAAATCAGCAACACAAATTTTCGGCAACATACCTTTTCGATATGGGGAGGGGGGATTTTTCCTTTTGATAGAACCGAAGGTGTGGCAACTGCCGGCCGAACTGCTGCGCGGGGCGCAGTTTGGGGATCTTTTCCCGGATATGCACTTTGCAAATAGTACGTTTTGGTCTGGGAAGGTGATGCTATATTTTGGACGAAGAGGAAGATCGGTCTTGCATGAAAAGCACAACAGAGAGCCGTTTTTTTTCGGGATTTCTCATGCAGGGCAAGAACTAGATTCAGATCCAGATCCAGAATTCATGTAAATCAAGATTCTATAATGAAAATGTTGCATGCTAGACCTTCTTCTGGATCATCCACCAAGTGGATAACAAGAGCCTGCAAGCATTGTTCCAGACGCAGACACATTTGCACTGGATACCGGAGTACGTTGCGAAGCGGTGGAGACTATCCACTACAAAAGAATTGTCCTCGTAGTAATTGCAGACATGCAGCGTAATAAATAAGTCTTCTTTATTCGTCCAACTCCAAGGTAGAACTATAGCTGCATGACAAATCCAATTGTTCACGCTGGGAATTTTTTGTATATGCAGTTTATACGAGCACAATGCTTTTGCACCGCATAGAGAAGGCGAGCGCTTTCGTCCGGGACGATCGAGCATGAAGTAGAGGAGAAATCACGCTGATCATGAGTCGTGCTAGAGCAAGTTCGACGACGATCTTGCTACTAAAATGCCGCGATAAAATTTGTAGCAAGTTGTAGTAAGTCCGTGTTTCTTTAGTATAGCAAAAGGCCCCAAAAGACCGTGGCCCTGAGCTCGTGTTAGTAGGTCATTTCGCTGTCTTTTATTTAAGGAGGTCGGGATCACGCTTTTGGACCGAGTTGCTGTACTACCTGACTATGCAATCGATCCTGTGACCGCGCATGCAAGCTCACGTAAGTGTCCAAATATAGCGTATTCGTGTGACCACAGTGACGAGCAATTCTTGCGAGCACAAAACGACTGCCACTTCATGCTTTTTCCCAGCAGCTGAGTTCAATGTTCTCATTCGTATCGATTTTGATTTTCGCTGCACACCGCGGAGGTCTCCGTTTTCGTCCCATCGTTACAAGTGCTGGCGAGCTATCGTAGATGGATTGTCTTTCCCCCCCATCAGGCACGTTGTGCTCGATCCATAGTAAGTACACTCTGATGTTGTACATGTACTTCGGGTGTCGACACCTGTTGCGTCGGTTCGTACACATAAATTGCAGTAGTTGGTTTCTCAGAAGAATCTTCGTGCACCATCCAGCGTTCGGTATCGGTTTACCTAGCACTGTAGGAATCCCACACGTATCTGCAGCTATAGGTACTTGTAGTAGCCTCATCGATCAGATTGACTTTTTGTTGTGTCGTACAAATTACTGCGTCCTCTTTTCGCTTCGTCACCGCATCGTCCACTCTTCCTCATCGTACATGACAAAGTGCACGCGTCCTTCGTTGATGGTTGCCGCACTAAAACAAAACCCATGTTCGCACGACTACGTGCGTCGGTCACTGGTTAAGTTTGCGTTCGCTTCGTCACACTGCTTGACTCCACAGGAAATCGAAATTGATGTATTAATGTCCAGTTTTCCCCTCCCCCGAGTAGTTTAATTACCCGTGTGAAAAAAATCGTTTTAAAGTATCCATTTTGATTTTACCGCACTCATTCCTTTCTTAATCTTATCCACAGCTGGTGTAAAAAGTCGGCGTTCATCCTGCTACTTCTGGCACTGGTGAAGATATTGAAATTTACACTCCTCTACGGCGCTTTATTTCATCGAAAGAGAGAGGATGTTGTTTTCTGTCATCACCGGACGACAGCGTGGGTCCTCCCAGAGGCAAGGCAGAGAGGAAGGGCTGTATAATCTTCCGAAGGAACAGAACACTGGTTCCTCATCGACAAGAAGCTCTTTCTCCTCAAAAGCCGACAGTCATCTTCCAGTGCGGCCCGCCCGGCCATCACAAGAACTTCGGCAAGAGCCGGCTTCTGTGGAAGCGGATGACGAAACTACACTATCGAATGACACAAAAAATAATCCACCTAAGGCCGCTTCGTACCTCTCGCAGACGGTAAACAAATCTCTGCTGTTTCACTACTACGGCGAGGATCTGGACATGGAAGCAATGATGGGCATGATTGACACCGCGACGAAGCCTACCGCGGCAGAAAATAGCCGTCCCAGTCGCGCCTCGAACCGGGCCAGCGCGCCGCCCCGGCCCCCGTCCGGCGCGGCAGCGCTTCAAAGACAAGGCTCGACGGCGAGCAACGCCGACAGCCGGCCGATGGGGAGTAACGCGGAGCAGGTCCGGAAGTCTCTGTCCCAGAGTCTGCGCGGCTCGATGGCGATGGTGGACCACACGAAGATGAAATCGAGCAACATGGGCAGTGGAGTTTCCGTGGTGCAAGCGAACGTGCCGGACCCGGAAACCGCGGGCGCGGAGAGCAACGAAAGTCAGCAAAGTAACGAGGAAGAGGAAAACAAGCCAAAGTCGTTATCGCAGCTGATGAACCGCATCAGCAAGCATAACTCCCAATCCCTAATAGCGGCCCAACGCGATGAGGACAGCGACGCGTCCAAGGCCAGCGGCGTGGTGCCTTTGCCGCAGTACGTGCCCACGGACCGGACCGGGCGGAGCATCAACCGGGTTAGCATGTCCCCCTCGGGGACGCGCCGGGCCTCCCAGCGGACCTCGGACCGCACGTCCGCGCGCGCAACGGTGAACACGAGCTCCCCGCCCCCGCCGGGCGGTGCTGCTGGGGGTCAGCAGGAACAAGAAAAGCCGCGGGCGCCGAGCACGCGCCCGGTGCAGAAGTCCATCGTGAACATGGGCACCATTCCCGGGTACCGGGCCAGTGGCCTCGACCGGGTCACCGTGAACGAAAACGTGGCGCGGCAGGTGACACAGCCCTCCGTGCGCGAGCCCTTCAAGTTCGGGGAGCAGAACATTGTGGTCAGCTCCGGCTTGGTGGGCGAAATGATGAAGCTGCCGGAAAACCGAAAAATCACCACCCCGATGGCGGACCAGCAGCCCAGCACGAACCCGAACCGCGGAAGCAGTGGCGCTTCGGGCGCGGGCCGGAATACCTTGTCCATCAACAAGCAAAACCGGTTGCTGATGGCCCACTCGACGCTCTCCTCCGAGGCCGCGCAGAAGAAGGCACAGTATTTGAGCGACCAGTTCGAGTTCAAGAAGCCGTTTCTGGGCGCGGGCCGGGAAAACCGGACGGATTTCTTCAAGACCCGGGCGGACCTGTACGAGACAGGGCTGCAGATTGTGCTGGACAAGAAGTTGTTCGAGCCCGCGATCTCTCTCCGGGCGGAGGCCCAGATGGACGCCGTGGACTCCGGGATGCGGGCCTTCAAAATGCTGCACGACGCCTACAAGATCCGGGCCTTCGCCGCGTGGAAGGACGAGACGTTTCTGCGCCGGCTGTACTACCTCCGCCCTCTGGCCATGCGGGAGGAAAACGAGTGCCGCCGCAGCTTGTTGCGGCTGGCGTTCACCGCGTGGCTGATCATGTACGACGTGATGGAGTTATCCGAGTGAGTGCACCACTTGTTCGATCCCCCTCGGTGGTCTCATTTGTTCTCATGCAAAATCGCAATGCCAGTCGTACTAGTTCTTCCCTTGTGTCGTGGTCACAACTTTTAATTATGCATGAAGAATTCAGGATCCGGAAGTTCAGTGCCTCAAGAACTTTTGTTCTTTGCATGCACAGGGTCGTCAACTTGAAGAATAAGAAATCGTGCGCGTGGCGTTTGTATTGGTGTTCACACCTTTCCCTTTTAAAAACAAATGAAGGGGACCACGAGGGGGAGTTGTGCACTCTGATAGGGGAAGCAGGAGCGGAAAGAGAAGAAAAACTACGATGACTACCGGCTGTCGGAAAAGCTGGCGCCAGCGGACTACATCCCGTCGTTCGAGGAAACAGAGTATGCCTTGCAAATATCGACCTGGGTCTTGATTTCTGATGCGAAAGCTAAAGGACCTGAAGACTTGTGATGCATGACCTTAGGAGCGACCACCTACACCTAGTGCTAGTATCTTTTCTTTTGTGCTGCTGGAAGATGAGGCTTTGCTATGCAAAACATAGTACAACTTAGAATAGAACAAACTCGCAATAACTAAACAGCCGAAGAATTCGGGACGCGTTCTTCTTTCATGTTGCCTTACTTGCAAAACATATGCTCTATCTCTGTCACGCTATAATACTTCTGAGCATGATGTGCGCGACGAGAAGTCGCGCGGTTTTATCCAGCAGAGCCAGATCGATATTTCTAATGCATACAGGGGAGATGGAGTTCCACGAGGGCAACCGCATCATCCGTCCCCAGGACGACACGGGCCGGCTCGACGTCCACCGGGCGAGCCAGAGGTCGACGACCGCGACCCGAGCGACCGCCGCGATGCTCGACGGTGCGGCGGGCGGGCCCAGAGTCCTGCAGCGCGCGGACACGGACCACCATGAGTTCATCGCGCCCTACGAACAACGGGCGCCCAGCGCGAATTTGGGGCGGAAGTCGCAGATGACCGGGGTGGAGATCGACCCCGACGACCCGGCCGTGCTGGGGAGAAAGTCCGGCACGCAGGTGGACATCTCCCCCGACGCCGAGCCCGTGCTGGGCCGCAAGTCGCAGCGCACCATGGTCGACATTGTCCCCGAGGAGAAGGACCCGCACCTCGCGAGGAAAACCAAAAACACGATGGTGGACATCGGCCCCGACGCCCCGGACGAGAAGACGCTGGGGCGGAAATCGAAGCGGACGATGGTGGATATCAGCCCCGACGGCTTTCTCCGGATGGACGGCGAGAAGCCGCGCGACAGTGCGAAAGGTGCAACGGACAAGAACCTACCCGCGTATTTGATGAAACCGAAGCGCAACCTGGACGCGGGGTGGATGCGCAAGCAGGGCTCGCACGAGGAAGAGGGGGTATTTGTCAGCATGCCACGGGGACCGGGGGGACCTGCAAACAACGACCCACGATTCTTCATGCAACAGTACTGATGTTTCATTGGAAGTAGATAAAAGTACTAGTTTTGCTTTCGCTTTATTTGAATACAGCTCACTGATAATTTATGCTTCATCCAAAAATCTTGAAAGAATCGATGAATAGCAACAAGTCTTTACATCCTAGCTGATTTTACCATGCGCAATAGATAAAAATAGAAATACGGTTACGGTTTCGGATCATGCTGCATGTGAAAAAAACGGAAAGAACATCAAGCAAGATATTAGTTACCCTCCTGCACTTGTTCCATCTTAACTTTGACAGGCAAAAGCCGACAAAAATCGTGACGCACCGGGGCGTGGATGTAGTGGCGGACCACGACCACATCAAGCCAGCCGACACCTATGTCCGGCGGTCCGTGGACCACCGGCCCCAGGCGATCCTGAACCATATGGAGCGGTCGAAGCGCATCTACAGTGGGAAGGGCCGTATTGACGTGGCGCACGGGCAGGCCGGGCCCGATAGCAGGCCGGAATCGGGCATGGTGGACACGCGGAAGCAGCTGGACGAGCTTGGTAATATGATGGCGGACATGGCCCTAGGCGGCGAGGGGGAGGAGACACCAAAACTCACGGCGGGTACGGATAACCTCCCCTCGGGGGGGAGCACAGGAGCTCCGATGTTGAGTAGTTTTCCGCCACCAGGAGCCGCCGCGGAGGGGGCACAGATTATGACCATGGCCGCTCCGGAGGGCGAAGCAGCCGACGAGGCGATGGAAATGGGAGACGAGGAAGAGGAAAAGCAGGCTAATATCGACACGCATGTGTCATCTGTGCGCGCAATGGTCAAGGCCAGCTTTCGCCGGTTTACCAGCAGCGGAAGGCTGGCGATGCGGGGATAGAAGAAAACCCGGAGAGCTATCAAAAATGCTAGACTCGTTTTTTTTCTTTTTTGAACTCATTTTTTTTCGTATTTTTTTGTTAATTCTAATTGCGACAGCGAGTTTTTGACTAAATAACGCAAACTTGTGACCACAAAACCCTTCACGAGGAATTCATTGGTGGCACCACACTCTACAGTATATTTTTCTACTTCCAAGTTCATGTTTTACTTTATGCATATATACAAGTTCAAGTTCGTGCATCATGTTGAGACCCGTAAATTTTATTCAATCATCATATTGAGAGCCGTAAATTTTATTCAATCATACACGCATCGTGCATCCCAAAAGTAAGTTTAAGTTTAACGTTAAGCATTGTCCGTTTTCGCCCTCGTCGTTTTTATTTCTCATGATCAAAATCTATTAAATCAAATCAGTAGCCGACGAGTCCCCGGCTGCAATCAATTTTGCAGGGGATTGGTCCGTGCAAGTTCTACCCAGACCCCCCTCTCTACATATTTTCACAAATAAAACTCTCTTCCACAAGCGATAATGCCTCGCCTGTGAAACTGACTGTGCAATAATCTGTAACTGTATCCACCCAGCTTCAGTCCATTCCCCCATCTATGACTATAAGGACAAAGTCGTTACAAATTTAGTTCAGACGGATCATATGAAGGCGCCGTGAGCATAGGTGAAGTTCGTTGTATCTATACCTGTATAGAGAGTTGTGAAGGAGCTCCACAAAGCGCAAAACACTTCCGCATGCTATTGCAGCAATGGCAATCCTATTGTTCCTTGCTCTGCTAACTCATGTCGTCGGACGAAGCAGATGCGTAACGCAACTTTTTGCTGGGAGAATGAGACTAGCGAACATTTGTTGGTCGGGTATCCCCCACAAGTCAGAAAATCCCCTCAACAAGATCTACGTGTTTCTGATTCTGTGTCTGTCCAATCGAAGCAGGCGAGCCGTCATGGCTGCTTCATATCAGCCTCTTTTATCTGAGCCGAGGAATGTTGATTTGTCGTGTGTTCCGATGAAAAAGTGAATACCACCGTGCTACGTGGCTACGCTGAAAAATAGCGCTTTTTGGGCAACAAGCTTAAGCATAACATCGGCATCGCGAAGCATTCTGATTTGGTTCGAAGATGAGAACTCAAAAAGGCCTGGACTTACTATTTTGTAGTTCGGAATTCTTGTTTCCGTTTCGTGTGTGTGTGTGTGTGTGTGGAGTCTGAGTTTTATTGTCTCCGTGGAGAAGGCCCCCACGCCCAGCGACGCCGAAGATCAACCTCTCTCAAGCTCGTGCGCAAATGGTTGCAAATCATAAATCAATATCAAAAACTAAAACTAGAATGTCAATTTCTGTCAATTGTGACGAATAGACAGTTGTCTAGTAGTGCGCACGAACCTCTCGTTTTTTTCTCGCCAAACGATCTACTGACATAACTCTTATTTGCAAGTCAAACAAGCGACATCTTTTACTTTTTCTTTGTCGAAATTTGTACTTTTGAGCTGGGACGACGAGACCACACTTCTTTCTTTGTCCGTTAGATTTTTCGTTCTTGTTACCTCGACCCCGGACCCCCAACGAGGCACGAAAGCGACCAGAACACGCGTGGAAGTAAATTCAGCTCGTCCTGACGACCACCCGCGGTTGCTGGCAGAGGTTGTGTCAAAGCCATCTGGTCATCTGTCAACTTCGATTTCAACATCTAAGCAGAAGGTCAAACATAACAAGAAAGTCGTACAGGAATCCGCTACAGGTACGAAACAGGCGAAAGATAAGGAGCAGCAAAAACTTGTTTCATCACAAAACGAGGACCTCCACCATGAGCGCTGCTTCTGCGAGTGCAGCAAAGAAGGACCAGGAGCTCCTCGCCTCGGAAGCTGGAGGTGGGAACAAGAACACGACGTCAAAAGCGCAAAGCAAGCAACTTGCAGCTTTTGTTCCGCGTGGTGCAGGGGGAAAAAATGCTGGCAAGTCCAAGGGAGCTGCCTCGTCCATCGCGGCTTCTCTGGTTGCGAAAGCTGTCAAAAAGCAGCCCTCGTCGAAGAAGAATAGCCGAGATGCCAGTGCCTCGAAGATGAAGATGAAGAAGATGAGTGGCGCTGCTGCTGTACCTGGTGCAGCAGCTGTCAGTATGGTGGACCACGAAACGTTGCACGTCGACAGCACCTCCCAAGACGCTGGCGTTTTGTTGAGGAGCGGTTCTTTGTATCGCGGAGGACCACGACCACCACAAATGAAGAATTCTTCGAGGGCTAGCACAGCAGGCGGAACAATTGCAAATGTTTCCGCACCAGGGGCAGGGTCTGCCCTGAGTTCTTGTCTGCCAAAAAAGAACTACGTGGGTCCCGGTCGGGAAATAAAGGCTCAAGCTAGTGCAGCAGCGTCTTCTTCTAGAAACAAGCGGCGCAGTTCGCTGAATAAAGAAACAAGTGCTCCTTTTGGGAGTGCTTTCAGCCTGCTGCCCGGGGCGAAGAAAGGGAAGAACGAGCAACAAGTGGGGATCCTGAATGGCAAAAATAAAAGCGCGTCGCTACCACTAGGCTGCAAGCAAAGTATTCGCGGGACAGCTGCACGAGATTCATTTTGCGATTGGAACAGTAGAGGGAAGGACGTGAAAAAGGCCACCAGGGGCGAAGATCGAAATCAAGCAGGTCAAAAAAAAGCGTCGTCCACCACGAGCATCAAAACTACTTCGGAGCAGGATCTTCGTACGAAGCAGGAGAAGGAACAAGATTGTTCCCCGTCGCTTTTGCAACAAATCATCCACGAGGAAGAGGACGAGGACGAAATTTTCAACAATCTGAAGAAAAAGAAGGTGAAAAAGTCGACGTCTGCTCTTGACATTGGAACCTCGTCCCCTTCGGCCTTGTCTACTTCTTGGGCGGAAAGTCAAAGTAAAACGGATAACAAAAAGGCAACCACAGGTGACACGCTGTTGACTTCGATGGCTATTAAAATAAAGGGATCACGACCGAAACCGAATCCGAAGTCCACCAGTCTGGGGGAAAGTACAACGAGCAGGCTGAAGTTGAAGTCCGAAAGAACTAGTGGTACACGACGAGGAGGACCCGAAAACGAACTGAATCGCCTTTCCACAGCGGAACAAGTGGACGAGGACCAAGCTCTCATGGAGGATTTTGCGGGTGCTTTTTTTCCGCCGGATAAAAGTTGCAGCTCTGCTGCTGCTCCTTCTTCGTCGGGTCGTAGCTCGTTTTTAGCAAAGAATACCACGACGTCCACCAGCAGCACTTCGAAAGGTGAACCGGCTTTATTGAAGGGCGCGACCGATAAAACAAACACGACGGATGTAGTTCACCTTGTTAGTCGTCCTGCTAGCAACAAAACTAAACTGCCGATCATGTCGACAATTTCCTGCTCGAGCTCATCGCACCTGTTGACTGGCGCCAACAAGGATTCTGCTAGGGTGGGGCCACGTGGTGCTCTTGCTGGCAGCAAGTGTTCTGCTGGTGCTTCGGCTCTCGACGTCCCGGGTGGATCTGAAGATTCGATTTTCTCGCGACTCCCGGGCTTTGCAGCCACTTTCGGTTTTGAAGCGCGCAAGACGAACAGTCTCAATGTGAAATCCATTTTGACAACGTCACACAACAAAGTTGGCTCGGCCGACGGCGCGGGTGGAACTACGCAGAAGCTGCAGCCGCCTTTGACTAAGAAGAAAGTCAGCTTCAATATCACCCCCAAGCATGGCGACCAGATTGATGACGATGATGATGATGACGATGTCGATGATGATGTTGGTCATAACACACTGGCGGAGATGAAGAGCAGCAAAAAGAGCCAGATTCTCACTCTGTTGGCGAAGAAACGCGAAGAGAAGAATATGCCAACCAAGGGCATTAGCTTCTCTACTTCTACGACCGCCAGTGGCGCTTGCTCGAGCAACTGGAAAAATGCCTCTAATAATAAAAGATCAGATCACGACCGCCAGAGCAAGCTCGTGTTTGGTCCAGCTGGAGAATTCTCGGAGCCTGTTGGAACAACCAGCCAAGACAAGGAGACACCGCTGCCACCATTCGTCCCTCTGCCAACATCTTTTGTTTCGAAGCAAATACTACACAAGAACCATAAATCGCTTGCTCTTGTGCTGACCAAGAACAGCAAAGCTGCAAAAGCCACGACGTCGTCGTTACTCACGTCCACCTCGAAAACTGCTGCCAGCACTGCTTCTAGCAAAGCTCAGCAAGAACTGCGTAGACAGCGAAGAACTGTACCCCCGCACAGAAATTCCAATTTGTAGCAGGAAGGATCAATTACAATTATTCAATGGACGATGGTGATGATACGAAAACACCATCGGGTCCGCACTCAATGGAATTTAGAAGCTGCACTAAATTAGGCGGAGCGAATTCTAATTTTTGTTTTTCATCGGTTTGATGTGTATCGGTCCTCGAACATGAAGATTCGGGACTGAAGCTAGGTTGCAAGTTGCGCATGATCGGAGCAGGGTTCTAAAGAAAATAAATAGGAGTCAGCAACATTGACATCGTGACAACTGGGGGGCGGGGGTATGATTGCATTGCATATTGCACTTGCTACGCACCGGATTGTCTAGCTCGAGCGACGAAGAGGATGACTACGACATGGGGAACCCGATTATGACATGGAAAAGTGGTAACCACGTCAACGGAAAAATTTGTGATGCAGCAGTGCATGAGACTGAATTAGAATTAGGCACGCGTTTGTATTGAGTGCAATACATACTTGTATCATGCGCGATGGCACTCAATTCCGCAAAATCCAAAGAAATCGTTAACGTTAACACTTTTTTGTTTGATGCCGACAATCATTCGTTGTGCGGAGTGCAAAATGTTCGAGGCTTTATGACGGTGCACAACTCCCTCTCATTCTCGTTGTCCCACCGCTCATCCCTTGATCAGAGGCATGAGTAAAAACAGCCATACTTGCACACGAACGCGCAAATGTAGTGTCTGCATGACAAATCCATGCGCGGAGCCTAGTACTGGAATCTGCTTTAGAGAATTGGAGTTTGCGAGCAAACCATCGTGCCGAAACTGGCAAACGCCAGTGGTGAAGATGACATCAAATGAGGGGACTTCTAGAAGAGCAGGGGGTTCTTGTCTGCACCGTTATAGGCCCTGCAGCAGATGGCAAAGCAGAAACGGGCAAGGGCAAAATTGCGGAAGAGCAGAAGTGCCACGACAGCAGCCGGCTCAACTACGGCGAAACATCAACTGCTAGAACCGCACGGAGGAAAGCAAGCCAGTCTCCTTGGAGGGAAAAGCAGTGCAGGTGGAGTTCCTCCTCGTAGTTCTTCTGCCGTTGGAACTACAAGCAAGGCCAAGGTTTCTCTACTTCTCGGTATTAACAAAAAGGAGCTAGCACCTCCTGGACCACCGCTTGGGGTTGCAGCAAGTTCCTCGAATAAAACAAGTAAATCGACAGCGGTGGCGGCGTCCTCATCATCCTCGTCCGCCAGCAAGCTCGCGACCTCTTCGGTTTTGTTCTCTTCGAGCAAAGTACACGGGGAGAAGATGAAAACGAGTGTCGCTGCGGCCATGAAGATGTACGAAGATGATTTTTCTTCCTCCTCCGAGTTCGATTCCGACGAGGAGGATTTCCACCATGATCCTGCGCTTGCGGACGGACTACACTTACGAAGAACGACGCAACATTTGTATGGAGCTGCTGGTGCACGTGCAGGAGGTGCTGCAGTTACGGCAGGCGACTATTCTTCCTCGGACGAATCATTTTCATCTCCGCACTGCATCTTTTGCCGCTCGCCTATGGCGTTCTCAACTGTTACATTCTCATGTGTTACATGAACTTGTGACGCAAGAATCGGAAAAGTGCAAAGGGGAAGGCTGCACCTGTAGCATTACAAATTCCGCACAGATTTAGGCGCGGTTTAGGCCTTCACAAATTTGTCATGCGGAGCAGCTTGATCGTGAGGATGATGATGCGGCTTTTGCATGACAAATTCATGTAAGAACAGTTCAGAATGTAACAATTGAGAATCCCATATCGCCGAACACAACGCGACAAGACACGGTGCTCGACTTCGGAGAGCTCAGCTTGAGCGATTATGAACTGCAAAAGTATCGCACTCGTATAAATGCATTACAAATTGCCTCAGCATGAGAAATAAAATTTGTAATGCTGATTTGCCTTCAGAGGAAAATTTGTGATGCAAGACTTGCATTTATAAGAGTACGATGCTTTTGCACAGGATAGCGATATGCATTCGACAAATTGATTCTACGTCTGGATCTGAAAGAATTTAATATGCAAGTGATGGCGGAGCAGGAGCACATGTACAGAAATTTGTGATTGCATGTTGAGGATCGCCAAAATTTATCCATTTCCTGTGACCTAAGAAATAAAAATACCCATTCTTTGCTGGTCATGCGGGACAGGCATCAAGACCAAGACGCCCCCTGAGCAAGACGTGTGAAGATGCCTCTGCGTCGTGCATTCCTCCAGAAGATCCCGGTGATGGAGATGCATGACAAACATATGCATCCATCCAGACCCAGACATATTTGCAGTGGATAAGCGAGGATATTTGATTTATTTCAGAGAAGCAGGCAGAGGCCGACCCCGACGGAAGAAGAAGAAACACTTTTTTTTCTGGCTATTCCTGATTGAGCGTGCAGTTGATATATGAATATCATGTATTTATTTATTCGTTGTGGATGAAATGCAAATGTGACACGGCCGCAGAAAGAGAAACAAAGGCAGCCGCAGTCGATTGTTCATTGTGGCTGTGGCAAAGCACAATAAGACGAGCTGATTTCTTTTTTTTTCCTGCTCGCCCCAAGTATTACTCTTCTTCTTTTATATTGCGAATTATGAATTTTGCGAAATAGAGTTGTGCGACGGCATTTCTCTTCTTACGCACGACAAAGAAATAGAGGCTCTTCGTCCTCTGAATTTATAGCCGACATTTTTGGTAGGAAGTCTAGTGGCTGCACTGCTTTTGTGTAATTTTGAAAGTTTTGTGACAAAGGTGCAACAATATAATCAATGAGCAAAGCAAGAGCGAGGCCGTTTCGCAGCGATAGCTGACAGCTGGCGCAGCTATATCGTTGCTGTTTGCATCTGGTGGAAGTACTAGGGTAATTTCTACTTCTATCATAGGACTTCACTTCAGGTACTCTCGACTGCGTCAGCCGGTAGTGAAAGACCAGGGCTGGGGGAAAAAATGCGAACGTAGGGCAGCAGTTTTCAGTCCGAGAAGTACTAGTAGAAATGCGACGTTGGTTGACAGATAGTCACATCATCTCGATGTAGTTGAAGAGAAGATGTTGATCCAAAGTAGATCTACGAAAGAATATTATCGGTTGGATTATTAAGCTCCCGGCCGTAGTTCTTGGAAAAATCAAAGAGCAAAAAATCTCTTTCTTTTTTTGCGTCGGGGAAGTTTAAACGAAGCCAAACAGAAACAGACGAAGATCGCAAGATGGTCGCCGTGCTTCACATAGAAGATAGAGATGGCTCATCTCGGGAGCAATGTCTTGCCATGTGAAAACTATTAAACGAACTCAAAAAACCGCTTCGTAAATATCGGTATTATGATTTAATTTTTGCTTGACCTCATCGACTCGTCGTGTTCCTCTCTGCTCTTCAATATCGCAATGTGACGAGGATGTTTATTGTCTGGGAACTCACTACGAAAATTAGTTCATCTTCCGGTTCCCCCGTCGTCCTAGTGAGGGGCTCCATCTTCTCATTTTGTTCCGGGTTGAGGTGTGAAGGTGAACAAAAGTCTTGTAGTAACGACACGCTGGCTCGTCAGGGGGGAGTTTGGATAGGCGATTATACTGACTGATGTTGTTGGTAGTTATCGGCTGTTGAATACGCCTGTAGCTGTACTGTCAGTGCCACGTGTGGGAGCACTAGAATAAAACGCGGGGAGGGACGGCACTTGCTAGTTTACTGATGCAGAGACGTAAGATTGATACTCATTTAGGAAAAAGAACTACACGACGGGTCGGCTGTTCCCCCACACTAATAAATAATTAGGTACACAGTAATATTTCAGTTTTGGTTCGTGTCCGAGCATCGATTTTGAAGATGAAGATATTAAAAAACTCGTAGGCTTGTGACTTTTTTTGGAAGCAGAGGTAGGAATGTGACGGCAGGGCAACTTGTAATAATCTGTGTAAGAACTTGGCTTTCTACGCAAATCTATCATGCAAAATTGAAGTTTCAGTTTGCTGTTCGCCTTTCCTCGTCCGCAAACGCCTATCTATCTTTCTTTACCATTGTCAGTCTACATGTTTGTTTCGGGACCACGAAGTTGTTTTGACAGCTCAGATTATCACTCCAGCTTTATTTCAGCAACACCTGTACAAAAAAGCTTGCCACTCGTTTCTCCTGTACCTACTTCACTGTACTTTATTCTTTTCGATCCTAACGTTGGCTCGCTGTATTCGTGGATTTTAAGTTTTACAATGTAGTTTTTTTTATACATATACTTCTTAGGTTGAATTTGATTGTTGATTCCATTCTCATGTTGTATACCATTCCATTGCCACCTCGCGCCAGAGCAAAGTTATAGCAAACATTTTTGTCATCGCAAAGATTGAAGAACAAAGCAAACTTTTTGTGACCTTGAAAAATATTCCAGTTCTTAAGTCTGTGCCTGACTGATATAATATCAACAGGAGGTGGAGGTCCCGTTGTAATTTCTCAGAGATATTAAACGTAAACTAAAGACAGTACTGTCTAACAGCGAAGGTAAGGTCAAAAACGAACCATGGGCGCTCTTTCGAAGGCAAAGCTGCAGGCCAGCAAGGCGAAGAGTTCTTGTTCTTCGAGTTCGCAGCAAAACACGAAGAGACAGCGTAAGGAGGTGAGGAAGCAGGAAATGTGCGTTGAATGCGGCGAGTACGTGTCTGATTTGAAGCAGCACCTCCAGCAGAGACACGGCCACGTGTGTCCGTTCTGCAACAAGCGGTTCGGCAACAAACTCGGGTGGCACAACCACGTCCGTGACTACCACAAAGCGAACCCCAAGCAGCTTGCGAAAGCCAAAATCGACGATTGGCTGTTGAGTAACGAAAGGAGTAGAAGTTGCGGCAAGAACCTCCTGCTCTGCCCAAAAGTGTCCAACTCCTCCTCAAACGGCAGAAACTCATCTTCTTCTAAAATGCTATCCCGCAACAACTCTACCGGCTCGGCAGGGTCTGCTGCGGAGGACCAGTACCGCCGCGGACGCAACATGATGATGTCCTCCACGCAAGGCGGCTCGACTGGTAAAAAGAGACGAAGTTTGAGTTGCGGCGACAAGATGAACGGGGCGGGAACGAACATGGTGCAAGATGAAAATCGCGACAATAATTACAGCTCCAGGACCACCTCCTCGCTCTTCGGCGCTGCACCATCGTCGCCAAGTAGTAGAACTGGTGCAAGGGCGGGACCTTCTCATCCATCACATCCTGATCAACATCTGAGAGGCGGTGCTGGAGGCGGTTCATCATCATCCTCGTCCAACATGATCAGTGCCGGTCGGAACAAGGAGAACAAGAAACCCCCGGGCGGCAGGCAGCGGAGGAAGCTCACCCGGCAAGCGTCTGTTTTCTGTCAGTACGCCAACACAGTCGGCGCGGAGTCCGGGGAGGACAGCAACAGCTTCGTCAGGCAACAGGTGAAGAGAGAAAACCTGTACAACGGGTCGGCGACGACCGGGGCGGGTTCATCGTGTGCCTCTTCCTCCAGTTCGGCAAGAATCTTCAGTACAACCGACCAAACGCAGCAAGGCCCGCTCTTCCGCGCAGCGACCACGGGCGGCGTAGTTGGGAACAGTACTTCTTTTGACGCGTTTCATTCTCGAGGTGGAGCCACGCAAGGACCGATGTTTCCGCTGCAAGGAAACAACTTCCTGCACCCGAACTCGCTCTCCGGCCCTCCAATGAAATACTACCCCAATAACCCTCCTCCGGCTGGCACGGTGAACCTGCTAGATCCGCCAGACTTACAGCAACTGTTTGGCGCGGCGGGGAGCTCCTTCAACCAGGGCGGCGCGTTTGGCACAGGAGGTGCTGGCGCAGCAAACAACCTCCAGCATGCCGGGGTGATCACGCCGAAAAGTACGACGAGTTGTCACTTTATGCAGGATACGGAGTTCTTCTCGCAGCAAAGTCACGGTTGCAGTTCGAGCAGTGGGATTTCCTCTAAACTTCTGCGCTCTGTCTCCGCCGGCTGCCCTTCGAGTTGTACCACCACCACGACCAGCTCGCTATTCGAACAGTGCTTGAGCTCTGCTACTCGCTCGCACATTGGCAACGTGGTGGAGGAGGAGTTGTCGAATGGCAGCTTGTTTTTGCAGCACACGCGGTCCGTCGAGGGCAGCTACACTTCCTTTCCGGCGGCCGGGGGATCATCTGCAGGAGGAGCGGGTTATGATACCACGACCGGGTCGTTTGCACCTGCTGGGGGCACTAGTAGTGCGGGAGCTCCTCCAGCACTACTCTAAGCACTACTCTAATCGCAAGTGTAGGTGGCACGAATCACTCTGGACGCTCCGCTGCGGTTGGAGCAGGAGAACACAATGATGATGATCTGTAGAAACGAATATGTTGATAGTTGTACTACAGGTTCTTGAGCAAGTAGTGCTGATGTTGAAAACAACATACTTATTTGAATCCTCACATGCTTAAATATGTTCCGTGGAGATCATTTGTTCAGATCTCGTCAAGCCCCGACAATGTTTGGATTTGCAATTATTCAAGAAAATGTGGAAACAATTTGTCATTTGTTCGAATCACGTCGGCGACGCGACCCAATTTTTTGCGATGGCAGAATAGAATCCATATCCAACTTCCAACGCCGGAAGAGTTATAGTTGCAGGGTTCGGGCCGCGGAGCTTCTAGCTTACGGCAACTTGCTCCTTGGTCGTGTGGGGAGAAAACGGCGCTGCTGGTGGTGTTCTCCCATTTTGAGAAGATGCGATGTAGTCCCAGCATACAACGGTGGAGAACCAATCACTTTGTAGTCACGACGAGCATTCAATGATCGTGATAAAAGTGATTCTTGCTATAGCACGATGCCGTGTGCTTCTTTTGCCTTTTTCAAAAGTCGTCACCAAAGGTAGCAGTCGTTGAGATTTGCTAGTACAACTGAAAGAGGAGTAAAAGATTTGGACGATTTCTCTAGTATCGTAACCGTCGTGGTTTGGCTCTATTCGTCACGTCGTTCATCGCCTTCAAAACGAAACCTTCGTCAGCTGACTCGGAATTATCGCTGGATTCCTCGTGTCGCCATCGTCGTATGAAATTAAGTATCTACACTAAAAGAACTACTTACTTCTTACTCTTGCGACCTGCACGTCAGTGGCACAGCAGTGCTGAAGTTTACGTAGCAGGAAGAATGCGTTCTTTACTCAAAAAGTTTTACGTGTCCTTCGTTTCATTCGTCTAGTTGCTTTTGTTATCATAGACCGAGACCCCCAGCACCACGGGTTGGTGGAAAATAAAAATGTCAGCCACTACTGCTTCCCTCTGTGGTCCGCAACGTGGCCGCCCGACGCTGGAAAAGGTCCAGCAGCCCAAGAGACTAAAGCCCAAGACCACTTTCAACACAGACGCCCGCACAAGCAAGATGGCGCCGCGAACTTCTGTCATTGGGCAGAAGAGAATCCAGGAGATCGCAAACCGGCTCGCAAAGACGAGCATAAAGTGCAAGCGGATGGAAGTCAACCCGGACTGGCTAGCGGTGGAAGAGTACTGGCTCGCGCCTGGGGACCAACAGCACGACTGTTCGGGGCGTGCCAGGAGGTCGAGAAGCGACTCGCGGAGGCAAGCGGATGAAGCCGAAAAAGATACTAGAGGTCGTAGAAGAAGTGGTCGAAGCGACGACAAGAATCTTTTTGCTGAGCACCATGGATGCGACCCGCGTATTAACCCTGGGCACCATAGCGCGGAGCGTCGTGCGTTGAGAGGAGAAGCCGCAGGTTTGAACGCAGCTGCGGAAGTTGTTATCGTCGCTAAAGATCATACTACAAGCCCGCGCACAACATCATGCGGCGTGCAAACGGAAGGGCGCGGTGATGAAGCAGAATCCTCGAGTTTGGAACTAACCTTGATGATGTCCCGTGCAGCAGGAGCGGGAGAGAAGATGAATCCGCCATCATCTGTGTCGTTCTATCCGACGAGCACGCAGTACACTACACCGAGTCACCCGCTTCTACTTCGGTCGTCAGCTTTCAAGACCACCACCTCGACGAGCCGGGCTGCTTCCTACTCGCGCACGACGCGACCCCCCGCAGCGACGTCAACTGTTGTGCCGCGCGTCATCGAGTATTTAAACAAGCCTGTGGGGGATCGAGGGAGCAAGGACGTGCAGTCGGTTTTCAGCTCGCCACGCACGGTAAGTAGATCCTGTAGCCGACGAGGAGGAGAAGAAATAAAGGTGCGAAAAATGGCCACTGGTCTTCGTTGTTATCTATAAGGCCCTTTGAGTTTGACATTAATTGATTCCCGCCACAAGAGCACCTCGAACGATGTTGAAGTCACAAGAACTTGTTGGTTTTCTTTGAAGCAATTTGCCCAGCACCTAGCTTTCGTTTGTATTGGTCTACGAGGTTTAACAACTGCTTCCACTCCAGGTGAATCCCGCCCCATACGCTCAGCGTCGCGTCAGGTTTTTTTTCGCGCCAGAGGTCCGGGGCGTTCACGGTGCACAACCCCCCGAGCTCCCGCAAGGTCAGCAGGGGGTGGATCTAAAAATAACTGATCAGGCAGCACTTCTGACCCGTTGGTACAAAGCTGGCACAAGGAACCGCAGAGAAAAGAGCAGGAAGCGACGTGCTGAGGAGGAGGTTGATGCGCATCCTGATCATGAGCATAGAGTGACACGAGGAGTAGAGCCCGTAGTTGACACGTCTTTCCTCGTTCCGGTGCAGCTTGCCCATCGTCCTAGAGAATTTGTGTCCTGGACAGCGCAGCGCAAGGAACGCTTTCGGATTTTGTAAATTGATGAACAATGCGAGGAGTATCCATGTAGATGTACTGCCACAACTGTGACCGAGCTACTGCATTGACGAGATGAACCAATATTTATACGGTCACTTGACGATCTTGAAAGAAAAATGACTGAGTAATGCGTGGTCAGAGCACCCTGCAGGCGCGGATCTTGCGTCCACAAATGTTTTGCCCTGTGCGACTTTGTGGGCGATCTCGCTAATGCCATGCGGACACGGCTGTGAAACCGAAATTAAAAACGGCACTCAAATGGTGCAAGGACGAGAGAGTGACGGTCAAATAAGGGTCAAAATGCAATAAAGTAGAGAGAGCAGAATTACTTACATGGAGATGGAACGTATTAATGATGGCGAACGGTGAAAATTTCAATTTGTGCGCGTTCCGCGGGTACGCGATTACATAAGAAGATCTAAAATTTTCTGCCCAGATGAGACACCAAATCAAAAATCAGAACACTTGAACATTTCTCAGCAGGTCAAAGGACTAGGACATTCGTTGGTTTGCTTGTCTGTTCAATTTTTACAAAGCAAGGCTGGCAGTACGTCTAAATTCACGCAAGAGTTCTTGTTGTCGCTCTTGTACAACTACTGTAACTAGCAACCCGTCATTACGCGACATTTTGTTCAACTACAGCGCAAAAAATCAACATGGCGAGTCCTTCGGGTACCGGTGGTGGCACTGGTACCCCCAGTAGCACTTCCTCTTCCGCCAACGGCGCGAAATCCAAGATGGCGTTAAAACAGGGGCGGGAGCAGGAGCAGAACCAGAGCGACCGTCCAGAACCCCCGCCGTCCTCGGCATCCTCCTCCACAGCCTCCACGCCGAGCAGGAGCAAAGAGACCTCGGGCGTCAAATCTTCGTGGTGCCCCCCGCGGTTCAGCTCGGTGTCCGACAATGAGGTGGAGGGCAACATCTACATGCACAACCCAAAGGCCCTGCCAATACGGATGATCAACTGGTACCAGGTGTTTCAGACGCACTATTTGTCCCACATCTACATCGCGGTCATCGCGTTTCTCATCTACTTCGCGCCCAATGAGCTCTTCTTCGTCAGCGAGCTGGGGTACAAAGCCGTGGAAACCTTTGGATGGGTATAAAATAAATAGAAATCTTCAAAATTTGGTTTCAGATAGTCAACATCTGGATTTTTTTTCCCACTCGGATTCTCAATGTAGTTCGTTGTGATTTAGAATTTTCCATGAATGTAGTAATGATGCGCAACAGAAGATCATGCAGATGCACCAAAGAAGTATGTTGGTGCTCTCGCGAACCAACGATTGTGCACTCTCGTGGGTTGTCAAACGGCCACTTTTTCTGTACTCAATTGATCTTTAGTACATTCATGAATGTAAATGTTGCTGTCAAAATAAAAATCCACAGTCCCGCGTCGTTTTGGTCGTCCTGCTGCCCTTGATCCTCTACCGTTCTTCTTCGTGGGGCCCACATTGGCGCAGCAGTGTCTATTTGATCGACTTCGAGTGTGCGGCACCCCCCGAGGATTGGCGCATGACGGTGGAGCAGACGAAGAAGATGCTGGAGAACCAGAGAAGTTTTACAGACGAGTCAAAAGAGTTCCAGCACCGGATTCTGAATACCTCCGGTATCGGCGACGGTACCGCCTGGCCGCCCTGCATCTTGAATTCCCTCGGCGGGAAATCTGTCGCGACGAGCCGCAGCGACAGTAAAACTTCCGCCTCCTCCGGTGGGTCACTGTACGAGTACGCGAGTACGATGCAAGACGCGAGGGATGAAACCGAGACCATCGTGTTCGACATGGTGGAACGACTCCTCGCGAGGACAAAAACAAAAGCGAAAAACATCGACTTTCTCGTCGTCAATTGCTCGCTCTTCTGCCCGACACCGTCGATCTGCGCCATGATTGCGAACAAGTTCAAAATGAAGGAGGACATCAACAGCTTCAATCTGGGCGGCATGGGCTGCTCCGCCGGGGTCATCAGCATCGACTTGGCGAAGCAGCTGATACAAAACAAACCTGGGGCAACGGCGCTGGTGGTCAGCACCGAAAACCTGTCACAGAATCTGTACGTTGATATAGATCTACACGTCTTGTTTGACTACTAGTATACTTATGTTCTTGTTCAACAACACAGAGGGTCAAGTTCAAGATCCAGCTCCATGATGACTGTTCTTTTTCAGTTGTCACTCTCACTTTCACCAGGACATTGCCGCAAACCTAATATCATGATACAACTCATCAAAGGCAAAACAATAAAAAAAAACAGTTACACGGGTAACGATCGTTCGATGATGATGCAGAACACGCTTTTCCGTTGCGGTGGCGCCGCGGTTCTGCTTTCGAGCAACAGCTACAACTACAACACGAAGCGATTTGCAAAGTACAAACTCCTTCACAGCGGCCGCACCTTCATGACGGACGACGAAAGTTTCAAATGTGTCTACCAGGAGGAAGACAATCTGCCGAGTAAAGTTGCAAGCTGTATTGCTAGTACAACAAGAACAGAAGGTGAAGGAACAAAAGCAGAAATATCCAAAGCACAGTCAGCGACAAATAACAATATAAAACCCGCAGCCGCGGCGCCGTCAGGGGATCTGAAGGGCGTCCGTCTGCAGCGAAACATCGTGACCGTCGCTGGGCGCGCACTGACGAAGCAATTCACGCAGCTCGGCCCGAACATCTTGCCGGTCAGCGAGCAGGCGAAGACGATCGGCACCATGGTCGCGGACTACCTGTGCAAGAATTTTTTGCACATTTTGTCCCCCAAACACTTCCCGCCGCGGGTAAAGATCTACACGCCGAACTTCAAGAAGTGCATCGACCACTTTTGCATCCACGCGGGCGGCCGGGCGGTCATCGAGGGCGTGCAGAAGAACCTGAAGCTAACGGATCGGGACGTCGAGCCGTCCTTCATGACGCTGAAGAAGTGGGGCAACACGAGCAGCTATCAAATGTAAAAATGTCTGGGTCTGGAAGAATGCGCGATTTGTCATGCAGCTTTTCCATGACCCATGAAGCCTGGAATGCAGGATCTAGCATGACAGATTCTGCGCGATCTCTCTCATGCCTATCCTGCATGACAAACTCCCTCCCGACTTGGCCAAAACTGGACCACATTTGGTAATCATGCAGCACAGATTTTTGCATGCTTCAGATTTAGCATGACAAGTTGCATTCTTCCAGACCCAGACATTTTTACATTTGATAGCAGCTCCTCCATCTGGTACGAGCTGCAGTTCATCGAGGACTCGAAGCGCATAAAACACGGCCACCAGGTTCTGCAGATCGCCTTCGGCTCCGGGTTCAAGTGCAACTCCGCGGTCTGGCTCAGACTGTAGTGGGTCGCTCGTCTGTACGAAAAATAACCTCGAGTCGTTGCTGGAACAGGTAGTACCAGTTTCTTGGCTATACGAGGTAGCTGCCTTATTTCATCATTGAAATTTTGTTTTTTCTTTTCAGGACGAGATAGTGGACAACGAATCTCCTCGCTGCTAAAGTACAAAGGCCATGATTCGTGAAGTGTAATCAAAGGACAATTGTGTGACACGTAGTGGTAAAAAAATCACTCGGACTAGTTGGTCGCTTGGCGTCGAAGAACATCATCCTGATCCTTTTGTCCGAGCATGATAGATAACTGTAACTGAATGTTGTGCAGAAGCAGAGTATATTAATGCATTCGAAGTCACACTGGTAGTACTGTTACTATAGAAGACAAAAGCATCTCGCTTTGCCAACTAGCAGTGCACAGTGAAACAAACAAGTGTGATGATCTTTTTTTGCGAAACCAAAACGGAATGATAGCGCAGACCGCACAACTTCTTCTCGTGATAACTATAAACCTTTTTTTGCCGGAAACAATACAGTCAAAAGCACCAAAGCCAACTACAACAGTATTTCCATACTTGACTCTACGACGAAACAAATTATGCCGAGCCTTAGAAACCAAAGCAGCTTTTTTGAGCGCAAAGGAATGAAGCGAGTCTACCACCCGCCATGATGAAAGCTTCATATCCAGTACATTTTTTTCTTGCCTTTGATTTCGCGTTAGCGCGTGACTGACGACTTCTAGACACAACTTCGTTCCCGCCACAACCCCGATACTGATTGGAACCAAAGGACATCTCCCCCCTGCCCCTTTTGAAACGCCTACGTTCTTTCCATGCCCCCCCCCTGCCCTGCGCATTGAATGAACAACTTTGGCTTCTTTTGAAGAGTCGCAAAGAACTCTGTTTTAACATCGCAAAATGTGGAAGTAGCGCCGTAAATCATTGATGACCTCTAATCCTAATGGAATGCGGTACCACCAGATTTGCTGCAGCGCGCTTATGCGTGGTCGCCGTAAGGAGAGTTTTGATGAGTTCGAGAAGTTCTTCGAAAATCCAAATCGCGTCGACTGGCGATGGCTTGTTGGCAGGGTTACAGTTCTTGGGATCGTGATGAATTGTCGAGAGACTTCTTGAAACTTACGATAACATTCGCGTTGCAAGAGAATCATCAAGAGCAAGGACTTACGACTGCGAGGCTACAAAATTTATATATGAATCTCAGCGTTCGACGTCGGCGGCCGGCTTTCGTTCTTCCTTACTTTCTCGTCTCCAGGATGTATAATTAATGAACCAACAAAAATCGATCCTCACACAATTTAGCTTTTCCGCCACTATACGATAGTCTCGTGACTCTGACTGCGAGCTTGTGTGCAGATGAGGTAAGTAGTCCTCTTGGAGGCCTCTTCGAGGCAGGTTTAGAGATCAGTGAGGTGGAACAGAATCAGCATCGAGTAGGATTGTGAATTATCAGAAGCAGTAGCACCGAAAGCCTCCACGTCCTCCTTGAAGAACAAAGCGTGATGATGCCGGGCTCCTTGTTTTCTACTCAAGTGCAGGAGCACCAGAAGCTGCTGTCCGCGTTATCGAGGCTGTCGAAGAATAATCCGCCTAGCGAAGATCATGCGCTACTCGAGGCACTAGATGCACTCGCAGAAGTCGCGAAGAGCTGGGACCGGGTTGTAGCCACGCACAAATCTTCATCTTCTGCCTCTACCACGTCGAGAGAGCAGCGCGATGTTGGAAATAAAATCAGCTCGAGCCACAAAACGAAGAGCAAACTCGCGCAGCTGTGGTACTCTACGGTTAGTGCCGTGCTCGCGATGAACACAACAAGTGGAGATCAGCAGAGCACTGCTTCGTCCAGCGCAGCAGGGTCGGCAACGTCTTCGTCTTCATCTCATTGCAATAAAGCTTTTTCCGCCACCAGGACTAGTACACTGTCACCTGTTACAAAAACACGACAGCACGTTGCTCAGTGTTGCTGGCGCATCTGGCGAGCAACGACATTTCTCGACTTTCGCGAGGCGACGAGCGCAGGTTGTTCCTTTGGCGAACTCCAGCTGGTTGCGGCCTGCAAGATTCTGAACGCAACTGCAAATCATGGAAGTGACGTATTTTTGAGGAGCCATCATTTTCCTGATGAGGCCGCTGATCATGCTCTGGACGAAGGTGGTGCAGCGAGCAAGGCTGATGGGGTAGGCGTTCCTCGACATGAAGCGCAGATCGCTTCGAAATTGCTTGATCTCGTCCGGTCCTTTGTGGACGGCGGAATGAACGCCGCACAAGCGCCGGATGTGCAGACCGGTAGTACCAAAGCGCCGTCCTCCCTGATGAAATTACCAGCATTGTGGTCTTCGCTGTTTCGCCTTGCGAGAAATCTGGCGTGCAACGCCGCACCGGCCGTTGGTGAGGAGATGGAGGACACGACAAGGCAGAGCGCTTCAGCTAGTTCGTGGTCTTCATCACAGCGAGCGTGCGCGCAGCAGAGTCATACGGTTGCGGACGGTCCTGATTCATCTAGGTCTCTACGGATGGAACAAGATCTCCTCGACGTTTTCCACGCTTGCTGTCTCGCTGTTTACGACTCAGCTTCCTGCGAGAAAACCGTCACGGCACTCGTTTCGTCCATCGGTAGTAATATTGCGATCGAACCCGGACGAGTTCTGAAAGAGGAACTTGCCACGCGGTTGCTCCTTTCGCTCACGTCAAATTGCAAGCCTGCCGTGTTGCACCACCGACTCTGCATGTGCCTCGCACTGCCTCCGGCGCAAGCGTTGCGTGCGCACCAAAGACCGCACGGCTTCCGTGAACATGGCGGAATGAATGAAGCTTCCTCGAAGGTACTACGACTGAGCGCTTGGGACCTGCTGCTGTTGCACGAAGCTTCTTCATGCGCACAAATGTTCGAAACAGGTACGGGTACTCATAGTACCTCCACCTCGGCTGCTGGTTTGTGGGCCAGACGAGAAGTAGGGCAGCTAACTGCAGAAGCCGACGGGAAAACTGCACCGACCGTGCTCCACACAGCTGTGCGAACCACCTGTGAACAGACTACCATAACTCCCGAATTGCTGCATTGGTTCGTTCTTCACCGACTCGACCAGGTGCCCACTCGCAAAGTCTGTTTACTGCTCGAGTTCGCCGACCGCCTGGAAGTACGAGAGACAGAGGACTCTATGGTCGACTCGAATTCTCAGCAGAAAGAAAGCAACGGGACATCACGAACATCAAGTGTAACAACTTCTATCGGCGTTGCGAAATCTCACTTTCTGGCGTCCATTGTCGAAAAGGTTTTGGCTGCACAGCGTGATCCACACCAAACCGAACTAAGAAGTGGCGCTGGCGGGGGAGATGTTGATGTTCGGGTTGATCACGGAGAAGTAAATGTAGGCGAAGGCTGCACCGACGAGCTGCTGCGGCTCTCGGTCGAGAAGTTTTGCCAACAAACACCAACCTCCCTCATTTCGCAGCAGCACTGGTGCCGCGTGTTGCACGCGGTGCGACGGAAAGTGCAAAGTGCCACGACCTGTGCAGCAAGCACGGGCGGTGGAGCAGTTGTTGCGTCGGCTGCCGTCGCGAGAACCCCTTTGCGTGGCTGCTCGTCGCCGTCAAAGCCAGGTGTTTTTAAAAATGGGACATCTTCAACATCTTCAGGCGGCGACCATCTTCTACCTGCTCCCGTTGCGTCGATGTTGCTGTCTACTCTAGAGAATTACGCGGAGCGAATCGACCAAATCATCCCGAATGTCTTCGAGATGAAATCTACGTCATTGCCGGAAGCCGTCGCGTGTGCGTATTTGGCAGTTGTTACGAAAGGTGTGCTTGTGTGCTCGCACGTGGCGGGAACGAACTCGAACGCACCAGCAGAGGTCCTCGCGCTCAACAGCAATGAAGAAGCGGCCGACAGAAGAACCTCCTCGTCGGAGATACAACAGGAGTGTCCTCGGAGGGGACGAGCACAAGCATCAAACACTCCAACTGTTGATGAAAACGGTCTACTTGGAGCTCACGTTCACGCCATCGAAGTGATCGCCGCGAAATACTGCGAGTCCGCCTACGCCCGAAACGACGAGTCCCGCGGCGTTTCCCTCGGGCGGGCGCTAGCGTTCTGGAAGATTTGCAATACTGATACGTCGACGGGACAACTCAATCCGTCCCTAATATCGTTGACGTCATCCGACGAGAGTTGTCGCCCACAACAAGAGTTTTCCTTTCCTCCTCTCTACCTGGTCCTTCGTGCGCACGCAGCGCTGAGCATCTTCGCGGGAGTCGATTTGGATCCGGAGAGGGCGAAAAGCGCGGAAAGCCTGGCTTTCAGGCATTGTCAGGAGGCTTTCGAGGGTTTTTTGACGAGAACGGGAACACCTGGAGTTTCTGCGCACGGCTTGGAAAATGATGGTGCAGAAGATGAGGACCAGACAAAGATGCGACCGCATCAAGAAGCGGAAGCGGTTTTGCAGCTGGTCGTAACTGTACTTGCCTTCCGCTGGGAGGACGAAGATGCAGATGTTCCTACTGGCGCTGAAAAAGCGAAAGGGGACGAAGACACCGCCGCTCCAGGGGGAGCAGAAGCGGTTGCGAGTAGCACAAAAATTGCCACAGAGGACTGCAGGTCTTCTAATACGCGTAGGAGGAGCGGCATGTTGCAATTGTGTACGGAAGTTGCACAAGAGATTCTCAGAAGTACAACTTCACGCGAAGAGGAGAAGTCATCTGCGTTTTCAAGGGCAGAAGTAGGAGAAACGTCGAACTGCATCAAACCCCAGAAAATGAAGACCTTACCTCCGCGCGCTGCTGCGGCCATGCTTCTTGCGCGCCTCGGCGTTCAATGTTCCAGCCTCTGGGAAGATGTTTTCGCTTTGTTCGGGCTACCGTCGTGGGAAGCTGTGCGTCAAACGTTGGAAGAGCTGGAGGGGCAACTGCAGTGCATGCAAGGAACACATTCGAGCTCAAAGAACATATGTGACGAGGCCCCGGCGCATGTTGTCCAAATAGAGATGCGCAGTTTTGCACAAGACCTGGTCGCTGGTGGAAAGCTCGATCTGGCTGCAGTGGCGCTTTTGTCGGCACTCGTCTCGTCGGATAATCAAACGCAGACGTCGCTAACAAATGGGGGCGCAGTAGTTGCGTCTACTAGTACGCTGTTGGAGGCCCTGCAAACCCTTGTAGAATTTGGTCGGCATAATTCACGGCAGGAGGTCTCCACCGAGCTGATTGTTGAAGATGCTAGGCGTGTTGGCCGAATCGATATGCTGCCAGCTCCCTGCTCCGCGAGTAGCAGTGGGAAGTGCAAGACGAGACGTGCAGTGATCGAGAAGGCGAAGTCGCTACTGCCTAAAGCCGTGGAGCATTTCTCAGTGGATCAACAGGCGTGTGCGTTGGGGGCTCCTCCTACCGGTTTCGACGCGGACACTTTCGAAAATGGTTTATCGCTTTTCCGCACTCTTGTGGCAGTATTGATTCTGGAGCACGATGACGATGGGGGACACAGGTGCGAACGCGGCGGGCAGCCCCAGTCTTCAAGTGCAAATCCGCTCACTAGTACTAGTGCCCTGAACCAACACTCGTGTTACCAAAAGCTTAGTAATTTGTGGGAGGAGAGAGCTACAGAAGCACAAAGCGAGGCGCAACTATCTCACACGATCCTCGCTTTTTACCTTCACGAATTAGCGAAGCTTGCTACAGAGACTTGCTCTTTTGCCGCCGGGCTTGCGCTCAACTTGCAAGCCATGCAGGAGTTCGCGCAAGCAGTGCCTGAAATGGAGGAGAAGGTTGGAAGCGAATCGATCCGAGACGCGTTGTCTGCCAAGGTGTCCACTTTCCATTCACGACTCTCCAAGCGCTTCTCGCTCCTCGGCTGTGAGCTGCACTTTAGCATTGCATCCGGGTACGAAAAAGCGGGGCTAGGGAAGTGGGCTGAACACTGGCATGAGGCGGGGAAGAAATTTGCTGACTCGGGCGACAAAGTCTTGCTTGGGCAGTGGCAGAAGCGGTTTCAGGCTGCGTGTGTCGGGCCGCGTGCGCCGGATGTTAGCGCGGACTTCTTAGCTGCCGCTGGTCAACAGCACACCTCGGTACCGGTGGGGCACGAAGACAGACCGGCTGCTGACATTTTTCCAGTACAATTGGGATTGACGCCAAAAGGACCTGCACTGAGACTGACAGAAGCGTCAGCGGAGAAAATTCTCTGCACTTTGCAGACTGTGTCCTCTGAGATCAAGAGGGTGAAGCTGGGATGCCGGGTGGGACGACGGTCATTCCCGTTCTTGCGGGGTGATTATTTGTCGGAAAATAGTGAGCAAGAGCACCAGAACGAGATTCCGCAGCGACTGACGCGGCTCGCGTATGAATTTCTCTCCGCGGTAGACTTGCTGAGCCTATCTGGAATCCGAACCGCGGCAATCTCCCTGACGCATTTCTTACACGATGTCATGGAGGAGACTGATTCTACTACGTCGGCGCATCTGGAACAACACCAAGAAAAAATTCGTACACCAGCACGGGAACCGCGCGTCCGTGCGCAGTGCCAACTAATCATCCAGTCCTTAGCACCTTTTTGCGCCTCCTCCCTCGGGTCAAGCATTTTGTTCGATGTGCGACGGCTGCAGCGGGTGCTCGCGGCGTCTTCTGCCGCGCGACGCGTACCGTCTTGGGACAAAGTGATAGACAGATGGTTTCTGAATCCGAACCCCAAGAAGTCCCATGCCGATGGAGCAGTAGATGAAGCGTCGTGTCTTGAGCACGCGGAAGTGTACGTGCACCTAGCGAAGTTTGACGCCGGTCGTGCTGGCAAAGATCATTCCGGAGAAAAGCTGCCCGCCCAAGAGTTTCTGTACCTGACACGACGCCAAGTTCTTGCGCAATGCGCCGAAGGGAGTGGCGGTTCCGCTGGCAATGTTGCTGAGCAGAATCATGTTTCTGCAGCTGCACCTGCAAGTGGAACAAGCAGCAAGACGCTTGGCGTTTGCCACCGCATTCCGATAGCCCAAGAAGACTCGCTAATCGAAAAAATCGACCAATTGCAGACTTTGTTGGAGCAAAATCGCAAGTCTGTGAAGGACCTGCAGAAGAAGATAGAGGACGAGGACATCTTTGGGGACGTCGCAATTGAAGACACACATGCGAAAGAGCGGAAGGAGATTGAAGCCGAGTTCTGGCGCGACCGACGGGAATTCGACGAAAAATTGAAAAACTGGCTCCAAAGTTTCGAAGCCGTCGTGTCGAGCGAGGTTCTGGAAAGCGTGTTTGGCAAGCACGAAAGGACAGATCAAGAGCGAAAGACAGAAGAAAAGGCGACGTGCAGAATCGTACCTAGTCCAACGGTCTTCCTGTACCTGGACCCGAACCTCGCGAATGTGCCATTCGAGCATCTTCCGACGCTGCGTGGCCGCCGAATCTCAAGGGCGCTCGCACCGAACATCCTGGTTGCCGCTATGGAGAAGTTTCAGGAGACGCTTGAAGCAAGTTTAAATGCGAAATCCCCAACGAAATCGCTGAAGCGTGCCAGAGAAGTAGGACAAGCCGTGAGGGTCGTGAGCGCCGAAAGGAATGGCAACGGCGGAAGAAGTGGTCAGGCCAGTCTTCCACAGCAGGAGTCGGAGGTCACCAGCGAACAACATTCTCGACGGGCTTTGAAGATCCGTCGGACGAACCGCAGTGGCACAGACAGACAGAAGGACTTCTGTTTTTCGTCGGACGAAGGAGACGGAGACTCACTTTCGCGACAGTTGGAAGACAGGGATAATGATGAAGATGGAGCCGAGATGAAAAACGATTCCGCCAAGAACCTCCCAAACCCAATTGAATCGTCCGATTCCCCACCGCGGCCCATGGCGTGCAGCCCAGACAAACCCGCGGACCAGTTGTCGGCACCAAGGCATCATCAACCACATCGGTCTCCTGCCTCGGGCGTCCGCGCTCCGACCGCTCGGTTTCGCGATGCGCAAGTGTCTTCGTTCAGGGTGTTTGAGGAAGACGACGTTGACCATGACCAGTTGATGTCAAGATCCGGAATGAAATTGAAAGCCAATGCTCCAGTCGTGTCCGAAAGAATCTCCGCGAAACTACAACTACAGCATCAAAATACTAAACTACAAACCGCTAGTTCTAGTACTTCTGTAGTAGATTCCGGTTTTTTTGTCTTGAACCCCACGAACGATGTTGGACTCGTGCACGACAAGAGCTTGCTCCCGGTGCTGAGACAGTTGCGTTGGAAGGGCGTGATTGGGAAAACGCCTTCGCGGAAGAAGCTGTTTCAGCTGATGTTGGAACGGGAAACCTTTCTCTTCTCCGGCCACTACGGGGGCGAGCAGTTTGTCAACGCCGAGCAGCTGGAACTCGGACTGCGAACGGAGGTGGGCGAGGTTCTAGCAGACAACAAGAACGAGCACTCTGGTGAGCAGGGACAGCATGCTGAAGCGCCGGCGGAGGACTCATTCTCACTGTCGGCGGTGAAAGTAAAGCTAAAGGAAAACACCACGGAAAATGCCGCTCGCGACATGAACCTGGAGGAATTTGTTTCCTCCAAGCTCGCCTCCTCGATGCTGATGGGTTGCTCGTCGACACGGCACTTCATGCACGGACTGAAAACTGCGCGTGCAACTCGTACAAATTTGTTCGTCACGCCGCCCACCGCGGTCGCGTCTGCCCGCGGAGGTCCTGGTGAATTGTGCACGGGAAGAACTACAAGAAGGCCAGCACAGACCGAAGTTGCGACGTCCTCGTCTACGGCACCAGCGCCGTTGGATTCGTTCGAACAAGAAGCTCTGTCGTGCGCGACTTCTGGTGTTTCTCGGCCAGGACTGACCGCGATGAAACCGCAACAACTGCCGACTCCAGTAGATTCCTTCGGCACACACTGTCACTACCTCATCGGCGGGTCGCCGTTTGTCGTCGGTTGCTTATGGGAAGTCTTGAATGGGGAGGTAGACAAATTTACGGCGAGAGTCCTGCAAGACTGGAAATTCTCGGGGACCAGGAAAAATGGAACATCAAGAACATCTTGTAGTAGCTCAGCAAGCTCTGATCTGCTTGCCTGTCTTGAGCGAAGCCGTAGCAAGTGCAAATTGGAGTTCTTGACTGGATGCGCAGTGGTGCACTACGGGATTCCTGTCTGAAATCTTGTGCGATGTAATGACAAAGAAGATCAAAACAAAAAGAAAGCGAAAGCAAAAATAGTAGCAGAAGCCGCGCAAGCGCAACTTTTTGCCCGTTTTGCGAGCCTTTTGCATGGTTTGCGATAAGAAAGTATGTCGATGTTCATCGTGGTGCTCGTGCTTGTTCGCTTTCAGTGTATCGGGGTTCTGGACTTTGGTCGTATTCGTATCGCGATTCGCGTTCACCGCAGATCTGGCAGTCAAACTATAGCTACAGCTAGGGGTAGTAACTTCGAATTCGAACAAAGGTTGCATTCTCGACGTCTTCGCAAGGCGAGTGAATTAAAGCGGAATGGAGGCAGCTCTTGTTGAGAGGGGTTCTTCGCGTTGTTCAAAAGAGAGAGAGAGCATCAAACCGAGGCGTTGTCTTCGCTTTGAAAGTTTAAACCCTAGCACTAGGATACGTACGTCCGTAACTTCTCCCCCCGTTGATGTCGCGCTTAGTTTCTCGCGTTGTTCATATGAGTACTGTCCGTCGGGCACTGACATTTTTAGCTGTAGTATCAGTATCTAGGTTCCCCCTTCATTCAAGTTTTCTTTGCTAAGTCTTAGACTTTCGACGGACCTCTTGCTGCATAGTTTTGGCGCGTATGTGTAGTACCCATTAATGCAAAGTTTAGCTTTAGGGAAGATAGGGAATACAGGCGCGCAAAAAAGTACCGTTGAACAGTGCAGCTACGAACGTTTGTGTGCAAGAGCTGCGTCGAATCTTTGTGTTGCCTTTAGTTTAACGTAGGACCTAACAAAGCGACTAGAAAAGTTAGGTGTAGTAGTGTTTCAGTAGCACAAATAAAAAACAACCACGCCAAAGCTCCGCCTTATCATGTTGTGCCTGTTCGAGTTCGTTTGATTATGTTGCTGCATTGATTCCCCAAGACTCTGACTCAATGAATAATTAGCTTGTGGAAGAAACCCGAAAAAAGTAAAACACCTGGCGCTGCAAGGATAGCAATAGAGCTATTTCCATTCTCGTCAAGAATCTTTCAAACAAAAACAACTCAACCGATAGAAGAAAAAAAGCGAGAAAAGAGGGAGAGACTTCTTCTAGAAAAAACCTTTCAAGTTGAAAAGACTAAGAAATTCGTGTTAAAGAAACTCTTTGTTGTCCACTACGTACCGCAGGAAGCAAAAAGATAGATTCGAACAGCCTTGACGAACACCTTTCACGACACGACCGGACTCATTGTTCAAGGTTTCCTGCTTGGCTTCAAACCCACGTCGATACTATTTCGAAGAAGTTTTTTCATTGGATTCCGACACGACATACCGGCGCAGCAGCAGGTACGTCCGCGGTAACTGAAAAGCATCAAATAGTGCGAGCTCGGATTTGAGGTTGAAGACTACTTCTTGCTGTGAAAGCAAAGCAGGGAGAAAGGAAGAGCCACCTGTGGACCGTCGAAAGCAGGCAGAAGCTAGTTGGGATAATTGGGCTGCAAGTAGTAGTTCACGAGAAGTTTTTAGAAACCACCACCGTCCGCACAAGATGTACGTCGCAGGAACGCCAGAATGGAAGCTGCCTTCCATCTCGGTGGAACAGCTGAAGAGTCAGGCCCCGCAGCAGGTCTCGGCCGCCCAAATCAAGCTGAACTACGGGCTCGTCTACTTCACCTCATCGCTCGGATTCTACGCACTCTGGGCCAGTTTCCACGACATTGGGCTCTCAACCCTGTTGACCTTCTCCGTGCTGATTCAGGTACAGAATCTGTGTTGGAGGTGATGCATCTGGTGTGTGATCATGATGAAATGATCACTATGATGATTGGCGAACCATCATGGTGCTGATAGATTGCACCAGCATCCTACGAGGGAAAAAATCATAGAGAGATGCATTCATGATTATTTCGCTGCGCGTAAAAATCATCAAAACAGAGTCTTGCCCTGGTGTGCCTCTTGACGGCAATACTAACGAGGAGATCCGTTGTTGGGATAAGTGCGCTCTCCATCGGAATGCAGGCACTCAGCTTTTTCCTCCGACTCGGGTCCACGTGCTGGCTGCGGGGTACAAACTATTTTCAAGCTTTATGCTTGTTGTGCATGTTTGACGTCCCGATACCATGCGGTTCTGATAAATATCTAGTACGGAAATTTTTTTGGCGGGTCAAAGGGTGTGCAAATACTGAATCCAACCTCAGGTTACATTCCAGTGGACAGCACGGGGGATTGCCTCTACCAGCTTGCGGATGTTTTTGCCTTCTCTGTCTGCTGCCTCATTGTCTACCTCTGCACGCACAAATTCAAGAGCACCTATGACGTATAGATTGACAAATGTTCTTGGTGTTTATGGTTTTGTTCGACCTGCCCAACACTTTCGAGAGTATCTTTCAGTATGTCATGCGAACGAGCATGCCGTTGCCGTCCGACAATAATCATGCCGCGTAGTTAGCGTCTGCGTCGTGGGCCGTACTGGCTTTAGTTCTATGATTTGCCACCATGATGATAAGTAATCGCTGAAAAACGTGAACCACTTCTGGTACTACGACCCGTAATTTTTGTGAAAACGACCTCAAACAGGAAAGCTGCGACCAATTTCCAGTGTACCCAACAGTGATCGGCTGCCTTATCGCTGCTGCCCTCGTCCACCCAGACCTGAACAACCGACCATTCTTCGATGGACTTTGGTATCAACAAACTGATTTGATATTTTTTTATTCAAAGCTAAGCTGTGTAAGCAGCAACATCCGGTCACAAGCCTCTGCAGGAGGAGCGTGACTTCTACCATTACTGTCTTCTTTTAGGAACACCGCGAAGTGAGAATCACAAATGAAAAAGCGCTCATGATATTCAAAAAAACAAATCTTCAACCCACAGGGCCTCCTCCTTGTACGTGGACGTTATGAGCACGATGCCGCAGCTGTACATGATCCACAAGCAGGAAGGGAAAGTCGACGCTTTGTCAGCACACTACGTCTTCCTGGTTGCAGTGTCAAGAGCAATGGACACGGTGTTTTGGTATAGGACTCTGAACGATAAATTATTTTTTTTCCCGATCCGGATCCACATGATTACCTTCCGTGCTGCTAGTGCGAAGAAACAACAGTGTGTGATAGATTTAGATAGCGGTTGTGTGCATTCGATGACTACACAATGATATAATAATTTTATGCCCTAGCGCTGAAGTTGTTTAGTAGGCCGTGAGCTTGACGCTTGATTTTCATCATCTTGCTTAGGTACTTCGGTTTCGAAGAGCTCGCTCCGGAGAACGGCGGTTTCAACATCAGTGGGTGCACCGTGCTCGGCGCAAATCTTCTCCACATGGCCCTGATTTCCGACTTCGTCTACTCCTACGTAAAAAACGTGTTGGCGGGAAAGGTGATGCACCGCCAATTCGATTTCGCCAGCAACGAAAAAGTGGTCTTGGACGTCGTCTAAGTAGTTGATCGTCGTCTACGCGAATTTCTGTACCGTTAGCTGCTGGTCGGTGCACAAAATTAATCTCGAGATGAACATGATAAACACAACTACACATGTACCAAGCAAGATGAAGCGGCCGTTGCAGTTCGTCTTGCTGCAATGAAGCGAAAATTCGAAGTTAGTGCCATATCCTAATCCTGAAGCCACACTTGTACGATTTCTGTCGTGTCGCGTAGTTCGGACGAGTTTCGATAGCAACGAAAAAACGCATTTGTAAAACGCGTTGTGTAACCTTGACCACATCATGAAATTAAAACTTGAATAGCGAAAACCTCATGTAGATGCAAGACCAAAATAAAACAAAAACTAACTAACGAGAGGAGAATGCGTTTACTACACCAAAGATGAAGTTGCAGCACTGAGTTTACAGCCCTCTTGAATTTTTTCGCTCGCAAGGCAACTACTATTTCGAAAATATCTCGTTGGAGCTTTTCTTTTCTCGCACGGTGTATTCGCATTTTTGCTTTGCGAACGAGATTTAACTGTTGCGAAGGGGGAGCTTCGTTTTCGAAAGTGTTTTATGACGATTGAAACCTGTACCAAATTTTCTGTAGGTCTGTAGCTTTTACACATTTCACTATCCGTACACTGTGTTGATAACAAACTCGCTGTCTGTAACAACGAAATTAGCTTTCCAAGATTTCAACTTTCTTTGTACCTAGTACCATTTGCGAGCAATTTCCTCGACTGCGCCTTCTAACTCTCTTTGAAAATAAGTCTATGTAAATTTGTAGCAGAAACTAGTTGTCATTTCCAATTCACTTTGTCTAATTTCACTTTGTTGAATCATAGGCCGCTATGATTCTTCATCGCTTCTCAAACTTTCTACCTTTCAAGAATTCAGGAACCTTGCACAAAATAAGTCACACTATTTGCGAAGCGTGTGACTTGTTCAGGTCACTCGTCAGAGGAGAAAAATTCCCTTGTAAAGAAGCCTTCTAGAAGGCTTCGTAACAAATGAACCGAGGAAGCGGATGATGTGTCAACAGACTTCTCCGTCTTGTTTTCGCACAAAAAATTTGCGCACCACTAGCATTTAATGTATGTACACATCCACAACTACGCTGACACGACAACCCCTGCTGGCGCAGCTCTAATATTATTGAAATATATTGAAGATGAAACTTCTATCTTGTATTTGACGATTTTGCGCAACTCAAGCTCGTTTGTATCTGTCGCAAAAATCATCTGAGGATTGTCTTCTACCTTTACGATGTAACCTTCTACTTCTTGTACAGCAGCTGACAAGCTTTGTAATTGTTTGATGTAAGCACTTAAACTCAACACCTAAAAGGATTCGGGCGGCGAGCTTGCTACAACGACCTGTGGGCGTGTTCTCTAGGCTGTCACTCTTTTCGTACGTAACGATTTAATATGCCGGCGCATGCATTGAGTGTTGCTAGGTTTCGCACATCGCTGGGCGGTCTGATCGTTCGCTGAGGGAACCGGAACTGAACCAGCGGAGAGAGAGAGCATGCACCGATGATGATCGGATTGTCTTTGTCTTCGTATGTGTATGATCGCTAATATTATCGCTCGGCCTATCCCTACCTACGAACAGAAACAGTTTTCGTGTCGTTTGCTCTCTTCTGGCTACGATTTCGGTGGCGATTGCTCGTTCGATTCACTTCGATGTTCACCCGTGCCAGAGCGCTCGGATATTCAGATTTCGAATTTTTCTAGCATCCGGCAGAACGATGAACAGCTAATTTATTTCACCGTCGCCGTCTCTCTTGTTTTGCTAGTTGCAGCCAATCTGGCCTTCGCTTTGGTTTTTTCTAGCTTTTACGAAGAAATAAAGTGCAGGCACGGCGGTAAAGCAGGCCAGGCTCTCGTATTTGATACCAGTGTCACTCACAGTCACGACACCACGGGACGTATTTCATCCCCAAACCAGCAGTAGGCCTAGAGTAAAGACCACTTCGATAAAATGGGGGACGAGGTGCCACAGCAGCTCATCTTCGAGAATGTGTCGCCTGCGACACGTTTGCTCGAAAAGCGGCGGCAGATGTACTAGATTTAGTTTATTTACGCCATTGCCACCTGGGCAGTCGAAATGCAATTCTGACGTCCAGCACAGTGAGAGTGCTACTTAATTTCTCGATCACAAACATTCGTCTTATGCGTTAAAAGCATGCGCGTAATGCCGCGTTTTTCGAATAAATTATCCTAAGTACAACTTACATTCGCAGTTCGATGAAATACAAAGCTTCAAAAAAATCTAAATCTTCGTAGGTACGAAGTTCAAGACGCCTTGGAAGCCCAGAAAGCCCGTTTTGCGCAGGAAGAAGAAGCGTTCGCGAAAAAGGAGGTGCAACTCCGAGCGAAAGATCTCCAGCTGCAGCAGCAACTCATAAAATTCAACAAGTTTCTCCAGGACAATGAAGCGAAAAGGAGAAGAGCAGAGACAAGGTAAATACTTGGTCTAGACGAGATTCATTCATTCGCGTTTGTAGTTGGTTCTCAAGCGAGGTGAAAAATCGCGGGCAGAGGCGACAATGAATTTTCTCATGCATGATCAGGATCATAGTGATAGCTTTTCGATCTGAGACTCGAAGATGAATCATGAAGAAAATGAGGACTGATGCATGAAACAAAACAGAGCCTCCGAGGAGCAGGCGCAGATACTTCAGAAAGAGGATATCAAATGTAAAAATAAATGTCTGGGTCTGGAAGATTGCCAGCTTTGTCATGCATATTTTGCATGACTCCTGATGTCTGTGATGCGTGCCCTAGCATCACAGATTTTGTGAGGGCTTCCTGATGCCTATACCGCATGACACATGCTCTCTGCGTGTAGCAAAACTTAGACTCTCTTTGCTGCTCATGCAATACAGATTTTTTTATATTCCAAAATCAGCATGACAAGTTGCATTCTTCCAGACCCAGACATTTTTACATTTGATAGAGGAGGAGATAGGGCAACTCCAAAAGAGGCTGGACGAAAGCCAGAGTTTGTGCTTGGAGCTGGAGGAGGACGTGTTGAAAAACTTGAAATACGAAGAATTTCTGGAGCTCGTCAAGGAAAACTCCGATGACTACAGCGAGATCCAGGACCTCGTCACAAGGTTTGAACAAATTAAATACTTGCAATTGAAACCAGAGTGGCGCGCATGCATGAGAATGGACGATGATGACAAATGTATAAATGCACGACCACGACTGACATCTACGAATAAATGCAGATGTAATAACCCTTTATCAGGCACGAGACCCTGGAGGCGGCTCATCGCGACCTGATTGAGAGTCAGCAGAAGGCCGAGAACATGAACGAGGGCATAAGGAACGAGTACCAGAATTACCGCAAGGAGAAAGCCATGGAAGTTCTAGCACTAACCAACAAAACGGCGGCGCTCCAGGCGGAGCTCGAGGACGTGGAAAAAAAGTGCTTGCAGCTGGAGGCCCTGGCGGAACACAGCCGTCAAGAAGAGTCGCAGCAGTCACTGTTTCTGGGCCAGATCATTATGAGTGTGGACAACCTGTTCCAGAGATGTACAGATTTTTTTGTTGATGTGAGAATATATAAGTGTTCTTGTATTTTTGGAATTCTGTACACGAAGTTTTAAATACCACATTATGCAGAAGCAGAGCCCTCGCGCAGGAGAATTGCTCGGGAAGATAAGGAGCGAGCAACTGCTATCAATTCGAACTCAAGGTAACCTGAAGCGACCCGCCATTCAGCACAGCAACGAGCTCGGAGAGAAGGCGTCCGCGATCGCGGCGATACAAAACGCAGACTCCTACGCGCCCAAAGTAACCTTCGCGGTCAAGCAACTCCACGTCATTAAGGCGTATTGACCTTGTTCAGAACGATTATTTTCATTTCAGTTAATTCGTTGCTTCACGTTCTTACGTTATATTATTGGCATGTTATGTAACCTCGGTTTAAGAAACGCACTACAGCTTTTCATTTAGTTTTTCGTAACAGTAGGATGAGGATTGCTGATGTGCATCGCAAGAGTAAAAATGCCCTGAAGCCATTTGGTTTTGGTACAACTAGAGTGTTGCGAAAGATCTGCAGCGATGTTGTCATTCCTAATCCTAAGGTACATAAAGGACCTGCGTGACATCCAGGATAGCATCAAGAAGGAAGGCCGCGGTCGCAAGAAAGAGGTGGTGACCGAATTCGGCACCAAGATTTCCGAGCCGGAATTTGTTTTTGAACGGGTGGCGAAATAAGAGGAAACGGAGCTGATGTGGAACGAATGTTTGCCACTACAGCGCAGGAGCTAATTACAACGGATTGAGATTCAGTTTAATACAGATTCAGATTCAGTAGAGCAGGAGGACGAGGAACGTCTTACTTTCTTCACGGTGTACTCGTGTTGATATTGAGCCGTTCTTCTAGCTTGTTCGCAGCAAGAGCTTGAGATTCAGATTTAACAGATTCAAAGCAAGAGACAACGGAATTGAATACGAAGTACATCCGATCAGGCCATGGCTCTGTGGTCTGGGGTGCTCGTTGTCTACTTGAGATTCAGATCTTAGATTCAGATTCACCGGACGAGAGTCCAGCATGTCCTCTGTGTGTAGTTTAATTGATACCGCGCAGCAGGATTTCTGCGAAATTTTGATGGAAAATGCCACCGTCTGTATCTATAGAAAATGAAGGTCGTCCGATGCCGGAACGGACATGTACTAAAAAAGAAAAAAAGAAGCTGTATCATCGATCATGCGCATTTCTCCTGGCTTTCGCTAGTCTGGGAGGCGTGTTGCTGAGTATTCATATTGTTGCAGTCGCTCTTGCAGCGCCTGCATATTGGGTAGGTTGATGATGTTCATGTTCAATGAACGCCCCTGGTTGTTGGATAAGTTTCCTATGCCACCAAGAATGAGTAAGAATGTCGGAACAACAAGGTAGAAAGTCAAAGTGCCACAGCCACAGGGACATCACAGTCATTCACCAGAGACGATTTGTGTAGTGTATTCCTTTATTTGACGTCCTCGCTATTAGCCAAATTTAAACGACCTTGTTGCATAATGAAAGAGCAAGAACAACGAACAGAAGCCTTATGCGGCAACACGAGTATGATGATATCGACAGACTTGTGTAGAAAGAAGTAGAACAAAAAAACAACAAGAACTATTATGCTGTTGCTGCCGCTTCTCTGGGTGATCCACCAGTGATTCTAGATTTTTTACAGAAGAAGTGCAGCGGCTGCGAGAAGCGACGAGGGCCGTTGATTTATTCCACGAAGGAGCTAATATGACGTCTTCGCGCCAGAAGCACCAGCGCGCCGAGCATAGCGGAAAGCATGGTGGGAAAGAGAGCGGCAAGGGCGCGGTGGTAGGAATCGTTTTCGCCGTCGCACTAGCCGCCGGTCTCTACATGTTCCGGGGTCCGGTGGGCTCCTTCGTACTGCCGAAGTTTGTCCTTACAAAAACCATATCAAATGCAAAAGTGTTTGGGTCTGGAACAAAGCAACTTGTCATGCTAAATCTGAATCATGTGAAAATCTGTGTTGCGTGGTTGCCAAAAGGAAGCTGTCCACTTTTAACCTAATCCAGAGGCAGTGTCTCATGCAGCGTAGGCATGATAGAACTCTCACAGAATCTGTCATGCTTTCTCCTTCAAACCAGACCTCATGGGTCATGGGCAACCTGCATGACAAGTCTGGCACTCTTCCAGACCCAGACACTTTTGCAGTTGATAAGCCACCAGCGCAAAAAAGCCGGACGGCGAATTCGCCCTGCTGGGTTGGGCAAACTGGCTGGAAAAAGTGGGAACCAGTGCGGACGTCGTCAGATGCTGTTACGCGGTGGTACTCACTTTTTTATATTTTGTTTATTGACCACTCGTTTGCGTCATTAATAATCCGTTGCCGTTTCATCTCACTGCTCAATCAAGTTCTTCTTCTGCTAGCTTTATGCGTGACTTTCACTTTACATGTTGACGCCGACAGAACATTTTTTCTCTGCATGTTAATATCGGCGGTCGTGTTGAGACAAAGCCAAAACTTGAACTTCATCACAGAACTTCAAAGAGATGCACGATTCCTGGTGCAGCACAAACTCGAGCCTGTCTATGATGGACGACGGGATAAAGATCCTGTCCCAGTGCAGCGAGAACCTTCGGGGGCGCACAGAATACCCAATCGAGAGCTTCCACGCCGACAAATACGAGGGTAAGGTCAGGCACTCCACACGGGGAAGCGGCGCCGTTTTCCTCATTAGCGAGTTCAAGAGAAGGGCAAGCAGGCTGAAGACGGCGAAACCGAGTGATGGTATCTACCTAAACCCTAAACTACTAGAGAAGCAAAAGGGTTCTCCTCAATCTAAGCTAGCATGATTTTGAACTGATAGTGATAAAGCAAACTTGTTTGTCCCAGAACAAGTAGACTTCATTCGATGCTGCTACTTGCCTAGGAGCGATGTTGAGATGATAAAGATGCATCATTTTGCTACGATCATAGCACCCCTACAACAACAGCAATCTCCCCTATGGCTGGTAGTCCAGTGTGCAAGATCTTGGAGGGCTGCGCCAACGACAAAACGAAAGGCGAGAAACCCTGCCGGGAAGTGCGGAAGTTGCTCGGCGACTGCTTTGCATAACAGGAAGAAGCAGGAGGCCATTTTTGTGGAAGTGTAGCTTTGCACAGCAAGAATTAGGGGACCGAACACATCAAGGCACGACTTGGGCAACTGAGAACAAGCGACGGCCACAGGACCGCACTTTCGTGGTGCTTCTTTTGCTCGCGACGCGACTCGTGTAAATGTATAATGCATGTCAACACATTGAGCGCTTCAACATTTCTGGTCGCAAACCAGAGCTGCGACATAGGGAAACGCGAAACAATAACACCTGGTGTGTGACCTCTTCAAGCCACTGGCACTGGAGGTATAGAGAAAGAACCCAAAGACAAAGAGTCAATAAACTTGAGCGATCTTTTCACGCACGTCTGCGCAAAGATACGAAAAGACGTCAAGCATAGTGCGACACTAAAAATCTCTCTGGCGGGCCGCGAATTTCGGCTGGGGTGCCTATGATCTGCGGTGTATATGCAGATTGGCAGACACGGTTGTGACAACTCTGAAGATATTGAACTATCGGAATGAGCAGCCATCTTTTTTCGAATCAAGAAAGCTGCGAACTGCTGTAGCTGCTTTTCATCGTAAGTACTACCAGAAGTAGAGCGGAAATTACAGGGACCACGAGAGAGCGCGGCCGCGGGCGGGGCAGAAGTTATAAACAAAGTCCATGCAACTCCTCCGACTTGCGAATGCTGGCGATGAATAAAGATAGAATCTTCGTTGAGGGTCTGGTCGTTGCTGTACAAGGAAGCCCAAGTGCGCATTCTGAAGAGGAGGGAGTCAGTGCTTCCTTTTTCTTAGTGTCTAGTTCCGTACGTCGATACGAAACAGAGCGAAAAAAATATGCTGGTGAAGATCCAGATGAGAGAGAGAGATCGATCTACTTGCGCAAACCTCAGGCCCCGGTACAAGTCAACATTGGGCAATTACCGGAATAATGTGTGCGTTGCGAACTCGCATCCGATTCCGAACCATCATGGCAGAAGCACGTTAACGCTTGCTTTCACGCACGAAAGAACTCCGTGTCTCGTTCCGCGTCGTGGCGCTCCCTGCTCAGTGCCCTGCCGAAGCGTTCTTTGGTAGGCATCGATTGTCTTCTTGACGGGTGGACAAGTGCAGAAGCTAACCGACGGGGAAGAAGCGCCAGCGGAGAAATAAACGAAGGTCCCTTATTTACGCGAGTTCTAGTACTCCTTGCACCTGTGTTGAAATTGACTACGGAGAACCTCCGAAAAATTGCACATCCCCGCCGACCCGCACCACCAGCACAGTTACCATGAGTGCGACGCTTGCGTGGGATTCGTTCCTTGGGGTGGGGCAGCAGCCCCCCGCCATGATGACCAACGCGCGCATTGTTGCCTTTGACCGGCAAAACTTCGTCTTGGTGGGGGGGCTCACCGGGCGAAGGAGCAAGCGCGTTTTCAATCTGCGGAACTACGGAGAACAAGGCTGGCAGTGGCGCGATATCACTCCCAAACTCGGGGATGCTTTTGAAGAGGTATCTATACATAGCTGTCGAAGTAGGAACAAAAATCAATCATCCCGCGTTCTGGTAGTCGTATTTTTCGTTCTGCAATAAAGGTGAACATATGTGATCGCATATATCAGTTTGCACGAAACATGGTTCTCAACTCCAGGTTTGCAACCAGGCGATGTGCGCCCTCCGCTACGAGGACAAGCTGCCGAGAAACAAAGTGAACCTGACGCGGGGGCGGTGTATGCTGTTCGTTTTCGGTGGCCAAGTGCAGGGTGGCGTGAACGACGCGGGCCGGCCGGTGCTCTCAAGTGCGACCTATTTTCTGGATTTGGAAAATCCGATCGGACCAATCTGGCGCAAACTCTTTTGCCCCGAGGCACCGACCGCAAGAGAGGGAGCCTGTGGTGAGTCGGTGTTTTCTATTTCTTTGATGCGCGATGATCTTCTTTTCGTATAAGAAACCGACCTAAAAATGCTAACATAGTCCTAATCCTCTCGCTCTCTTTCACATTCATCATCGAAGCCAGCCACAAGCTTTGGCCCCTATGTCACTTGTGTCTACATCAAGTTGATGTTGCGACAACAACATCATCACCTAGCGCTGGTACACCGCGGTGAGATCTTTCTCTTTGGAGGCCGTGCCGCCGCTATGAGCAACAGCAACGGAATCATGGCGGATATGTGGAGCCTCGACATCGACCAGTGCGATATGAATGCCCAGGTGCAGTCCGCCGAGGCATACGGAGGAGGTGAGAAAAAGAACCAAGTTAGTGATGCAAATACTAATGCGTTTTACAACTACATGCAGTTAGAAGAGCAGATTCTGATTCACAAAGATGTTCTTGTCAAAGGAAGCGATGGCCATTTTCTATGGCTCCTGCACTAGTAGCTGTAATTAATGTACAGCGGATGAGCGACGTGGACGTCGTACCTATTTAGCTTTTGATTCTTTCAGGTCTCGGCGGCTCAACATGGGTACCACACGCCACAGCTATGCACAAAAAAAAAACGCCTTGTAGCTTCGGAGTGTTCATCATTACTTGTCCCCGAAAGTTTCACCTTCTGGCGCCTTGAGCTGGTTTGGCATGCCTATATAATGGAGCCCACCAGCGATTGCATTGGCATTTGCACGGTTCACCGCTTTCACGACAAACAAGCCAAGTAGAACATCACTGCCGAAGTCGCAATGTGGTCGTTTCTCAACGCATGCATACGCCTCAAGTCCGGACGGTACCCGAAGGGGCGCTACGGCCACGCGATGGTGTCCATCGCGGACAAGATTTACCTGTTCGGTGGTATGAGCGACCAGAAGCTCGGGGACTTGTGGTGCTACACGCCGGCCACGACAAGTTTTTCCTCCTCCGGCATTCTGAAACGGTCCACGGCGACGTCGTCCAGCAGCGGCAACTCCTGGAACCCGGTGCGCACGGTCGGAAAAACGCCGGCGGCGCGGTCCGGGCACGGGATGCTATACGTGGAGCCGGACTCGCTAGTGGTGTGGGGCGGGATGCTGAAGGACGCACCCGGTGGCTTTCCCGTGATGGGCACGACGGTGTACGTGTTAGATCTGCAGTGCCTCTATTGGACCACGCCGTACGTGCTGGGCGAGTGCCCGCCCCCGCGAAAGTCCATGGCGGTTTCCGACTTCACGGGCGGGATATTCGTGTGTTACGGGGGCGCACCCTGCGGCGACGTGTTCCGCAACTGCATCGAGACGCCGCAAAGAGCTTTTGTGTACACGCTACGCAGCACGCTGGATGACGCGGTGAGCAGCTCCGTCACCAATAATAACGCGGAGAACAGCGCCGGCGGCGCGGCCAAGGGTGGAGATGCTGAGGCGGGGGCTTCTACTTCACAAGCGCCGCCGGCAACCGGGGACGTGGGCAACATTTCCGCCAAAGCTAGCGAGCACTTCTTGACGGAGGGCCGAGATCGGCTGCTATCCCTGAAATTGCAGCTGGAAAGACGGAAGAAGGAGGTGATCGAGCTCGTCTCCCAACTGCACAAGGAGCAGGCACAGCGGGAGCAGAAGGACAGGATCCTGCGCAACTTGTCCAAAGACATTTTCTCCGTCGACAACGAAATGTCGTACCTGCAAAAGCGGAACAAAATCCTCTACCGCATCGGCCTCGCGGAGCAGTCCCTGCGAAAATCCTGTGAGTCCAGCTGTCAGAAGTTGAAGGGACTGGCCTCCGTCGTCGAAGCGATCATGATCGCGAAGGAGGGGGGCGACGACTACATCAAGGACCTGCTCAGTAGCGCGACAGCAGGCGGGGGGGCTAGTGCTGGGGGTATCAAGAAGGGAGCACCAGGAGGACAGCAAGCCGAGTCGGAGGACGACGAGCTGATGCGCAGGATTTTCTGTAGCCACCTACACAGCAGCAACCTGGAGGAAGGTGGGGACCATCAGCAGCAAGTAGAGCCCAACGCCGACGGCAGCTTCACCGTGGCATTAACCGCCAACGCGTCCGGCTCCAAAAGTGCGGCGGGTGGGAATGGCAAGGACGCGGCTCCGGGGATGAAAAGCGGGAACAACAAGGGGGGAAGCAATCCGAGCTCAAGAAGGAACTCCAGTGCCACCGCAAACAGTAACTTCGAGGACGAGGACGCCGCGGCGGAGGCAGTATTCATGATTTTAGGAGGGAGTTTTTGTAGCGTTCTTGCAGTACTTTTACTAGATGTAAATTGATGCAGAAGGAGGGCATGATGTTCTGCTATCATGCAATGTTGCCTTGTAGTACCACGTAAAAGGAGCAAAGAGTAGGAGGACACGACGTAGCACCTAGCACCTTCGTAGTGACTCAGACTGTGGTGCAAGAATCGTCAACATGATCACTGTATCTTCGTCTGACAGGCCGAAGCCGAGCTGGAGGAGCTCGAGAAGGAGCACAAGGACCTGCTGAAGCAAGTTCTGGCCCAAGAGAAGAAGCACAGCACGGAGGAGCGCAAATTGGGCGACTTGTTGCAGCAGCTCCGCGTGGACCTGGGCGTGCTCGATGACACGCAGGCCCTGCACGAGCAACGCGGGCAACAGCAGCAGCTTGGAGCAGGGTCGTCTTCCCCGAACAAGCACAATCGGTCCGGGTCGCGTATGTCCCCCGATCGGGTCGAGGACGCGCTATCGCCTAGACTGTCAGACTATGCATTGCAAAAGTGTCTGGGTCTGAAAACTTGTGATGCTGGGTGGCGTATCATGAGGAGGTCACAAGTGCTGGCGCAGCATGACAAGCCTCCGAGCTTATAGGTGTTGCCGATTCTGCATGACAGCATGACAGAAAAATCATGGGGTTCTTGGGTAACGTGCATGACAGATTGCAGAGTAATGCCAGACCAGCATGACAAACGTGCACTCTTCCAGGCCCAGACATCTTTGCATTTGATACAGACCGGGGGGAGAATTATCCGTCGGGGAATGTTAGCGTGCCGCCTTTGAAGTTCTACAATGACGGCGAAGTGGAGCAGGACGAGGACGAACAAGCGGGTGATGCTGGCGACAGGCAGCAAGAAATTACTTCTCCGCTAGTGGAGCTAGACCCTGGAGGCGCAGAGTTTATATGACACATAAATCATCAACCAACGATAAGAACCTTGATCCACTCCAAAGATCCAAAGCACACCTAAACGGGCACGATCGTCACTAATTCAATTCTACTAGAGTAAGATGACTACTGAACCTGAAACAGGCTAAGACGGGCACGAACGTCACGGCAAGAATAGTGAAGGTTCCCGAGTGCCCCAGTTTTGCCTGGGCACGCAGTACCATCGACCTTTACTCTTCCAATGAACCCCAGGGCCCTTGATGCCAGTCAAGGCACACACACAAATAATCTCTCATGCATATTTGTACCACCTCAACTAGGTGTTGTTTTTACTCGTAGTGGGTTCGACCTCGTCGTTGGTTAGTTCGCATCTTCACAGAGTTATGAGCCCAAATTACCACTAAGATTTACTTCTGATTGCGAACATTTAAAATTACACTTTGCGCCTAATTATCAGCATTACAAATTTAGAATCATAAATACCCCAACGACAAACCATGGGCGAGCTGACTGCAGCGCAGAAGCAAAACAAGAAAGAGAAGACTGCGAAGGAAAAGGCTGCGAAGGAGAAAGCAGCAGCAACAGCAACTTCTGGCGAGCCTGAGGGCGAACAGCAAACAGCCGGTGATGACGGAACCATCACGCCGAACCCAGACAAGAAGAAAAAGAAGAAAAAGCAAAACACTTCTTCTACCGCCGACACCACTCTGACGCTGCAAACTGCGCCTAGCGTTGTGGCGAAGTTGTCGCAGATGGGAAAACTGCTGGGCGACTTGAAAGACGACAAGGGCGGCACTGTCGTTGCTGACCTCCGGAAGCAGCTCGAGGACGTCGCGAAGGAAGAACAACAGCGCGACGCGGATGCGAAGAAGCAGTTGCAGAAACCAGCCACGAAGACCAGTACGAAAAAGAAGAAACAGAAGAAACCGAAGCGGAAGGATTCCGATTCCGACATTCTGTCTTCTTCGGATTCCAGTGGTGGCAGCTGCGACGAAAACTCTTCTTCCGATTCCTCAAGCGGTTCTGCGAGTTCCGAGGAGGACGAGAAACCGAAAAAGCGAAAGAAATCGTCGAACGAAAAAGACGAGAAGAAGATGGTCTTGTCGCAACTCCCGCTCTATCAAGATGACTCGTTACCGTTCACCGAGTACTTGTCGCTCGCGCAGGAGAAGTACAAGCCGAGCCGTATCCTGAAAGGGATTGAATCAAAAATCCAGCATACTACTACCCTGCGACAGTACTTAGCGGCGAAGAAGCGGAGGACAGTCCGCAAGGCGCATAACAGTTCGAAGCGCCTCCGGCGCATCATCAAGATCTTCCGGAACGAACTGCAAGACCCCGATGCAGGTATGGAGAAACTGGAAGATTGCAAGCAGGACCAGAACCAAAACCCACAGGAGTGGTATAAGAAGTTCTGCGAAGCTCTTGCTGAATTGCCTGAGGACAAACTGCCGTTCTCGGAAGTCGTCCGCTACGCCGAACGGAACGCGCAAAAGAACGTCAGGGGCATCATCGTCCAGGACAAACCGAGAAACGCGACGCAGCTGGCGGCTGCGATTGGCAAAGCGGAGAAGCTTTTCGGGAAGAAGAAGAAACCTGATGTCGCCTTCCCTGCCTTCCACGACCCGAAGGGCGGCCGCAAGCACAAGGGCGGTCGTCATGGCAAGAAGGGTAGTGGCAAGGGCGGTAAGAAGGGCGGCAAGGGTGGTAAACCCCGGAAGCCGTACAACCCGGACGCCTGGTGCGATTACTGCAGCCGCGCCGGCCACTGGGAATCGGAGTGCCGTACCAAGCAGAATACCGACGGCGGCAAAACTGGGGCACCGGGGAAGCAGTACAACTCGTATGCAGCATCCGGCGACCACAACAGCGGTGGACACCACCAGCAGCATGGTGGATACCACCAGCAGCAGCAGCAGCAGGGGAACTACAACCAGTACGGTGCCCAGCACCAACAACAACAAAATCCGTACCCCCCGCAGCAACTGCAACAACAGATGGTCCACCAACCGGCGAACCCGAACTACAACCAGCAGGGCGGATTTTTCTGTGCCGTGGCTGTCGAAATCTCCTGCCCCGACCACCCCCACAGTGCGTTTGCGACTCCCGCGACAGCAAACACGGTGGAGATGTTCTTGATGCTGGATTCTTGTGCGAGCAAGCACATGGCGGGACCGGTGCGGGTTCTGCATGAACTCGTGAAAGCGCCGGCAATGTCGTTTAGCACGGCAAACGGACCGACCACCAGTACTACCACGGGTTCTATCTGGTTGGAAACCTCACCGCCGATCAAGCTCCAGAACGTTGCCCACGTCCCTAGCCTCGGCAACAGGGTGTTGCTGAGTTATCCGCTTTTGCGCAGAGCCGGTATCCCGATGTCCTTGGACAAGATGCAGTTCTTATCCTACGCGATCCAGCTCGTGGAAGGATGCACCCAGATCAAGCTCCCGGTGCGTATCAACCACAAGGAACCGATCCAGACGGCGTTTGTAACCTGCAGCGAGGAACTCATGCAGGACTTGTGGTGCGCCACCCATGATTACTTTAATTCTTTGATTGGTTTCGATAGCTCTTTGCGTCTTCAGTTTTTCGAAATCGATTGCAAAAATCTCAGCACAAACGAGATAATCGCAGAAGTCGTTCACAACCGTCAAAAACGACTTGCACTACTGGCGCCCATCATCAATGACGAGATCAAAGAAAAACTTCGCATTTTGTCAGCGTATCTCGATGAAAGAGTAGTAGTGCTTGATGGCCCGAGTCACCACCAGCATCGGACATTTGAAATCAAAGACGACGATGTCAGGTGGCTTGCATCTTGTGCCTATTCTTTCCCCGCGCCAGAGGTTCCACCAGAGGACCAATCGCATGAGCCTGAGCCTGCTGTATCTTCGGACCCCACATCTTCAAGCGCGCAACAGGAAGATCGTGGCCAGGATGCAACCCGCAGCGCCTCAAGCGATTCTGAAAATGCCGACCGCTCTGAGCTACCTACTTCGGATCATCTTGGCTCTGAGCAGCCCAAGGCCAAAAAGAAGAAAAAGGCCAAGAACAAAAAGCGCAAAAAGGCCGACCAGGACCAGGACCAACCAAAGCGAACGCGCCCGGCGAAGAAGTTCAGGCGAACAGATTCGACCGAGGCCCCGGCTTTCGAGCAAATTAGTTATGAAAAGATATGCCAGCTTGGCGCTTGCCTTTTTATGCCTACTTTCCAAAAGTTGTGGGAAATTGTCCGAACGCTTGACAACTCCCAGCGCTCCAGAAGTATGGTTATTCACTTCTGCAAGCACAACTTGACGCGCCTTAAGACCCATGCCTTTCCCCACCATAAAGTCGGAGGAGTTGAAGCCAATTCTTTGTCCGACTGGTGCGCCTTAGATACGTTTTTTCCGTTAGGTAAGGAGTTTAGCGTGCTACATGGGATCAACATCCATTCCCGCGCCAGCACCACCACAACTTTCAAACGAGCAGTCAAGATGCAGGACACTGCTGATTTTTTAGAGTACTTGAAAACTGTTGGCATGATGGGCAAGAACATTCTTTGCGACCAAGGCAAGGAGTTTGACAACATAAAAGTGCGCGAATGGTGCCAGCTGTATGGCATTCAGCTTTTCCTGACGCCTAAGGCTTCTTGGGTGAATGGAACTTGCGAGCGCCGCCATCGTCTTTTGCGTGCTGTTTTGCATCGTCTTTATTACGTTTATGGCCAAAAGAGTTCTATCATCCCGCGCCTGGTACAACAAGCAACAAACGCGGTTAACATGACGCCCACCGCTGCGCTTGACGGGCTTGCGCCTGCGCAGGTGCAGTGGGTCATAAATCCGTTTAAGCTCGAGCCTAATTTTGTAGAAGATTTGACAGAGCAGCAAGCAGTTTTAGTCAACGAGCAAAGTCCTGAGTCCGATTACAAAATCCGTTGTAGGGCCCGTGCTCTGGTCGAAGAGCTGAAGCACGACAGACAGCTTGTAGATGAGACGCGGAAGCTGAGGGAACTTCAGCGCAATTTTTATCATGAATCCGACGAGTGCAAAGTTGGTGAATTGGTAGAAATTTTCGACAAGGACAAAGAAGCATGGTTAGGTCCCTGCACCTTAATCCATCGCCAAGTGAACAACAACTCAGTCACTTTCGTTGTGGATCATGATGGCAGGTATCGCCGTTCGCATGCGTCTCACGTACGTAGGCACCTGACGGCCACTGCTATGACTTTTCCACCCATGTTACTCAAAAGCCTCTACAAAACGCACAACGTCCCTGATAGCCATCCGGACACGCCCCAGGGCGAATTTCTCGACGAAGAGACAACCATCAAAATAGTTCCGGATGGTAATGCGAAGGTCGCACCAAAAACCCTCGATGCAGCTGACAGCATCAAAGCCGACCCAAAATCGAGCACCGATGCCCCCGCCGCATCAAGTAGCAGCGCAAGCTCGTCATCTCGTGAACCTGACACGCTCCCGCCGCCTGGCAACGGTGGCCCGGCTGTCTCACTTGATGTTGCACCCATCGAACTAGAGAAAAAGTTCCGTCTTACCAAGGACTACTATCAGGGCGTTTTCGACAAACTCAAATCTGAAGAGGTGCAGCGCGTACGCCAGTTGATCGCGACAACTGAAACAGCGCCGGTGCGTGGCGCTTGGATAAAACGCAACGAACAACGTGAGAAAACGCTACTCACAGTGCGCGCGTTAATCGATGCTCAGCCCGAGTATTCGCATTTGAAAGAAGCACAAAAGCACAAAGTCGCTTCTGACATCGCAGAACGATGCCGACAGCTCAACATCAACGACATTAACGACAATACGCTTGCAGCCATGCTTGCGCCCCTCATTTGTGCTGACTGGGAGCCTGGTGAAGTTTGCTACAAAGCTATCGCTGTCCCTGATCACAAGTCTGGTTTTGACACTACAGAGCCCGCTTGGAAAGAAGCCATTTCTAAAGAAGTCAAAGCACATTCTCACGTATTCAGGCCTGCTACACCTGAAGAAGTCGAACGGTTCAAACGCAGCGGCAGCAGAGCAGTACCCTGCAAAATGTTGCTTAGTGTAAAGCGCTGCGGCAAACGTAAGGCCCGGATCGTATGCTTAGGCTTTCTGGACAAAATGTCTGGGAACCAGAAGTATGCTACTGTGCCTGATTTAAGTATTTTGCGTATGTTGCTTTGTATGAAAGTTCAGTCACCTAGGATGTTTGCATTCCCTTCCGACGCTACTTCAGCCTTTTTGCAAGCAAAGTACCCAGTTCCGGTCGTGATCGATCTCGATCAGCGATTGCAAAACGAGCTAGGCTACCGCCTTGGTGTGGTAGAATACGCCATGAATGGCCTGCGCCTTAGTTCCCGCGCCTGGGAAGACCACCGCGATGCCGTTCTTGTCAAACAAGAATGGAAGCGCAACCCCATCGAGGCCACTCTCTGGACTCGTGCCGGTGTTTTGTTGTTAGTATTTGTAGATAATTTTTGGTTTTTCGGTGACAAGGAAGAAGTTTTGAAGTACCACGAAGAACTTAGGCCCGCGCTAAAGTTACAACCCGAAGAGGTTCGCGACGAAGGTACGCACCTCGTCTACGATGTCCTTGGCATCGAAGCCCGCGAAAACAAAAAGACCGGCGACATGGTCTTGAACCAAGACAAATACGTGCAGAAAATTCTTGATCGCTTTGGCGGTGACACAGGTCGCAACACTTCCACGCCAATGGATGCGCCTCCTGATGTCTCTGCGCCTGAAGTGCCTGAATTAGTCAAAACCAAGCAAGAACTAACTGGCTCCTTACAGTATTTGTGTCAAACCAGGATGGACATAGTCGTAGCTTTAAAGATGTGCGCCCGCGTGAAAGCTACTCCCGAGTGCATTTTGGCACTCAAGCGCATCGTGCGCTACTTACGGACCCGCCGAGGTCTCCGATACAAAAACCGAAGTGAAAAGTTTGGAGATCGTCTTATCCTCACCGCGTGGAGCGACTCCGACTGGGCTAGTTTCGGAGATAGAAAGTCTAATTCCGGCGTAGTGATCTGTCTGAACGGAAATGCCATCGCATGGCGTTGCGCAAGTCAAAACAGCGTTAGTTCTAGCGTTTCTGAAGCTGAGCTCTATGGCATGAGCGAAGCCGCGAAAATGGTTTTACGTTTTCACTATTGTCTTGAATCTTTGCGCCCGTTTTGGAAAAAGTTCTTTGCATCACACAGCCTTTTACTGCCTATTCAACTTGGATGTGACAACTCCAGCGCAATTTCGTATACTGAAAACCAAAACGGCACCAAAAGCGCTTTGAAACATATCGACATCCGTGGCATGCAGATGCGCGATTTGCAAGAGAAACAACTTATCAAGTGCGTTTATCACTCGACCAAGATTAACAAGTCAAACGGTTTGACTAAGACTTGTCCTCCTATCGAGTTTCGTGCATTTCTCGAACTAAACGACATAATCGAGTGGGATTAACCGAGAACGTTCCGAGTATGAAAAACACCACAGACCGCCAGCAACCCTTACTGGACACGAACGAACGAACGCGAAGAAATTCGGCGCAAGGGGGACTGCTGATGACTATCGAAGAGAGTTTTATTATGCACCAAATTTATTCGCTTCCATTTACGCCTGCATTTATTTTTCGCAAGTCTCGCAAAGACTAGAAACAAAGAACCTGCAATACAGATTTTATTTTTTGACTTTGGATTTGGAGTGAGGGGGACTATGACACATAAATCATCAACCAACGATAAGAACCTTGATCCACTCCAAAGATCCAAAGCACACCTAAACGGGCACGATCGTCACTAATTCAATTCTACTAGAGTAAGATGACTACTGAACCTGAAACAGGCTAAGACGGGCACGAACGTCACGGCAAGAATAGTGAAGGTTCCCGAGTGCCCCAGTTTTGCCTGGGCACGCAGTACCATCGACCTTTACTCTTCCAATGAACCCCAGCCAGGGCCCTTGATGCCAGTCAAGGCACACACACAAATAATCTCTCATGCATATTTGTACCACCTCAGCTAGGTGTTGTTTTTACTCGTAGTGGGTTCGACCTCGTCGTTGGTTAGTTCGCATCTTCACAGTTTAGAGAAGGAGGTACTACATCAAACAACCTGAGCCGCGAGCAGTTGTCTGTGGAATTCCACCAGACATCACAAGTTTTGCTTGACGAACAGGGATAAGACCGCTCAGGTTGGCGGCCGCGATTAATAAAGACATTTCCCCAGCACCACTTTATTCCGGTTCGCCTGCGGAACCCTCTAAATTATTGAGACTGCTGCGGCGGTGACGTTGTCCTGCTGGTGGTGACACGAAAGATAGAATTCGCAAGAAATCTCCCCATGCGTGTAGTGCATTTACATGAACGAAGCTAGTACGGCTCGCGAGGATGTTCCTTGATCTGGTTTTTGTGGTCAGGAGCTAACAAATACGTTTTGGATCATTCTTACTGCTGCTCTCGTTCTCCTCATCTGGATGGAGTGAACTCTATGTTGAAAGAGCCTCTCGCCAAAGCAACGCAAAGTATTGCTTTACTTCGTGGCCCGGAGTGTTGGAAAGAGAAAGAGTTCGCGAAGTGCATATGACAAAATGGCAGAAGTGCAGTAAATCCCGTCGAGAGGAACAAGGAGCTCGTCATTTGTTGCAGAGCAGAGATGAGAGAGTTAGAGTTTCTGGTCTGTCGCAGGTGTATAAGAACGCAAACACGAACACCGTTTGGCCAGTGAAAGTACTTACTTAAGTGATTTCAAAGGGACGAAATTAAGATGAGTGCTTCAGCTTCTAAGACCTTCGCCATCACGGGGGGTTTTCCCTCCATTCGCAAGCAGTTCGAGGTTCGGGGCTGGAAACCCGACGACGAGCCGGACAGCTCCAGTTGGGACCTGAAGTACACCATTCGGAAGAAAGACATCGACTTTAACGCCTTGCGGGACCTCCAGGTGGTAAATTACTTCCCCACAAATCACGAATTCACGACGAAAATTTCCTTGACGAACAATTTGTGGAACCTGTGCTGGATGGACCCTCCGGAGGCTCACGAAGTGAGGATAAAGAAGAAAACCCACACAAACGGCACGCTAGAGAAGAAGAACGGCAAAATCCAGTCTGGCTGTAACAAGAAAAGCGTAACCGACAGGAACGGGGAAAGACTAGACAGAGGGTTTTATTCTGGTGCAGCCAGCACAAGAACTGGGACTGAAGCAGAACCAACGCCAGAGAAGCAGCACGAAGATCAGGATACCGTCTGTGAGGAGAGCAACCAGAACCACGATAAGAGAGGACAGGGTGAAGGAGCAGGTGCTCAAGTAGAACTGAGCCAACTACATTTTGAGGCAGAAGAACAAGATGAAGAAGAAGACAACGACGAGGAAATAACCGATGAGCCGTTTCCCGGGTCCAATTCGGCAATCGACGTGGATACGTTCTATCCCCGCTGCTTCAACTTGAACAACGACACGGACGCTTTTATCGAGGACTTCAAACGCGGCAAGTGTCTCGCGGTGCTGAAAACGTTCCTGCAGCTGGACGCGCTCGTGTCTGGCGGGATGAATGGAGAGGAGGACGGTAGTGCTGAAGATGAGGACGACGTGATGTTCGATCGAGACATAACGACCTGCTCCAAGAAGGGCGCAAAACCTCCAAACAAAGCCAACAAAGGTGGAGCAGTGTCTAGTGATTCTACTGGTGGGTCCTCTTCAACATCGTCAGCAGCATCGGCCTCGTCTAGTAGTAGCGGGATCATTCCTGAGCCCGTCGTGCACGCGGCCCTGGAGGCTCTGGAGCGGAAGCTGAAGCCCATTGACGATTGTCTGGACGACGACCCGACCGCCGGGACGGATTACGTAACGAAAATGCCCGCCGAGTTCTGGGACAAGGTGCAGCAGGTGAATCTGGATAACCCTGCGAAACACCTGCCGAAGTACACGCGCCGGCGCACTTTGGCCTGCTCGCTGCTGAACAAGGTGGTGGTCGAGAACAAGAAGAAGCGGAAGAAGAAGAAAAAACGGAACAAAAACTCATCAACGTCGCTTGATGTACAAGCGGATGATCGACCAGATGAACAAGATGCCACCGCGGCCGCCAAGAAAAAGGCGGCAACCGACGAACTGCGCGACCGGGTTTTGGCCTGCCTGGCTGAGTACGCCGAGCGGGACCCGCAGTTCCACTTGTACGGAGACCGGAACCTGTGGATTCTGAAGCCCGCGGGAAAATCCCGGGGCCGCGGGATCTTTGTCACGGACCGGCTGGAGGAGGCGCTGGACTGCCAGCGGGGCCAGGAGGCGCTGTGGATGGCGCAGAAGTACATCGAGAATCCGCAGATCATCGAGAAGAAAAAGTTCGACATCCGGCAGTGGGTGTGCATCACCACGTGGCAGCCGCTGGGCATTTGGTTTTTCGACCAGGCCTACCTGCGGTTTTCCTTCGACGACTACGACAAGTCCGATGTGGGCAACCGGTTCGCGCACTTGACCAATAACAGCGTCGCGAAATACGCGGATCGGTACGACGAGGGGTCGAAGGACAGCACCATGATCACGAGCGCCGAATACAGCGAGTTTTTGGCAAAAAACTACCCTAATAGCGAGGGAAAAATCATGGCCGCGCAGGGGGGTGGAGCTGGAACGGTAGCAGGGCCTACTTTCTCGGAAGCGCGGGCGAAAGTAGATGTTGAGGGCGATTATACAAGCGACAACTCCTCGGAACATGATGATGATGAAAGCGCCGTGGACGAACAAGTTGACGACGCGTCCAGCGATGCGAGTGAAGGCATCGAAGATGCTGATGTTTTATCAGCGTCTTCTGAAGACGAGGAGGGCGAGGACGAGGAAGAAGTCGACTCTGGATCTGAAGCCGGAGCTGGAGCAAACGTTGCAACGGCGCAGGTCAAGACAGCGTCTAGTACTAATAAATCGCGGACAAGAAAAGCTACGTCAGCCACAACTCGCACTCCAGTGACTGTGCAAAATGGGGCGCCAAGTAGGAAAGAACTCTCATCAAAGTCGGCCAATAAATGCCGAACCACGACAAAGATGACCAGAAATGACAAAGATCGTGGCTCACCGTCAAAAGGAAAAACGGCCTCAGGTGGTCGCCCGTTCTGCCTCTGGCGGGACAAGATTCAGCCGCAGATGGAGCGGATTGCGTACCTCGCGCTGGCGTCCTGCCAGGACCGGATTCTGCTGGCTGACCGGAGGAACTGTTTTGAGCTCGTTGGGTTCGATTTTATGGTCGACGAAAACTTCAATGTGTGGCTGATAGAATGCAACTCCAGCCCCGATCTGAGTTACTCCACCAGCACGACCAAGCAGTTGGTAAAAGAGGTCCTGTCCGACTTGGTCGGGCTCATCCTGGACGCGGAAAAATTTCCGCGCGATGCGAGCAAGAAGGGCGGAAATTTAGCTTCTCGCAAGCTGAAAAAAAGCTTCAGTGCTGCAGATGATTTTCCCTACTGCAACTCCTGGAAGTTGCTCTACCCGGAGCTGCGCCGAAAGGAGCAGAAATTGCTCGGGCTACTTCCGAGCGCGGAGGAGGTGCGCGCGCACTTGGTGGTTACCGGCGTCGAGAAAAAGCTGCACAAAAGCAAGAAGAAGCTCAAGAGCCTCGCGGTGGTGGTTCGAAATCTGCTGCATGGGCGGAACGGGGGACAAAACAAAACAAACAAGGCCGTGGATGACCAACAGCAACAAGGTACTATTGGCACCGCTGAAGGTGACACCGACGAAAAATCTGGAGCTACTTCTTTAGAAGGAGCCGAAAAATCGCCTGCAAAAGATTCCACCGCTACAAGCAGTGCCGACGCTGGCGGAGCGTCAGGAGGCGGTGGAGAATCAATGCAAAAGTCGACAAGTAAAAACTCCACCACCACCTCGTCATCCAGAGCTGCAAGCAAGTCCTTCAGCCACGTGCTACCCCGGTATCTGCAGGAGAGACCCCGCGCCAACTCGGTTGGAGCGGCTTCTTGTGCGGTAGCTGGCGCAGGAGTCCCGCTTGGTGCCGCGGAGCAGGTCGACACTGGTGGGGGTGTCGCGCTGCAGACTTCCCAAGAGGCAGATCTGATGAGCCACCGGGTGTCGGTTCCGATCTCGACCTTTGACCCATTTGGCGCTTCGTGCAACGGCGGTGTTGGCATAGGCATGCTGCCAGTGACTGCAAATGCTGCTGCAATCGAGCATGATGCTAGTATGGGTTTGTTTGCGGTACGTGGAGTGGGAAAACCACAACAACCTGCTCCGGCGTCTTCATCTTCGGCTCCTACGGCCCCGTCCTCGGGGAACGTACAACCAGGAGCAGAACTACGAGGCTTCTCTCGGAAACCAACCGCAACCTCATCGTCCACATCATCCTCGTCGCGGGAATTCCTGCAAGAGGATCGCAATGCAATGAAAATGAATGCCAATGCCGTTCCCGGAGCCGGAGCTGTTGATTTTGGAAGTTTTCTGCGCCCAATTGGAATAAATACGACGTCGACGACCATTTCTGGTAGTACATCGGCCGGCACGGGCACCGCCAGCGCCCCCTGCGCCGGAACCGGCATGGCCAGCATCTCAACACAGCAGGATCACGCTCTGCTGCAGCGACTGCAGCAGCAGGAGAGCAGCTGTACGGGCGGTGCGCTCAAAACAACCCACGTCGAGCAGCAAAGTGCTCCACCAGGGAAAAACACGCTGATCATGGCAGCTGCCGGTACGGCCCTGGTTCCCTCAACGCGACCGCCGCTGCCCCGCGCCGGTGCTGTCGCGGAAAGGAGTGGCAATGCCTACGCAAGCGGCAGCGGCTCGGCTCATGTTCAGCATCGTGGGGCAGCTCTTAAGTCTGCGGGGCTGCAGATGCTGGCTGTGGAAGGGGGGAGTTGTGTGGTCAAAAGAACATCGCAGGCAATGAATGTTGCTGCGTCTCCAAATGTTGCCACAATTCCGAAGAACATCGGGGGCAACGTGCTGCTGAAAAACAAAATACGGACACAGACACTCACGTTGAACCTGTGATCATCGAAGTGAGTGCATCTCAAGTAAGATGATGAAATAGAAGATCGATGAAGAAGACCACGAAGCGGCGCAAGAATCTGTTGAGCGTTGAACGAGATGCTCCTTGTTCCTTACAGCTGGTTGGTGGCTGAAGCTGGGCGAGAGAGAGACTAGGCCACGCACGACGGAGCGCAGCGGGTTGGGTTCTCTTTGTAACGAAGCGGTACAACCGGGACCGGGAGGAGCTTCAACATCGTACGTGTTGCAATATATAAAAAGAGAGGCCGTGGACCTCGATTCGTTGTATGTAAGTACATTTTCATCCACTCCGCGCCTGCGGCTCCTCCTCCGCCCTTTCACCATTGCACAAAATGAGATGCAGATGTCGTCGTGTTTGTTCTCTCTGGTCCGTCCTTACCTTGCTCTCCACTAGTTTTCTGGTTTGGTGGACGGTTGTGGTCGACGAGAAAGACGACGGAAAAAACGTGGCGTTCGTGCGTGTATTTATCCACAGAAGTAGCGACGAGTCCATATCGACCGGCGGGCGATCGGATGGGCGAGGAGGGGAAGAGGCTGAAAGTGTCGACGAGGAGCGTGACATCACGCAGCAGCAGGAGCGCTTCGTGCTGCTCCGCAAGTTCCACCAATCCAGCTCTTTTTTCGGCGGTCACAGCCACAAAGCGTTATCCGACGCAGTGGACGACAACAATGCCGAGGCAACCACCGCTGGCGCGATGGTGTTCGCGGAAAATGGTGACGCAGCAGCTGAAAAATATTCTGTTGAGGAAACAGAACCAGGGTTGTCATCGGGTTCAAGCTCACCAAGAGCTGACGAGGTGGACGCAGGCCATGATCAAATACACTACGATAAAAATATGCTGGACCCCGCCGCGGCGCTTGTTTCTGACGAAAGCCATCGTGTGCGTACCGCACAGTCAACTTTTCGATCTGCGAAGTACCAGGAGCCATTCTTCTACACCACAAGTAAGAAACAACCCTATCAGCAGAAGATGCCCATAGAAGTGCCGGCATCAGACGACCGCGGCTCAACGACGTCTGCGGGCGACAGCAGGGCAAGCGACGGAAATGATGGGAATAAAGAGAGGAAAGCGGGCTCTTCAAACTTGAACTCAAGGACTTTCTACGTCAAGGGCTCGAACACTGTCAAGAAAACACTGCGTGTACGCCGGATCAAAGTTTTCGAGGACGAGGTTGGAGAAGCAGGACAGGAGGACACGACAGGTAACGTCGCCAGCAAAGCAAAAGCACCGCGAAAGCAACTGCCGCGTCGTGCTTTGTCCCCCCAAAATCTGTGCCCGCAGGGTGTTGCGAATTTGGAAAAACAGGCTCGCACACGCACGGTTCCAGCGTCGAACATTTTTGTGCCGATACCTCCCGGCGACAAGGCTGAGAAGGAGTTTCGCGAATCCGTATTTGCAGAAACGTACAACGAGTCGCTTTTCCCGAGGAGTGCAAGAAACAAGGGAAGCAAAGCGACAGCTTCTGCGACGGTTTCCTCCTCCATCAGCGATCGTGTGAAAAATAAAGCTTCTCCCGGTGCTGGGGTGGTGGACGAGAGCACCAGAGCGACTACTAGACACCACGACCAAGCCTCAACCAGACGTCCACATGTAGTTGATAATCACGACCCGTTAAACCAAAACCAGCCTAGGGTGACACTGTTCGATCACGCAGCGCAAGATGCGTCCGTCGCGCTGATCTCGAAGTTTTTGGAGGAGAAGAAAATTCTGCAGCGCGGCTCCCCCACACTCCTCTCCGCCTACCTGGAGCTGAACCCTCGGGCCTTTCGGAAGGACGTGTGGGCAGTGGCTTTACTCTATTTCTGCGGTGGGCTCACGCTTGACGCAAAAATGTTTCGGCCGCCGTTTACGAACGAAGACGAACGATTCACGCAGTACAAGAGACCAAGTGTTGAACCCAACGCCGTCGCGTCTGGCGCTTCCGAAAGGTTGAACGACGTCGAAGGCGGCGGGTTCCAGCTGCGGCCTTTGCTTGAAAATTTCTTCGAGTTCCAGACACTGGGCGATGTTACTAGGGGAAGAAGTAAACAAGTAGGAGATGATCGTGACGAAGAGCAAGAGATCGGACGGGGCCACCAGGAGCAGGGTCCCAAAACCAAAAATGGAACAAAAGGCAGGAGCGCCAAAGTACCAAGGCACCAGCGGCAGCCACAATCTACGAACCCAAGACTGCCTCCAAGAAATCACTTTTCGCAGCGTCGTCCGGGCGAAGTGGCGATTTGCTACGATTTTCCGTGGCACGACCACCGTACGGTGATGCGTCACAAAACCACGACGTCGACGTCGAAGACCAAAAATCCTTTGCAGCTGATCTTCCTGCAGAACGCGATCTGGGCGACCTACCCGCGCAACCCGGCGCTGCTGTTTATTTTGCAGCAGCAAATCTGGAATATTTTCCAGCATTCCTACGGCGAGCAGATCTCGAGAGAATTTTTCCGAGCACACAAGCTCCTCGCTTACTCGAGCTTGGTGGAAGACAAGGCAGCGAATGTTGGTCCGCGACCTCATCTTGGAGGTGGGCACGGCCGCGCACAACTGCGTGCTTTGTCCAGCAGTAGCACTGGTGATATCGGCGGTAATGGCGTTCTTGAGAAAACCAACTCCAAGATGGTGAACAGCACAGCCCTAGCTGCTGGAGTTGTTTCCGGCATCCACCTCGGTAGAAACTTTACGAAAGAACGCGAGGAGCAACAGGCTCGGTGGAAGAAGTTTGAGCAAGCGAAACGGGACGAAGTGTTTGGTTATTTGTCTATCACCGGCCCGGGTGCGTTTGCCCAGGGTCTTTTTCGCAGTGCCTGCCTGCGGAAAACCTTCTTGCCCCGGTGCGTCGCGGAGTGGAATATTCCAGGGGTCCGGGAGCAGGTGTGTGACGCCGCGGTGAAGATGCATAGCAATGATCCTGCACGAGGATCATCTTCATCACGGACGGAGGCGGAGCATCGAACCTCCTTCGCCGCCGGCAGCTCCGCGGGCGATGACACTAGCCGCGCACCAGATGAGCGACGTGGTCCGTTCGTCACTGAAGATGACGTTCTCGAAAAGCGGGAGCTTTGCAAGGCCGTGCAGAAAAAGGAGGTGCTGTGGTACTTTGCGACCTTTGCCAAAGAGTACCAGAAACGCTTCATGGCCGGGCTGGTCGGCTTGGGCGGAGAGGACGTCGAGGAGAAATGGAATGCATCTTCCTGCGACCACAGCCAACTGATGCGGGAATTTTACGCTGCGGATTTCAAAAAGCAAGATCATGCTACGGATTTCACGAATCATCTAGCACTGCCCGGCGGGAGGAGCGGTACAAGAGCAGCAGGACGAGGTGGCACTTCTACTACAAGACAGGGCGCAAGAGGTCATGTAACGGGAGCAGGAAGAGGAGCTTCGGACGTTAACCCAAACAAGATCGCCGCGGTCGAGCTCTTGTTGGATTTTCGCAGCGACATCTACCTGCACAAAAAAGTGGACTTTGCGAAAAATCTACTCATCGCGAGCTCCATGAGCACGTGGCGTCGACACCACACAGCGTACGACGAAGCAACTCTGCAGACGAGCAAGAATAAAGGGCGGGAGAAGGGTTTTGAAAATAAAGACAAAAGCTTTTCTGGTCGTGCAGGAGCCCTTTCAGCGGTGGTGAAGGATGGTGAACAGGGGGGGAATAGTGCGCACGCCAACAAAGTTCTTCGGGGAGCTCCAGGTTTAGTCCAAACCAGCGTATTAAGACCGTCAAGTGCAGTTGCCGCACGTGCTACCACAGCGAGAAAAGCCAGTCTTCGACGGTTTTTCAAGGCGAGAATGCAGGCAGATGAAGGCGGGGACGACAAGAAAAATAGAAATACCCACAAGAGAAGTAGACCTCCCGACGAACTCCCCGCGGGTGTTTGGCCGCCCGGAGTCTGTAGCACTTGGAACGCTATCGTGTTTTACGGCGAACTCTACTGCCACGAGGTGGAGCACTGCCCCCAAGCATGCGGCGAAACAGACGGAACGCTGCAGAAACTCGGATTACTGCACAAGCTTCCTACGACGAGCGACCGCCCACACTTTCATCAAAGAAGCAGGGACCAAGAAGCAGGCAGTGGAAGCCGCGAGCAGGAGGTGGAAGAAATTGAAAATGGAAAAAATCCTTCAGCTCGCCTGGATGTGGCCGAGGCTGGTACTCCGGCAACGACGTTGGGAGATTCTCAAGGCGCCGAGCCGCCCCTACCGGCCTCGACAAGTGCCACCGGGGACTCGGCTGCTACCGGGTTCAGTAGCATGACTTCCTGGCTCAGCGATTGGGCCTTTGGAGGCCAGAAGGAGGAGGAACAAGATCCGCCAGGTGCTAGTGAAGTAGTGCAAGAAGAACCTCTCGCCCCTTCACCATCTCGTGGGGTAGAATCAAGACCAGCATCTGCATCAGGAGCTCCTCCTCGGTGACGGATCATAACTGTGGCGCAAGCCGCGGCCGCCCGCTGCCATCGGCATGGCAATTCGTCTTTGTCCGCTTGGTCACTTTCAGTGCTTTTTAGAAGCCACAAAGATTTCTAAGTAATTCTACCTGGTGCGGGGACAAGAAGCCGAAATGTCCACCATGTTAAAATGCAGACGCTGAAAATAAACGCCGTCAAGGATGACGAAGAAGGATGGTGAAGGCGTCCTTGTTTCCCTGGCCGCGTTGCAAACCTTTATTCTGAGTCGGGAACTGCTACGGCAGGTGGAACAAGTTGAAATTCTTCGCTTGTCGTTAAAGTGCAGCACACACGATACGAAGCCAAGTACGACCCAGAAAAGGCATACTGAGTATCAATCCGTGTATCATCTCCAAAAAATAATCGTAAACATTCATTTCGTCCTGGCAGCAGCAGCACTTCCTTATTTATGTTTTGCGGAAGATGGGTGAACGTCTTTCGTTTGGCGTGTTCGTTTTATCGCTCTAGTCGCTTGTTTGATTTCTTTCCCACGACCACCAGCCAAGAAAATTTGCAGATTGATCATCGTTTTGTTCGGCGTGTATTCCGTCTGCTTTATCACGACGGGTGTCACTGATCTTTGCTCTAGATACACTCGCCAAATAGCTCGTGCGTCGATGTATGAAACATACGGAACCAGCAGCACTGCTGCACATCTCCATCTGTCAGTAGTAAAAGTTCTTCCACGTCGTGTGCCAGGTTCTTTTGTAGGGAAAACGACCTAGTACCTGCACCGTTTTGCCAGCTCTGCGCAAGACTAGCCAGCGAACGTGCGAAGTAGTACGATGCTCGGCGGCGGTGCGCAGGCGCATCCGGCGTCTGCTGGGTCGAACAGCAAGCCCAGTCCGTCACCCTCCGGGAGCCCGACCTCGAGTCGCGGGGGCTACAGCAGCTACGAAGTTCAGAGGGCGAACAAGAATGCGAGCCACACCTACGCGGCCATCGGGAACGGCACGTTTGGGGCTCTTCTGAACCAAAACGGGCGGTACGTCTGGTGCTGTCTCGGCTCCTTTGGCGGCGACCCCATTTTCAATTGCCTAGCGAACAACGAATCCGAAGACACGGGATTTTTTGACGTCGTTCTGGAGAACAACAGCGCGAACAACGCTTCCCACAGCGGCTATGGTGGCGCCGGAACTACATCAAATCCGCTGACCAGTTCCGGCAGTAAAAATTCGACCACGGGCAACATGGGTGGTGGTGGCGGCGGCGTGGGAGGGAGTTCGTCGTCTTCATCTTCTCGTGCTGTGCATGCGACGCAGCACTATGTCCCCCTGACCAACGTGGTCGTCACACGCTTGTCGACCTTCAGCGGGGGAGGTGGTGGTGACCACTCGTCCGCCGACTCGGTTTGCGAAATCATCGATTTCGCGCCGAAATTTTCCCACTTCGACCGCATGTTCCGCCCGTTCCAGCTGTTCCGCATCATCCGCAAGGTGAAGGGCGATCCCTGCGTGAAGATACGCATACGGCCGACCTTCGGCTACAATTCGACGGACGGGTTCCGGACCCGGGGCAGCCACCACATTCGCTACTGCGGCCCGACCGTGACCTGGCGCGTGACGACGACCATTTCCGTGCAACACATCATCGACGAGACGCCTTTCCTGTTGAACAGCGACGAGCCGGAGGTGATTGTGTTCGGGCAAGACGAGAGCTTCGCCAGTTCGCTGCGCACCGTGGCGCGCGAGTTCCAGGAGAAAACGGCCATGTACTGGCGGCAGTGGAGCCTCAATCTGTGCCTCCCCGTGCTGGATTCCATCGTGCCCAGCGCTGTGGTTGTTCCGGCGGGGAATGACAGGCAGTCCAGCTCGAAGATCGCCGCGGGCGGAGGAGGTGGCAGTAGCGCGAAAGTAGGAGCGAGGGGCGGTGTTGTTGGTGGTCAAGAACGCCAGGCTCCTGGTGACAGCGCCGTCACCAGCGCACCTGTATCATCGCAGGAACTATCGCCTGCTCCTGCGCCGGCCTGGACCTACCAAGGTTTACTTGTTCGGGCGGCAATCCATATCCTGCGCAAAAGGGTCCTCTGTGAGTCGCAGCCTTGCATTGCAAACATCTCTCCTAAGGCGGGACGAAGTCAGCACATTCATCATCAAACTCTATTTTTTGACTTTGTCATACAACAATTCGCCCTAGAAGTGGTCCTAGTGTGATAGATACTGATACTTTTGCAAAACTGCATAAGCCACCTGGTCCAGCAACAGTGTGAGGAGAATGGGGGGCTGCTGTCCTGCCTGACCATGGGCCATCCGCTGTACAATGTGGCGAACGCTTACGGAACAGGAGCGAATGGGGACAGCTACTTGTTAAACCAGAACCTTTTCTGGCGCGATGCCCGGGTTTGCCGCTTGATGGACGAATGCCTGTCCATCCGCGTGATGCGGGAGTCCGGGCTGTTTGACGTGTGCCGGAAATTTCTGGAGTTTCTGAAAAACGTGGTGGTCACGTCCTTTTCCGTGTTATCGCAAGAAAAAAGTGTTACAGTTACACATTGTGTTGCAGGCCAAGCAAGACAGACGAGCTCTGTCATGCCGGATATGCATAGGATCCTCCTTTCATAGGTATTTTCCCGTAGGATTTCTGCATTACAATTTTTGTCTCTCATGCAGAGAAGTTTGTGTTGCTGAATTCACTACAAATGTGTAACTGTAACACTTTTTTCGTGGGATACGTGTCGTCTCTGTCGTTGGAGGAGAGCGTGCCTCCGGGCATGAAGCGGCTGCACAGCGCGATGGTTGGTGGAACCAGTGCTGTACCTACTTCTGCTGGAACGAACAACGGCTCCTACTCGTCCGCCGGCGCAAGTAGTAACCACAATCTGCTCTTCGTGCAGCATACGTACGGTGCCCTGCAGGAGACCGATATCCCGGTTGAGCGTATGCCCTACCTAGCCGGGTACGAGGGCAGCTCCGGGCTGGTTGCGGCGGGCGGCGTGGAAAAGTGCACGCTAGAGACGCTAGAAAACCACCAACAAATGTACGGGTTACTCACAATCGCGCTCTCGCACGCTTTCTTCGACCTGCGGTTGGAATACCTTTGTTCCCCCAAACTGTTCGAGATCCTGGAGTCGCTGGCGTTGAACGCGATGGAAGCATTCTCCTACGCCGCAAAGAGCTTCCTGAACAATGGCACATCTTCTTTCGGCGGCGCGAATAGTACAACACAACAAGCGAACCACAAACATGCGTCGTCAAGTACTAAAGCAGGAGGTCCTCCTGCCCGGCTTCCGCCGAAAATTCTGAAGAAAAAGCGCCTTCCCTACTTTGATGACGATGTGGACTTCTACTGCATTCCGAACTCGAGCAAGTCCGGCGGAGGAGATAGAAGTGCTGCGCAACTTTCTTCTATGTCGGCCGCGCAACAGCTGCACCCTGCGGCCATGCAGCAGCAAGTTTCCTCGCCGGTGAGCATCTATCAAATGCAAAAATGTCCAGAGTGCGCGATTTGTCATGCAGCTTTTCCATGACCCATGAGGTCTGGAATGCAGGACCTGGCATGACAGATTCTGCGCGATCTCTCTCATGCCCATCCTGCATGAGAAACTCCCTCGCGACTTGGTCAAAACTGGACGACTTTTGGTAATCATGCAACACAGATTTTTGCATGCTTCAGATTTAGCATGACAAGTTGCATTCTTCCAGACCCAGACATTTTTGCTTTTGATAGCATCAACAGCAACTCGCAAACCTTCGTCGGCACGGACCCGGACCAGAACAGTTCGTGGCCCCCGGGGGGAACAATCGTGGATCACCCTGCAGTGGGCGGTGGAGCCCCCGCTGCCTCATCTGGTAGTCCGTATTGGTACAGCAGTCCCGGCGGAGGTGGGGCAGAAAACTTGAACTATACTGCTACCAACGCCGGAGCGTATCAACATGCGGGTACTAGTAGTAGTCCTAACCCCTACGACACGGCCGGAGGAGCTGCGATTATACTGAACCCCAGCAGCACGGCCGCTGCGTCCTCGTCTGGAGGCGTCGTTCCACTGTATTCGAGCACCGCGGCAGTGGCAGAGCAGCAGGGACAACTAAGCGCCGGAGGAGCGGCCTACGGGAGTTCTTCGCAGGAGCAGCAAAGTTCTTACAACCAGCACACGATGATGTTGAACCCAGAAGACGAGGAGGAGGATCTTGATGAGGACTTTCTGGAGAAGAATGTGCGCGTCATTCCGCATACCTTCGAGTCCGTGCTTATGGCGCTCTCAACTGTTACATTCTCAACTGTTACATTCTCAACTGTTACATGAATTTGTGATGCGAGAATGGCAAAACTACAAGGGGGAAGATTGTGCCTTTTGCGTGACAGATTTGGCGCAGATTGTCAGGAGCCTGTTTGGCCCTTCGGGAATTGGTCATGCGAAGCAGCTTAATCATGTCGATTCTGATTGGATTTGGAATTTTGCATGACAAATCATGTAACAGTTGAGAATGTAACGCTTGAGAACGCCATAGCGCTTCATTGGGCCGCGGCGGACCGGGTCTCCCGCGTCGCGGCGCAGTTTGTGCCGGAGACGAACAAAGCCGAGCTTTGGCGAAAACGCGCGAACGAGATGCGGGCGAAAATCGAAAAATACAGCTGGAACCAGGAAAGACAGTGCTTCTGTACGAAAATTTATTGTGCAAGATGGATAGAAGAGAGTTGTTAGTATCACGACCAGGAGATCATGCAAAGAAACCAAGACCAACTACTACCAAGGAACACACACTACAAGGTGAAGTTGATACTTAATTATGAACACACGACACGGAGACCACGCACACTCAGAACATTTTTAATCAGGTACGCACTGGGGCGGGAAGGAGGTGGGACCAGCTTTGCTCCGTCTTGTCGAAGTGGGATTCCTCGTATGGCATTGAAAGCAAAGGAAGCTAAAAGTTTTTTGATCATCTTGCAGCAGCTACTAGAGTAAATGTGTATTTTTTGGACCAAGTCTGTGTCTGTCTGTGACCGAGCTATCCGAATTCTGTGCGCCAAGGATGAGGAAGCCATAGGCGACGTAGCATTCTGGCTGCAAGTAGTGCGAGCGGAAAATTCAAATCATAAGGGCATGCAACCTGCTTTTGGTTTTGCTTTTGCCAATTTCATATTTCTCGGAAGACGATCCGCGATTCAGCGCCACCGTTCTTGCCTTCGAGGAGGATGCTTTTAAATCAGCGGTATTCAACAGCAATATACTGAAGAACATTGAAGTAGAAGCTATCATGGTGTCATTTTTGTTTACCTGTTTCGCACAGCACTTTAGCCCCATTCATGGCGATGCATGGCGCACAGTTCGTTGCGCATCAACTTTTCCGATTCCACCCGACTTCTGCACGATAAAGGTAATCGCGCCGAATACGTTTACATCTAGTACTCTCATGTGGTACGCGGAGGCTCTGCGCCTGGCGGGCAAGGAAACCCAGGCCCGGAACCTGGTGGACGCGGTGGCCCAGGCCTTCTACGAGTTCGGTAGTTTAGGGGAGGCCGTGGATTTGAGCAGCCAGAAGCCTTACGGAAACTTTCCCTGCACCTCTGCCATTTTGTCCTTTATGCGCGCCGCCACACGCCTCGGCAAGAACGCGCTCGTGTAGGATCGGGGCGAAGATGATCTTCTTGTTGAGGTCGTCCAAACTGATTCTGAAGTCGTGTAAAAAGTCTAAATGCATCATGACGCGGGTCGTTCATTTTCCATTGTACGGGACCACCTAAATTACAGGGGTGCACACCGGAGTAGACCACCTACATAGAGTGGAGGTATAATTGCGCCACTCTGTCATTGACTTGGAGGCTGTGGCAAAGTGGAGTTCTTGTAACGCAACTTTTCTATAGTAACGGCGGCGTTCTTGCCTTGTCGTGTAACCATATTTGCAAAAAATGTGCCGCAAGATAAAGAAAGATCGCATCCTCGCGAATGAACACAAATAAATGGCGCTTATGCTAGTATGCCGGTCAGCACTGGCAGGAGTGTCGGGACCGACCTCGGATTCTCAGCAGGTGGTGCAGCAGTTCGAATCCTCTGCAAGAGTTCATTGATCCGGTCGAGGAAGTAATATCACGTGATTGAAGATACTCCTGTAGCTATTTGTCTCGTTCTCACATGAAGATGCTACTGCTAGGTTATTTCTTGCATCGCTTTTGAGGGCGGATCAGGAAGATCATGGTGAGGCTCATTATGAATGTGATCAAGAACTTATTTGTTGTGATTGTTTTATAATTTTTGGGTCATGCCGTGTGGTAGCGTCATATTAGCGCAACCATTCAGATTTATTTCTGTGTAATATGTAGTTGCAGTTCCACTTTCAGCTTCGTCGGTCCAGCGAACAACTCCAAGTGTGCCATGATGAGTGCTTTTAGTTCTATAAGTAAGTCGTGAAAGCAAAAGAAGACAAGCTCAAGCAGCCAAAAAATCCAACTATGAATATGTTTTCCACCAGTGCGGCCTCAGGAGTGGTCCGACTACCTACCTGAATGCACCTTCTGCCGCTAACTGCTCCACCATTGATCATCTACATCAAGATCAATCTTAGTCTTGTGCTTTTTGGCTTTTGCAATTACTTTAATTCCATCTCGTGACTCAGGAATCACTGCAGTCAAAGAAAAAAGCGATATTAGACCATCATGAGTCAAGATTTGCCTGCCGCACGACCTGGTGGGCGCGAGGACATCATCACGGGACGAAACGGAAATTGCCAGAAATTTCAGGAAGCCATTCGGGCGATGCCAAAAGTTGAGTTGCACGCGCATCTGAGCGGTTCCGTGTCGCAAACCAAGTTGCAGGAAATGCTGGCGAAAAGGGTGGAAAAGGAAAATTTGGATGCGAGGACTCGGGGAGGTGAAAGAACGCCGGATGGGGAAATCGACACGCTGTCCCAGAAGCGGCCAACTCGCGGCGCTTCTACAACAACGTCAACGTTCGAAAAGTTCGACGTTCGAAGCATTATTTTTGGCGGAAATAAAACTACGTCGCCCGATGCTGCTCCTGTTTCAACATCTGCACCAAAGTCTTCAGAGGCTGCATCTTCTGCTTCATCACGAGAGCAGCTTCTGTACAATGAGGCGATGAAAAAGTGCTTCTCCTACTTCGACCTGGTCGCGCAAGTCATCACGGACCTGGATGCCTATCAAATGTAAAAATGTCTGGGTCTGGAAGAGTCATGCTGTTTCTGCATGACACAGAAGGTCTGGCATGGAAGCTCTAGCATCACAGGCTTCGAGAAGCTTCCGCAATGCCGAATCCGCATGACAAATCCCCCATTTTGGTGACAGAAAGTGAGCAGCTTTTGCTGCCTACGCATCAGAGATTTTTGTGTGTTCTGAAATGCGCATCACAAGTTACATCCTTCCAGACCCAGACATTTTTACACTTGATAACGCCTTGCGCGAGGCAACGACGCATGTGTTCGAAGAGTTCGCGGACGAGGGTATCCTGAGTAAAAACGTCCCCATACCAGAGCCAGGATGGAAAATCTGCTAGACAGATCAGCCAACTTTGGTTGTTTCGCCTGACACGTTTGTCCTGGCAGTGTGGTCCTGTTTAGCTAGTTCAGCAGCATCACAGATCTAGCACACCATGCTACTTCTAGCATCGCAAAACCCAAAACACGACTAGAAAAAGCTTCTCATGTGGCATCACATGAGACACTTTTTTGTCATGCAGATTTCCATGACAACTCTGGGGTGGGGATGTTTTTACTCAGAATAGAGGGCTGCGTGTATTTGGAAATGCGGACCACCCCGAAAAAGTTCACGCAGCCGGCAGGTCATCAAAAACCGCACACCGGCCCGGCAGGTAGTGCTAGTTGCAGCAGGAACATGACGATTAAATCCTCAACGTCCTCTTCTATAATTCCAACAACCTCGGAAGAGGATTACATTTGTGTTGTTAAGGAGTGCGCAGACGAGATTTTCCGGAAGAAAAACCTAGTCGTGAAACTACTGCTGTCCATCAATCGGGGCACGATCCGCTCGAAACAGGACGCGGAGGACCAGGTCGCGATGGTGTCTCGCCTCCTGGATAGATTTTTTTACGACCAAGATGGGAGCTCGGAGGGTCGTCAAGATCATGTACAAGCAGGTCAAGAACATGATGATCGCGATCTCCATGCCGTGTCCGGCCCCTTCGTTGTCGGTCTGGACGTTAGCGGCAATCCGGCGACGGACTCGGTGGTGCCGTTTCTGTTACCCGTTTTGGTCGAAAAGTACCGCGAGCTGGAGAAAATGGGGAAACCAAAACCGCCAATCGCCTGGCATCTCGGCGAACGGGAGGATCATTGCGTTATTTTGCCGCCCGGGGGACCGAGGACCGCCACGATGAACAAGAACAGAAAAATGGGCGAAGGTGGTGGTAAGCACGGCAAAAGCAGCAGTCCACCGCGACGGACAGAAACTCCCGTCGTGGAGGCGAGCACCTCTGATGTGTCTGCAGCTGTTGCAGTACCAGGACATGGACATCTGAGCACCACTACCACTACGACTACAAGTAGGACAACTAATGTATTGACAGGGACAGGGGTCGTCCACGACGGTGGCGATCATGATGTTCCCGAACACGACCAGGAGCCGCCTGAGAGGAAGCGGCGGAAAGAAGTTCTGGTGTCTTCACGGTCCTCAGGCCGCTGCGCAGAAGTAGTAGTAGATGAACTTCAACTTCTTTCTTCATCCTCCACCCCCGCGGCGGAAGTAGAAGTAGATAAAGTTCTGGACCACGTCGACGTGCTAAACATTCGTCGGCTCGGACACGTGTGCTTTCTCACCGCCGAGCAGCGCCGCCGGGTGTTTGCCATCGCGGACAGGAGGACAGCAAATGAGCTGCCGTTTTGCGTGGAGCTCTGCCCGACCAGCAACGCGGTCACAAAGTGTCTGAGGAATCTAGCCGACCACCACTTCCCACTCTGGTACGCCGGGTCGTCGTGCAAGAGAAAAATAAACGGCGGCGAGGGCGGAGCCATGTCAACATCGTCCTCTGGCGAAGTAGCAGCTCTCCCTGACAAGAACGCGCCGTCGGACGAGGTGGCTTCGGCCTCAGCACCTCCTTCGCAGCTGAGAGTCGCCCTCTGCACCGATGACACGGGGCTGTTCTGCTGTACCATCAGCTCCGAGCTAGAGGATATGGCCGTCGCGTTCCGCTTGTCTCTGGCCGAGCTGCGGCAGCTCCAACTCGATGCCATAGACGCGAGCTTTCTGGTCAGAGGTGGGCCTCCACCAGGCAATCACGCCAAAGGCGGGTGTCGCGAAGCGACTTCAGTCATAGCGGGCGGCGCATCGGCTACAACCCCGGTATCTGCAGGAGAGACCTCGCGCCAACTCACTTGGAGCGGCTTCTTCTGCGGTAGCTGCCACAAAGACAATTCCAAACATCGGGGGGAATCTGTTGCTTAAAAACAAAATACGGACACAGACACTGACGCTGAACCTATGATCATCGAAGTGAGTGCATCTCAAGTAAGATGATGAAATAGAAGATCGATGAAGAAGACGAGCCGGCGCAAGAATCTTTTGAGTGTTGATCGAGATGCTCCTTGTTCCCTACAGCTGTTTGGTGGCTGAAGCTGAGCGAGAGAGAGACTAGGCCACGCACGACGGAGCGCAGCGGGTTGGGTTCTCTTTGTAACGAAGCGGTGCCATGAGGAGCTTCAACATCGCACGTGTTGCAAGAAAAAAGGAAGGACACGACTAAGCATGTACAAAAACTAGTTCTGGCCGTCGATCCCGGTTCGTTGTACATTTTTACCCATTCCCCTGCGGCTCTTGCGCCCTTTCACCATTCATTGCCCAAAATGAGATGCATATGTCGTCGTGTTTGTTCTCTCTGGTCCGTCCTTACCTTGCTCTCCACCAGCTTTCTGGTTTGGTGGACGGTCGTGGTCGACGATCCTGACGACGGAAAAAACGTGGCGTTCGTGCCTGTATTTATCCACAGAAGTAGCGACGAGTACATATCTACTGGCGCGCGATCGGATGGGCGAGGAGGAGAAGGGGCGGAAAGCGTCGACGAGGAGAGTGACAAGCAGCAGGAGCGCTTCGTGCTGCTTCGCAAGTTCCACCAATCCAGCTCTTTTTTCGGCGGTCATATTAGCCAGAAAGCCTTATCTGACGCAGCAGACGACAACAATACCGAGGCAACCACCGCTGGCGCGATGGTGTTCGCGGAAAATGGTGACGCAGCAGCTGAGCAATATTCTGTTGAGGAAACGGAACCAGGGTTGTCATCGGGTTCAAGCTCATCAAGAACTGACGAGGTGGACGCAGGCCATAATCAGCGCTACGATAAAAATATGCTGGACTCCGCCGCGGCGCTTGTTTCTAGCCATCGTGTGCGTTCCGCACGGTCGACTTTTCGATCTGCGACTTCTTTCATAGCGGGCGGCGCATCGTCTACACCTGCGGACATACCAGAATCTAAACTGCGTCCCTGGATCAAAACGTTTAGACCAGACGAGGAAACGTTTAGGAATATCTCTAAACTTCTAAACTTGAGTACCTGTAGGTAGTGTCTGTAGTAGGAGGCTGTAGCTGTCTTTGTGAAAGGTTTTAGCTGTAGTTGTTGGACATAGTCTAAAACGATCTAGGTAGGAACTAGGCAAGAGAAGTGGAACAGACTGAGGCAGAAGAGGGAAGGAAGATTCTCTTCGGCACTCTGTCATGTCCCTTCTCTGTAACTCTCTCTCTCTCTCTCACTCATTTCCCGCAGGTTTTTATATATTCATTGTTTTGTTGGATGTCGAGCCATTGCCAAAAAGCGTACGCGAGGCCGATCCGTGACCAAGATGGCAGTTTGAGCAGGTGCACTAAACACGCACTGCTGAAGATCCGCGCGCGTTTCGATTCTGTGAAAAGATCCACACGATTGAAGACCTGTTGCTGTCTTTTTCCGCAGTATTCGCTTGTGACTAGTCACCTATGATGGCCGTGCCGCCTGTACTTTTGGTGAGAAGAATGACTCTAAGGCCCCGCCCTGCGTCTTCGGATGTTGTGGTGGTTAGGTATGGCGCCAGTTTTGGGCCAAGCTCAGCGCTTGTTTGCAAAAAAAAAAACACAGGAACTACAGCACAGGAACGAAAGAAAGTTTGCCGCTGTACCATACGGAACATTTCACAACTTTGCAACACTGCCAGAAAGTTTGTTTCTAAGAACGCTAACCCTTGCACACATCAGCCTACATACTCTTTTAGACTTTTGAGACAGACTAGAAAAGTAACGACCGGACCGGGGCCCTCCATCGCGCGCGGACTTTTGGCGCTAGCACTAGCAGCACACCCAATAACCCACCCGCCGGGGCAACATTGTCTGACATCCGAGCCTATGAGATGCAAAAATGTCTGGGTCTGGAAGAGTGTGAACTTGTCACGCAGGTTTTCCATGACCCCTATGAGCTGTAATGGATGACCTAGCATGACAGATTCCGCAAGATCACTGTCGTGCCTATCCTGCATGAGAAACTCCCTCCCAATTTGGTCGAAAGTGGACAGCTGTAGGCACTCACGCAACACAGATTTTTGCATGATTCGGATTTAGCATGACAAGTTGCAATGATCTTCCAGACCCAGACACTTTTGCATTTGATAGAGCCGGGGGCAATGGTCGGGAATTTTTTGGATGACCTTTCCGAGGAGGAGCCTGCGGGGCGTGGCCGCTCCGTAGCGCCACCGGGCAGCCAGCACTCGTCCGTGTCGGATATCGTGGAGGCCAGCGGTCGTGGACTTACGCAATCACGCCAAAGGCGGGTATCGCGAAGCGACTTCAGTCATAGCGGGCGGCGCATCGGCTACACCTGCGGTTAATTTTCATTCTCAATCGATAAAGAGCTAAGTTCGCCCGAGCTGACACACGACTCGGTGTGCACCTGGTCGATGACCTCGCGCTGAGGTCTAGCACTGGCGCGTTCGTAGCGCGAACACAAATTCCGCTCTAAATGCGGGTCGCGCAATAGAGATGCACCTACGAGCTGCGAGAAGAAGGCAGCTGCGAGCTGCTCTGCGCTTTCACGACGCGCACAACATTGCTCGTAGGGAGCTGTTTTGGGTAGGACGTGCGTGCGCACGAGGTGATTTTGTATCATTCCCGGTCGCCGCATATCACAATACCCAATCGCCGAGTGCGTCGACCGTCTAAGGTGCTGCCCGGCCCAGCCACCATATTCTAGGTGGCCGGGCAGGACGAGGAGCTGAGGGTCACGCGACGACAAGAAGTGGAGCGTGACCCCTACCACGGGCGCATGCCGTGCGGGGCGGATCCTCGCACGGACTGTATCCGGTCGGGGAGGGCTCACCACTCCGTCGGCCCCCCGACCACCCCAACATCGGGCGTAGCTTGTTTCAAGTACAAAGAGCTGCGGCTTTCAACTACAGAGATATCGGCGCTGCTGCGGGTGTTATCGGTGCCATGCAGCACCCTTTTTCTCATTCAGTCTCATTCTTGAAGTTCTATCTGAAGCATCTATCAGCCGCATTCTGCGGTACTCTCGTGCCAGGTGGCTGTAGAAGTACGCTCTTGCGATAATTTACGACAATCCTCTCGAGATTGAGACGCGAAACCCTGGGTGGTGTTATTATTACGCTTCATTTTAAATGCTACTTCGAGCACAATACAGTGCTAATTTTAAAATTTAAAATTAGCTGGCCGCGAAATCATATCGATTTTCTAAAAATTGCGATAGTTCCCCCCTCTATTTTGAAGGGGAAAACGCGCGAAACTTCAGTCATAGCGGGCGGCGCATCGGCTACACCTGCGGACAAAATTTTTGGTTAGCAGACCAGAATCTCAACTGCAGCAAATCGTCTCAACGTTGAGCCAGAAGGTAGCCAACGTTGGGAAAAGTGTCTCAACTACTCAACTTAATAGAAGTAGAAGTAGAAGTAGTTCAAGCGTACAAGTAGAAGTAGAAGTGGGTGAGGCTAGATCGATCTAGAAGGAGTCGTGGTAGAGAAACTGCAGCAGAAGGGAAAGCACAGTGACAAGCAGGCAGAAGATGGAAAGAGGGCAGCGCCGTCTCTTTCTTGTCTCTATCTGGCTGTGTCGTTTCTCTCTCTCTTGTCTCTATCTGGCTCTCTCATCTCCTCCTCATCTCTTTCTCTCTCTACCCTCTCTTTCACCCTCTCGCACATCCATATCTTTGGTGTGTCAGAAATCTAACTTGAAGACACAAAGAAGACAAGACTCGTATTGCTCGACTGCGCTGTAATTTTGTCCACCGATTTCGACGATCCGTTTGTATTGCTCGACTGCGACGATCCGTTTGTATTGTTTGACTGCGACGATCCGGTTGTATTGCTCGACTGCGACGAGCCATTTTGTCCACCAGAGCCCGATCCATGTTGTCCAAAGAACCACAGGAGGGCCCTTGTCGTCGCCTTTCTCTTTTTTTGCCATTTTCTACATGAGGCCGGCTTGTGGTTCGATGTCAGAACCACACTCCGACCACTGCGCGCAGCTGTCCAGCGAGCAGTGCCCCTCTCTTTTCTCCAGCCAGGTTTGTTGTAGTTAGTACACTTAGGCAGGTTGTGTTGTAGTTAATCGAAAAGCATCAGTATTGCATTTTGAAGTAAACAAAACTAACTACTACTTGTACTTGACTACTAAAAGCTATAACGGATTTAAGTAAAGCCATCGGGCTCGAAGATACAAAGTCACAGGGAACCACCACCCGCCTCCGGGGCATCAATTACTTAGCGCGAGTTGCTGCGGCGCGAGAAGCATGAGCTCCGCAGAAAAAGACCCGCCGGTGCGTGGGCGCTCCGCAGCACCCCCGGGCAGCCAGCACTCCGTATCCGACTGCGTCGAGGCCGGCGCTGGGCTGACTCCCTTGGTCGCGAGGATCAAGAAATGCAGCACATCGGTCGGGAAAGAGCTGATCATGCGCGCGATCGACAAAGGGGAAAAGGAGTTTGAACGTTTGAACCTGCGAGAGGCGTGCGGGAAGCGGCGTCTCTTCGCCAATGACCTTGACGACATGCTGAAGCCGCAGGCGGACGAATTGCTGCAGGCCTCCCTACCAGCGCAGGGCCTTCTTCCCAAGCAACAGCGTCTTCTTCCGGGTCCGCTTATCAAATGCAAACATGTCTGGGTCTGGAAAATTTCGGGAGTTTGTCATGCAAATTGGACAAGGCCTCCCATGCCTGTGATGCATTCTCTAGCAACACAGATTTCTCACAGGTTTGCTCATGTCTATTCTGCATGAGAAGTGCTCTTTTTGAGTAGCAGCAATCACGCAATACAGATCTGCAGCAATCACGCAATACAGATCTTTGTGCGATCGACAGCTAGCATCACAAATCCCATTCTACTTGCCAGACCCAGACATATTTGCAATGAATGCCGCTTGTGAACATGCAGGTGCAGGGGCTTGGCCCAGGGCAGGGGCTTCCTGGGCCCAGGGCAGGGGTTGCTCCCTTGGGCCCAGGGCAGGGGCTGCTTGGGCCCAGGGCACGTGGGCCCAGGGCAGGGGTTGCTTGCCCCCAGGGCAGGGGCTGTTTGGGCCCAGGGCCGGGGTTTCTTGGGCCCCCCCCGGGCAGAGTTTCGGCCCAGGGCAGAGGTTGGGCCCAGGGCAGGGCTAATGTCCCGCAGGCACTACAAAACGCGCCAGAGCATGCGGACTCGCCCGCGTTGTTTCTGCTTTGGCTCGTGTTTTGCCACCCATATTCTCGCCTGCTTGCCTACCCCCCTACTGGGTGGCTCGCTTCTTTGCAGTTTCTTCGCATTTCAGTCATAGCGGGCGGCGCATCGGCTACACCTGCGGACAAAAATGGCTTCAGTTCGAATCAGATTATCAAAACGAAATCAGATTATTAAAATCAGGTTAGAGATAAAATCAGGCTACTGAAATCAGAATATCAGTGAAATCAGATTGATTGTCATCAAGGTAGTAAGTGCAATCAAGTTGTAAAAGAAAAAGCAACCAGGTAAGTCAATCTCAATGCTTTACCTCTTTCTCCTTCTTTCATGAAATATTATCCCAAACAAAAAAACCCGTGATGAAGACTCAGGACCGACGAAGCCGCTGGCGGTCGCAAACTCACCCGCCTTGTCTGATCGAAAGAATCCATGCCGTGGATCTCAAACGCAAATATGTCTAGATCTGGAAGAGTGTGGTGCCAGACGGACCTTTCCAGGCCCAGACCCGTTTGCGCCCGATAATTCGCAGCAAAGAACCAAACTCCGAACACCGGCGTGGAACTCGAAAAGACGAAGAGACAGCTTATGTTCGACTATGAGGAAGGCCACGACCCCGGGTCGGGGTCGGAAAACCATGCTCACGAGCAGGAGTGTCTCCAGCTCAACCTGAGAAAGTGCCAAGAAAATAAAGCAGTACGACCTGTGTGGGCCGAGGGTGATGGTTGTTGAGGAGCGCCCTCCTGACGTTTCTTCCTCTTGGCCATTGTCGCTGACACGAGTGATGCGGGCGGGGGTTGATTGGGGGGTCTCGGGAAGAGAAGCCGGAACTTTGTCCCCTTCGAAAGAGGCAGAGTTCCGGTTGCCGCTGGGGGGAAGACAAGCAAAGCCACTTACTTGAAGAACGAATGACATCGCGCTGACTTCCCTGTAGCGGAAGCCGGGGCATCGCCTCTGTCGAAAGACGAGGCGAAGCTCCGGCTTCCGTTGCGGGCGGGGAAGCCAAGAGCATCAACTTCTTTGAAGAAAAAAGGGACTGCGTTGAGTTCCACGCAGCGGAAACCGGCCCTCCGCTTCTGTCCGCTATGGGGAAGAGAAGCGGACTTATATATTGCCACGCACGTTGTGGCAGATACCTGGCCGCATGGCCGGGAGTAGATGGCACAGCAGCAAGGCTGCAGTCCTCCGGGGGTCGTCGCGTTCTGGTCGGCACTCGTCAAGAGCTTCGCCGACCAGGAATCGAGGAGAGCGACGTGGGGAAGTGCACCGCAGTGTGGAGGTGCTGGAAGGCGGGGATGTGGGGAGGGCGGAAAATACCTCTCCACCTCTTCACCACTGGGGAGGCACCCCCCCACACGTGGGGACGGAGGTACCTCCCCAGTGTGGGGGGTAGGGAGGTGGGGAAGTTGATCCGTGGGCAGGTGATTCACACCATAGCCCACTTCAGTCATAGCGGGCGGCGCATCGTCTACACCTGCGGACAAAAATTTTCAAGTGCAGCATCAACACGACGATCACTCTTCTAGTGCCACGAACAACAGCATACTTCCCACATCTGCTCGCGCAGAGAATAAAGATGATTGCAAAATGAACACAACGAAGCACAGCCCGAGAGGACAAGCGTCTAACTGTTTGCGAACAGAGTTGCTACAAAGGATCCTTGCGTTTTCTTGTTAATAGTACATACGGCGCGGGCGCAACGATCTAAAAGTAAAAGCGAATCGAATAAATGAATTACGTGCGCTCGTCTCAGCGTTAACTCCGATCATTTTTTGCTTTGCGGCACGCGATTCATTTTGCAATAAAGTAACGCTGTCGACGTCCTGTTCACACTGGCAAAAGCGCTGCTCTTCAATTTTTGCTTGATCTTGATGTGGAGATCATCGCACAGACGTAGCGTAGCTGTTGTACTCCGATCTGGATGGTAAATAGGACGAGATCCGCCGGCCTCTTTGTCAGGATAACTCAACAGTCGTTTTCAGGCACCAAAGATCCTTCAATTTAGCGGCTCTAAGAACAATTATTTTGGATCGACGTGTATTGTTTTTGATTTTACCCACATGACAGACCATCAGTGACGTCCACTTTCTTACGTGGTGATATTTTCCATCAATGTGAAAGAAGTTTCTTCCAAAAAATCACCTCACAGAGACTACACTTGTAACGGTGAATGATAGACTTCTCTATAGTAGCCAGTACACTAGTTTCTAAATCGATCCACAAACGACAATAACAAGATTTTTTTTGTACTAGATAGTTGAAACATATTTATACGATTGAGGTTCTCCTTCTCTCCTCCCATCGTGTAGCACCTAATTTTTTCACTATAGTTTTAGGTCGCCACTTTGTACGACTCGGAAAAAAACTGCTATATAGGAAGCAAAGACTTTCTGCAGTGAGACTGACAGTGTGAGCACTCTCTTAAGCTCGTGTAAGATTGTTTTCAATATGATAGAGGACCGAAGAATAGACGGATGGCGGAGTTTATTACGGTATCTTTACTAGAACTATAGCTGTCGCACAGTTATCGTATGTTTTTACTATCCGCGAGCTGAAAATTTTTCTACACGCATAATGTCGATACACATATACGAATATAGAACATCCCTCCGATATACAAGCAACACCAACACGTTCATGCCAGGGGGAGTCGCTTCAAGAGGCATACTTACACGAGGACTTGACAAGAAAATAAGATAAGAATCTCCAGGCAGGACGTAGCTACACGAGTAGTCTAGGGCTTCATCCAAGAAGAAGAAAAGTAAAACACCTCTATGCTCTCCCGCGGCACCTGTACAGTGGCACACTTCGGCTACGGAACGATGCCAAGGAACGAGTACAGTATCGGCGACATTTGTTCTCCCCAGCAGAAAAACAACACGTTTTTCGTAGCTTTAACCTTTTCATCCTTTTTTCGAAAAAGACGCAAAGACGCCGCTTTCATCGGCGGACAACATAACGACGCGGACGCTCATAATAAAGACCCACCACGTGATATTTCTTGTATTTGTTGACGGCACGACACCCACACCGTTTCTGTTTCAGTCCGATGGGTAAAACGGATCCTTCGCTCTTTTTGGAGCCCGTGGCGGACACAGCATCACTTTTTTTTTCCTGTGCGACCGACGACCCTTAAGAATAAGATCGTAACCTAGTACTACACGACCCATCTTCATGCCTGAGTCGCGACCGCGTTGGCGTTCCCCGTCCCCGCTCTACACGACCCATCATGCCTGAGTCACGGTCCCCGCTGAGGATGAACTTTTTAGAAGCAGGCTCCCCGCCGTTCCTTTGTGCCGCGGCGGTAGACTCTGCACCCACGCGACCCGCAGCTCGTCCGGAATTGGATATGACAGAAACTGACATTGGTGGCGCTGGCGGCTTGAGTGCATGCACACCAGTAGGTGACGAGCACCCTTTGCAAGGCCAAAGTGAGACTGTCACCGTCGCGCGCGCTCCTGCTTTGATGCAAGCGCAACCGGTGCGCGCCAGTGCTGTAGCTCCTGATGCCGCGGCAACTACCGACTCTGTTTCCGCTGTAGTACCTCCTGTTTGCGGACCGTCACTGCCTGCGTGTGCCACCGGCGCTTCTCCCGGCGTGCTTCCTACGCGCATCCGAGTAGAAGGGGGGTTTACCCTTCTTGGCGACAACATACCCCCCGAGATCCTTCGCCAGTATGACAAAAAGTCAACCTCGATGTCATCCAAACAAGTAGAAGTCGGCGCGCAGCGGAAAAAGAAAATGAATCCCCAAGATGAAGAAGAACGAGGACCAGCACAGGAAAAAACTGTTCCCGTTCCATATCAACGCCAGCATCTGATGCGGCAAACGTGTCAAAATCTAGGGAACGACCAGGAGAGTAGTTGTACAAGAACTGGTGCCCTCAACATCAAAACAAGTTTCTCCCAGGAAGATGATTTTTTCCTGCAGGAGGAGCAGTCTGTGTCTGTGGTTGCGGCGCACAAGAAGAACGTAGCGCGGCACCAAGAACATGAACAGGACGATCCAGATGCTGAGGATGAGCAACTAAGAATCGTCAACTACCGCAGAAAAAGTAGTGGGACCGATCCGGCGAACAATGTAAAAACAACTACTAGTACTACGACTTTGATCATGCGGCGGAAATCCACCTCTGCGAGCCTGAAGACCGGTGATGCTTGTTCTAGTTCACCACTAGGACAAAAACTACAACCACAGCAGCACGACGTGCTGCGTGGCGGGCAGCACAAGAATATCATGATGATCCACCAGATGAACAAACGGGAAGTACTAGCTGGTCAACGTGAGCAAGGTGGTAAAGGAGTAGTGCAGCATTATAATCAGCAGCACTACACGACGAGAGTTGTAGAAGTAAGCACACCCGCAAACTCTTCCCCATCTTCGCAGTACTTCCCCAGGACGCCCTGCAGTGGTTCTCTCCAGCACGATTGGGTATTTTCTGCCTCGCGGCGCAAGTGGACCCGCGGCAGCAGCAACCAGGAGCTAGTCCTGACGCCCGTCGCGGGAGGGGCCGCGGGAGCACGTGAAAGAAGAAAAGTTGGTGCAAGAAGTGGAACAACAAGAACAGCAACAGGTCAACAACAGGATCTTCCAGACCACATTTGTAGTTCCTCCCCGGTTTCCACCACGTCTTCGGACGTGATTCTGCGGGCCTGCGTCTCCAACGTGGTGGACGACTTGGACGCGTGGACGCTCTGGCGCGCGTGGGACGCCTATTACAATGAAAAATGCCCCCACTCCCGAATTTGGGAGCATTTGTATTGCAAACCTTTCCAAATGAAACATTCGCCCTCTTGCATCTATCAGCATCACAGGTTTCCGATCGTGAATAGCAAAGATTTGTATTGCAAAAGACCCCAGCAAGAGCGGCGCTTGTCATGCAAGCGATGCGATACACGCCTAGACTCTGCATCAGAAAGGTTCGTAAGTACTCCTTTCATGCATGACAAAAACTTTTCACTTGGAAACTTCGCATCACAATGTTTTGCAACTTTGGGGGTGGGGGCATTTTTCATTATGATAACGCCCTGCACGGGCTGTCGCCGCAGGATTTTTTTGACTGCGAGGAGGAGGAGAAGGCCATCCGGGAGGTCTTCGCCTTCCGTGTATCAAAAGGAAAAATCCCCCCTCCCCATATCGAAACGAAGTCTCTGATGCTGGATTTCCGTACACAAATGAGATTTGTCTTGCAGTAGAGGACTGCAGGCATATGCCAAGCCTCAGTCGAGAGGTTTTGACGTAGGCGCCTAGCATGACAAACGTGTATGCTCTAAGCCCAACAGCATCACAAACCGCCTGCAAAATGTGGGGCGCTCTCTGGACTTGGCTTCTTGCAAGACAGACACGATTTGAGGTCACAAATGCGCATCACAAATTTTCAGACGGATACGGTTTTAATATGGGGAGGGGGGATTTTTCCTTACGATACCGTGCGGCGGAAGCGGCGGAAAAGCACGACAGCGTGCTGTTTGCGGAGCTCGGCTTGATCATCGCAGGCGGCAAATCGTGGTCGGCCGAGAAGCTGCAGAAGCTGTTGGACCGGCAAGCCGTCGTGGCGCGCGGTATGCACAGCGTCAGCTGCGGTGGCGCGCAGACGCCCAAAATGTTGTTGAAACTGGCCCGCAACGAAGGCAGTGGCTTGGTTGGTCATCAACAGATGCAGGACAACATCCAAGAACGGGGCGGCCGCGGCAACGCTAGTCCAGTCGTGCTGGAGTACAACAACCACCGGAAGGGAAGCAAAGGAAGTGGTGCCTGTGGAGGTAGCAAAGAAAGCGCAGGTGGTAGGAGGTCATCTGCTCGTCTCATGTTAACGGACCACGACCCTGGCACTTGCAAGGGCGGAAATACTGCTTCTGGTACTTCTCGCACATCACCTGCCGGCGGACCGTGTGAGGACAAAAATCTTGTTGGCACGAATAATATTACGATGAATACTGATGATGTTTTACAACAAGATGCTGTTGCTGGACCTCCCGCACCACTACTTCCCATCCCGACTACCAGTATGAATCTGTTGATGCACGAATCTAGCTTGGCGTCGCGGCTCCTCTCGATGAAAAATGCCGATCATGCGACGTCGAACTCGGTCAGAACTGCAGGGCAGGCACCGGGCGGCCACGACGGTTCTTTGGTTCATCTTCCCAGTGGAGTACCTACTTCGACGAGCAACAGCAAGATGCTGCACAAGAACGAGAAAAAAACGAAGCCGCTCCTTGGGAAGATTCTACCTGACGTTGCAGCGGAGGTGGTCCCCGATCAGGATGTCGAAAACGCTCCCGCCCTTTGGCAGACTGGCAGCGGGGGCTGCGCCACCTCGTCCACCACGGGCGCATTATTGCGAGAAGATGCCGGCCAATGCCAGAACTTGATGATGCCTTTGTTGCAGGCGGGCGCGGACGAGACGCCGAGTTTCTCGGGCTCTCGCAACCGGTACGAGGACACCGAGAAAAATGCGGTTGCTTTGTGCGGCGCGAGAGCTGCTGGTGGAAGAAACGAGACCACACGACCGGGATTGTTGTTCTTTGACAAAGTAGCAGAGAAAAACAAGGTGGACCGCAGTGCAGGAAACGAGACTCCGAGGTTCTGTCTTGACCAAAGGGAGGAAAAGTTGGACCGAAGGGCAGGTGGACGAGGAGACGAGACGCCGAGGTTCCATCTGGAAAAGCTGGAAAGCGTGCTCAGTGAGGATTCGGAGGAGGGTAAGCTGCAAAATGCACCACCACAGGACGAGAGTAACGCACTCATCGGTCCGGTTCTCCAAGTAGTTCAGCCGGTTGTCGCCGCGATGAACAATATTGCAGCTGGTGTTTTCCTCGACGAGGGTAAGGGTTTGAAGCAAAGAGAATCTTCTACTTCGCTCGAAGTGGAACCGGCCCGACGCAACCTTTTTCCTCCAGCAGCGCGAAAATCGGGCTCCGCACTCAATGAAGATGAAGCGACGTCTATCCTATGTAAAAACGTACCCACACCAGAGTTGTCATGCAGATTTGCAAGCACAAGAGCATTTGTAATGCGCATCCCCATGAGAGACATTGCCCATCGTGTTTTGGAACTTGTAATGCTGTAAACAGGATAAGGAGACGGATTTGTTATGCGGCGTCCCTTGCTAAGCTGCACTACACTACAGTCTGCAACTTGTCATGCGAGACTCCCAAAAGGTCTAGGTTTGTGTTGCAAAATCCCCATCTTGACTATGGTGTGGGGACGTTTTTACAAATGATAACGTCAGAGAATCTTCAAAGTGGAGCAAATAAAATGTCAGGTGCAGGAGCTCTAGCACAACGTCCAGAAACTAGTCTGGAACATCAAACCACAGCAAAGCCCCGGCCCCTACTGCCGAAGAAGAAGATGCTACAGCTCCCTCCAGTGGTAAACAAAACCTTCTTTGACGATGTCTGCGCGGCTCCACTCACTGATAAGACGCCGACTTGCTCAACATCCTCGAAGCGCGGTCTTTCTGCTGAAGCTTGGGAAGAATTTCTGTTCGGAAAAGTAATAGTGGGAGGACGACCAGTTGTGGACGAACAAGAGCAAGAGAAAGGTGAGCGTCGAGCCGGCGTAGAAGTTGTCCCCCACGACGAGCAAAATGTCCTACGGAGAACTGGGACGACGCACTCCAATGGTACCGCGTGGTCCACTCACACCTTTGCTCCCGACCCGGCGCGCCTGATGGAGGAGGAAAAGAAAGCCGCCGTCGCGCCGCGGGCCGCTGAGGCCCAGGTCGACGGGGTACTTGCGTCGAAACAGGATGTTCTTGAGCAGTTTTTTGATAAAGATAGAAAACATGCGCCGAGGAGTGACCCTCCCGCTGTGCCTGCGCCGCGGATGAAAAGTAGCACACAAACAGAAGCAAAAGAATTTGCTGCTGCGGACGTTTCTTTGTTGCAGAAATCCAAGAAATCCAATTCCAGCCCGTTGGTGTTATCGAGCAAAGAACAACAATCAGAAGGAGCGACGACCCGTCTAAGCTGCAGTCGCGCGGCGCCGGAGGCATTTTTAGCAGCTAAGGATCATCTCCAGGAGAATGAATTGCTTGTACAGATGAATGTCGGTGCAGCCGCGAAAAATTCAAAGCAAGACGATCATGATGTCCTTGCAGCCGACAAGGAGGCCGCCGTCGTTGCGCCGTCTTCAAAGCTTGTACTGCAGGAGAAGGCGTCCTCGATCCTGAACCCCGATGTTGAGAACAAAAAACTATCTTCCCGCAGCCCAACAGGAGAACATCACGCTTTCAAACAGATGCCTTCTCCGCGCCTCTCAACCGTGTCTGGCTGTGAGGGGTTGATATCGCGCGAGCAGACGAAATCCAGTAAGCGGCTGAGCGAGCTTATCAAAAGGAAAAATCCCCCCTCCCCATATCAAAACGAGGTCTCTGATGCAGGATTTGCGTACACAAATAAGATTTGTCTTGCTGGAGAGGAATGCAGCCCCATACTATGCCGAAGTAGAGAGGTTCTGGCCTAGGCGTCTAGCATGAGAAACGTCCGTGCTGTAGGCCCATCAGCATCACAAACCGCCGGCACAATGCTGCGGAGCTTGTGGAGTTGCCTTGTTGCAAGACAGACGTGATTTGAGGTCTCAAATCAGCAACACAAATTTCCGGAAACATACCTTTTCGATATGGGGAGGGGGGATTTTTCCTCACAATAGAGCTGTCGCTTGACCGCCGGATCGGTCTGACGGATATCCTGTGCAAAAGTATCGTACTCGTACTAATCGCATTCATGCATTACAAATTTCTTTCTCAGGTTAAATCCGCATTACAAATTTTCTTTCTCATGCTGAGGAAATTTGTCATGCGATTTATATATACTAGTACGATGCTTTTGCATTTCATAACGGAGGAGCTGGATCAAAAGTGCGACCCCAAGTTGCTCGTTGATCACGAGGTGTACGAGGCCGAGGACGGGGTGCAACTTCAAAACGAGCTTGTCTCCTCTCGCACCAGATTTCTGCACATGTTGAAGTATCGAGGTGAAGGGGCGGGGGGGCGGAACAAGATGCAGAAAGAACATCAAGTGTTGAATTGTCTTCACGTTGCGTCAATGGCTCATAGTTCTACCTCACGTGCCCGCGATCTTGCATCCTCTTGCTCACCACGACGAGGACCCTCTGATTTGTTGTCGGACCACATGAGCAGAAGTTCTACGGGCACGACGTCGACCCATGATCTATTCCAAAGTGGTTTTCGGTCGCCCAGTTTCTGGGACAAATGCTGGACTTTGGATCGCGAGAAACTGGAGAAAAACCTGCAAATTGCCGACGAGGAGGTTCATCGCAAAAACCGTGATAAGTTCTTCTCGAAGAGTTTGCTCGATGGAATAAATCGTGACCACGACAACTTCGACGAGCACCAGTATCCGAGAACTCCAAGCAGCACCATTTCGCGCAATATTTCTGGGCTCTCCGCTGCCTCTGCGCAGAGCCAAACGTCTCGTAGCAGCTACCGGAGCGCAAATTTGCACAATATCTGCTGCGCGACCTCTTCCCAAGCGCAGCAGCAGAAGAAGGCTTCTACGACGAGGAACAGGCGGACGCTTAAGGATTTTTTCTGCGTGGAGGATCCGTTCGCGCCGAAATTGTTTCCGAACGTACACGAGAGCTACGACTTTTCCTTCTGGAACAACCGACGTGCCTGGCAAACGGGGAAAAAGATCGGAAATCGGTTCCTCAGTGTCGAGGCGAGCCAGAGTGGCGAAATTCTGTGCTTCACGTCGATGCGAAACTTCATGGAGAAGTTACAGGAAGCAGAGGCTCAGCAACGGGGGGAACGAGGACTACTACACGCAGACGACAGCAACAATGCCAGCGGAACTAGGTCGTGTGCGGCTAGTCCTGGTAGTGCACCGCCAAAGAAGCAGGTGCAGCTCCTCTCAACTAAAGATCATCTTCCCGAGAAGCACGACGTGAGGACACCAGCACGACAGAAAGCCGCAGAGGCTAGGGCTTTGCTAGCACAAGAGCCCCCACAGGCGGGGGGGAGCAAGAATTGTCAACATCAAGGGAAACAACAACTTTCTAGTTCACCCACCACACCGAAAACGTCTTCAAAGCGCGACAGTACTGCGTCGAAGCGCGACAGCACGAAGTCGGGCGTTTCGACAGCGAGCAGCGGGACCAAGCGGCAAAAGCTTCGGCGCCGTGGTCTGACAGGCGAGAAGCTAGGTGAAGACGGGCAAGTCGTTGGACCTGCGGCCGCCACCACTGCCGGAATCGTGGGTGATTTTTCTGATGTGGTCACATCTGCGGACGATGAGAAAAATCTAGAGAGGACGCAAGCGTCTTCCTCTTCTTCAACATCCCGTGCAGGAGGACCAATTATAGCCGCAGGAGGAGGTGCTGATGGCGATGACCGCAGGTCTGGGAACGAGAAGAAGGAGGACTACCACGAGGACGACAATAGTCAGCTGCAAGAAGCGGACCCCACGACGCTGAAGATTGTCGACCGCACCGCGTTCCTGACCTGCGGGCCCTCGGAGTTTTACATCTACAAGGGCGAATTTTTCGCAACCTTCGAGGACGCGGTCAAATTTGGACAGCTGCAGGAGTTGGCAACATCCCAGGGACGGCTCTCGTGCACATCTTGGCACAAGAAAGACGAGAATGATGCTGGCCGAATGCAGCAGAGAAAGTTTCTGTATCTGGCGCAGTTACCAGTGGCCGAGCACTTTAACTCGCTCTCGGACCTGGTTACGTCTCTGCGAGACTTTGCAGAAGACCAGTGTCGCATGCAGCAAAACCTGCGCCAGCAATCGAGCATCGGTGTGTACTTGAGCAGCCCCACAAGCCGGGCTGCAGCCCCTGGTGGATCGGGCACCAAGGTAATAGCATCTACTCCTGGGCGGGGTCATGCAGCGGTTGCAGTTGGAGGCGGGCAAAAAGAACTGATGAAAAGTAAAGCGATTTGTCCAACATCTTCCATAGACACGGCTGCGAAAAGTCTTACAGCATTTGCTCACGGTAAAGGAGCGCAAAAAACGAAAACTTCTGATAACGCGGCACATCATCGCCACAACAAGTACCACGTTCAGGCAGACCTGTCGCGGCCGCATCGGAAAAGTCATGCGAGCTTGTTTGCGCCGGACCCGGATAATGCCTTCTCGCTCTTCGAGCCGATGACACCCCTTACACCCCTTGAAGGTGAAAATGAAGCAGCTGTGCAGGCGTATTTTCAAGAAAACCACGATGGTCCACCTTGTGGGCATGATCTGCCGTCGCCCAAAAATATAAAAAAGAACCAACTATCGCCTTTCGTTGAGAAGCAGATGAAACAGCGCCGAACGGAACAGAATGCGCTGACGTTCTGCCAAAACTTGCAAATCATGATGGCACCGCCAGATGATCGTGGTGCGGCTGCTGGCGCTGCTGGTCGTGGGGTCGAGGGAGCAGCAGCTGGAGCTGCTAGAAGTACGGAGAACGAGGTTGAAGGAATATCAGACGCTCGCCCTGAAGACGTCGAGGGCTGGGATGAAAGAGCTCTCCTGCAACAGGCTCGGACCACGACCACGACGAGTAAGACGAGTGAAGCTGCACTGGAAGCGGGGGACAGTGGTTCGCAAAAAATTTTTCACCGCTCATCTTCACAGGATCACGAAACGAGGAAAGACGAAGCAGGAGGAAGTACAATGGAACAGCAACAGCAGGAGCCGGGAGACCACAAGAAGGCTTTGGTTACTGGTACAACAGCCTGTGGTCGTCATATGAATAACAAAGCAAATGGTTCAGAACAAATGAAGGCAATAAAGAACAACACGGAGATGATGACCACCACGGGTCCGCAAGTGCCCCCGCCGCGGAATGGGGCGGTAGATAAAACAAGCGCAAGTCCTCCTTGCCCCCAGCACCAAATGTTATTGAACAGCAGAATTCCTCACCCGAAGGCAGATTTTCTGAACCTTCGGGCCTTCGAATTTTTCCAGTACGGGCACTGCCACCTGTTTCTGGGGCCGGCGCACACCGTCACAGACTTTCACTACGACCCAACAGACAATTTTTTCGTGCAGCTGGTGGGGTACAAGTTCTTCCGCCTCTACCCGCCGCATTCCAAGTGGATCCAACCCAAGTACGAGCAGGAGATGCAAAATCTCGTGCAGCAGAGGCGTTCCAGCTTCGGCTTTTTGCCCTCGCCGAAAATGGTGGTGTCCACCCCGGGCGGACGAAATTCCATCGCGGCAGCTGCTAGTCCTCCGAGTACTCCGGCGGGGTTCGACGCTTATTCGCCCGGCGGTAAAAGAAGTACTGGAGGACCCTCCCCGGTCTTGTGCGGCGCAAGAAAACCAGGAGTGCAGGAACAAACGCCGAGGTGTCCTCGTCCGAGTTCGCGCGCAGGAAATTCATCTTGTCAAAACCTCCTTGATATCAATATCCGCGGCCACACACAATCAGGAGCATTGGATCCGAGCGGCAGTCCGCTGACTGCAACAAACACCACAATGAGTACCACACCGGGCGGGACTGTGCCTCTAGAGGACCACCTTCTTCAAAGCGGTTGCACTATTGCAGCTGATGCTGGCATAGCCAGTAGTACAAGTAGAACGCGGATGAACTCGAACTTTTCAACATCGATTGCAAAGCTGCAGGGCGGGAACAGCTGTGAAGGAGATAATTCCATTTTTGCCAGCAGTGGTGCCTTGTCTAGTACTACGACAAGAACTTCCGGCAATAGAGAAAGGGATAGTAGATTGACCAGCAGGAGCAGCGATCAGTTTCTTCATGGCTGTTCCGATACAATTCACGAGGACGTTGTCGGTCTGGTTCCGGTATCTACTGCAAAAGTATCGTATACTTGTACTACTCGCAATTATCTTGCATGAAAGGTTTAATACTTTCCTAAATTCTATGTATTTGATAGATTTTGATCGTTATATGCAGTTACTTACTGCACAACATCAACATGATCCATGAAAGAGCTTAGCGTGAGGCTACACAGAAACGCCACGTATTTTTAAAGCGGTTGATGATGATGAAGATGGTGATGATGATGCCGTTACGACTAGTAGTACGCTAAACTTTTGCAATGCATAAGCGGCAGAGGGAGCTAGTGGTCCTCGTACAACCAGGGGCGCGACCACTACCGGCCGAACAACCACGACCGGCAGCACTGGTTTCATGCTAGACAGCAACGTGAACACACCGACACCAAGAACGCCACGACCTCGTGGGCGCGACGGGGGGCAGCAGCGACTGCTGTCAGAGCAGACCACACCAGAGAATATTTACGCGCCATCAGAGCGCTATTCGGAGGAGTTTCTGCGGAAAAACGCCCATTTCGGCAGAGAGGTCGATCACGAAGAAGTGATCAGCAGGGAAATGATGTTGACGAACAAACATTGTTCATCAACGCCGGACCGGCGGCCGGGCCATGTCGAATCCTGTGACGCAATTGACGTGATCGTGAAGCCCGGTGACGTACTGTACATTCCCAAACACTGGTGGCACTATGTGGAATCGCTCACCACCTCCGCCTCGCTCTCCTTCTTCCAGCACCGGAATTTATCTGGGTATTTCAATTTGGCATAAAGTTGCCCCGATTTATTACTATTTTTTTCGTACTCGGTCACTAATCGTTTTTTTTCACGATCACGTTCAGTGGACTGGTGCCAGTATAAGCATAGAAACACGGCTCCGAATGCTGAGACGTAGATACGATTATAGCCGTGGGTCCTTTGCTTGTAGTTTTTTCCAGCGCCAAACCGAGTCAAGTCAATATGACGAATAATAAAGTTTCTTTTTTCTTCGATGCACGAGTCTATATCGTATGGCGAATCTCAATACAACAATACTAACTACGTATGGAAATATGAATATCTCAACAATCCACATCGTGTAAAATTTCGCGAGTCTATATCGTATGGAGAAAATCAAAATTGTCAATCTCAATAGAATCAGGGGGAGTTGCGGCAGAATACTAGTAAAATTCTAGTGGCAGCATTCAATTAAGTGAAAGAAGTGTGGCGGCAAACGTAACTGATAGCAAGAAGGAATAGGCGAGGAACAAAGTTTCGAATTCGATGTGCAAAATAGAAGCCAGCATTTCCATGTGTAGATTGCTTTTGAAGATTTTCTTGTTCACAGATGACTTCCGAGCAGATGCAGAAGTCATCTAAGACGAGAGCTGCAGCCGCAATGTAGACTTAGCATTTCTTTTTGATTGAAGAAATAAAACAGATAAATATTATCTATCAAGCGACAAGAGTTCATCTTCGTCAACGGGAGCAGTTACAGTTAGTCTCGCGGCTTGGTTAAAAGGGCCGCAGGGCTTACACCTGTTACCCATCCCATCGACGATGGTCTCTTTTTTTTTCCGCAAAGGTGGAGCATCGTCTTCAGCCGTGTTTTTTTGTAAAGTACACCCAACGCAACACTACCCTTTTTTATTTGAAATCGTACGAAGCTAATAAAAGTAAGTAAAACTAAAAGTAAAAACACGAGAAGGTAGGCCTTGTCCTTGTGGTTACTGTGACAAAACCACCGCAGTTACGTTTTTCTCCGAAGGGATCTCCTTGTCAACTTTCTGTAAAGATAAAGAAAAGGCTAGAAGGATGAAAGCTCTTTTTTTCTTAGCTCATTTTGTAAAGACCACGCATTACCCCGCGAGCGGAAAATAGACCAAACAAAAAGAATAGGCTTGGGAAATGGTAATGCAGCGAAATAAATGATCCCTCACCCTCCGTTTTCCACATTTTGTATGATGGCAGCAGAATTATATGACGCAAGACTAAAAAAGTGAAAAGTTCTTTCCAATCTGTATGTGTGGACAAACGTAGCTACCGTTTACAACTGTTTGGATTCACGTGGTTGACTTTTCCACGTCGCAAAGCTTAGCACAGTCGTCTTGAAGAACTATGTCGTGAGCTTTTTTTCACTTCTTCAGAATTACTGGATACAAACGTAGCATTGCGGCCAGTTTATCTAAACATAAACTGAAATCCCGACGAATGGATAAAAATACGCAGGGACTTATAAATATATATGTCTATCACTTAGGGCTCCTCATTTCATCTGTATTTGCTCCGCTTCTTCTCGAGAGGATAGAAGAACTAGGAACCACGTCGAACAGTGCTAGTACAGCAAAAGCACGACGACCGTGGTTCGAGCTATAATTCTTCATTATCATTGCCTTGGATTGAACTTGAAGTGTGCGTTTTTGCAGCATCTTTTGTGGGACCACGAGTAGTTTGATGCTACAATTACAGCACAAGGCAGGAGGACGAGGATTCGGATCTAGAAGTTTTGACGAATAAATACTGCAGACAAAGAATATAGAAGGTCCTCGCAAAAAGGAAGTTGTCTACGATTGTCTCCAGGAAATGTCAAGCTGCAAAAGGGTCCCGGGCCCACTCCTGAGGGAGGAGAAATTTTATGAGGAAATATTGTAGAGCATCACTAAAAAGACTAGCAAATAAGAGAAAGCCATGAAATGCTGACAATAAACTTTGTTGTAGAAAGGCAGCTTCTGCTTCAGTCCGGGAATTTTTAGAATAGCGCCCTTGTATGTTGAAGACTAAGAATCGGCTTTCATCGACATACTTTGTGGCCGTTGCGATGAAAAAACGAACAAAAAGAACAACGGGTGAAAATAAAAACTCATCGAGGCGGTTGGAGCAAAGAACAGAAGAAATTGACGACACGCGAGCAATATGATCAGTAGCACATTGCTAAAGGCTAGTACGACATTGAACTTGATAGTTTTTATTTGATTTTTCACTTGAGATTTCTGTTTCTACAAGGACGCAAATTTTCGAGATTAGATTTACTTCATTCTGCGAAACAAAAAAGCCAAATCCAGAGTAGAGCCGACGTTTTTCCGTGCGTTTTCTTTGCGGTGAAACTTTCTGCTCCGACTTGATAGGATATTTCTCGCATAGTGCACACGAAGTTTCAGCAACATCTTAGGTACGACAGCGATCTTGCTATGGGGCGTCGTCATTTAACACACAGCTGCATTTATTTGTTATGTTTGGCGATGCCTCCGCTGTAGTTTCGCGAAACGTCCACCTTACCTTTTTTTACTTCTCTAAACTGTTTTTTTTTTCGGCTTCGGGTATTCAATGAATACGCATCCTAGTATTTATGTCCACGCGGTTGAGCCGTAACATGTTGTTTATGCGATCGTTCGACGAAATCATGGTGCTCATGCTCTTCAAAACGACATTCGTCTTTTTCGAACCACCTCAAACAAGCCGACCCTAGAGTTATTTTCACATAGATCGGATAGAGTGGTTTGTATCGACAGCGAAACAGCCGCTACCCTACGCGATCGTCATCTTACTTCCCTGTTTTGAAAAGGCTCTTCCGATTGAATTGTCTTGTTTACATCATAAGTTACAATTTAGACGACATTTTCTGACCTGATGGAAATGATCGTCGAATAGCTTTTGCTATGTGCGACCAAGCTGTACTGCGGTCCGGCTATCGAAGACTTCAGTACTACTTACATTATTTCAAGCGGTTTATTTTGGACGGAGATTTAGAAGAGCATCGTGAGCAATTGTTGATGGTATAATTCTTCTGTGACATCAAAGCACGGAATCAGAATAAAACCAACACAAAAGGAATAAACCTCCTGCCATGTTCGTTGTTGGCCACTGAAAACACCAATGAGGAACGTCCACGAACGCGAACACTGTAACCTGTAAAGCTTTCGTATGGACGTGGACCACAAGAATCAAGTGAACCCATGGGGTTGCGCTATATATTTTCTTTTTTTCAAAGTTTAACGCGACCGGCTTCGAAAAAATGAAAAAAAGGTATGATGTGGCCCCCCCAGCTTCCGATGAAAAGAAACCGTAAACTTGGCTCGATTGGCTTTCCTCGCGTCGACATCCTCATTTTGCTTCGCTTGACGCCGCCGCTGCTGCAGAGGATTTTACAAGAATAGCCGAGCAGCCGACGTTGTGCTTTCATTTTTCTTTGTCCTTCTGAATGTCAGATACAGACACCCGAAGCCACTACAATATGACCGACTAGAATATGACCCACAGCCACAATAGTTGTAGTGGAGTGATCAAGTTCTGTAACGTCCTCATCTTGTGAATCATGGCGCGACCTCGATTTTATTTTTTCTTGTTCTTCTTCAAAAGACCATCTGGAACTGCCAGCGAAAATAAAATGTCTTGTCGCAAATTCTTCGACCTGATACTGCAAAAGTAATCACCAAAGTTGGGTTACCTATCACATCTTTATCCGGCAGTGAAATTCTGCGAAGTGTGTTCTGTAGTTTAAAGTTTTTTGTTTATTGAATTGAAGACAACGCAGGGTGGTCTTTTCGTTTTGATGCTTATCGCAATGACGTTTATGAAATTAGTATCGTTGACAAGATGGAGCGACGAGATGCAGAAAAAACAATGAAGAGCGGACTAAATTGTATCGTGATTCGTGGATATCTTGAGCGATGTTCATGCAACCGATTTGAGAACAATAAGAATCTACATCAATCTCGTTGTGGTTTTGGTTCAATTATTCGCTCGCAATGGGAATGGGGACGATAGGGCATTGAGTGGGGCCCACTTACTACAAGTTACATGTTGCGTGCTGCAAAAACAAGTGGTTTCGTTTGCGCCACCAACTTTTTGTGTCAAAAGTACTAGCTACGAGTACGAGAAGCTCCACTCTACTCCACCAAAGAAAAATAACTACAAATGACGATGAATAAAAGTCCGACCTGCAAGGGCTCCTGGATGGCGAGGTCTACTACGAGGACCTCCGTACAGTTGCGGACAACGCCCCTTTCCACTATGGTGCCGTTGTTCCTGTTCTTTTTCATCCCAGCGAGATTTTCAGGAAGTGTCAATGCCCTGCTGCAACGGGAGCGTGTAGTTGAGACCACGAGGGCCGCAAGGTACGCGCCTTTCGCTCCCGGCGCGCAGGGAAAAATAGAAGGTGATGAAGTTGGAAGCACAGAGGCGCAGCGCGACGAATTTGATGAGAGATCGCGACCGGATCTTCATTCGCATTCCGCTTCCGACCAGCACTACAGCCTCCCAGCGCTTCACAGTCTGAGCTTTCGAGGCATCAAGAACCTCGGGCATAGGCTTCTGCAGCGCGAAACGAGGATTTTTCAGGTAGCAAATTGTTGAAACTGCTCGTAGTTCGTTGTTGAAATGCCTTTGCAAAAAGAACGGCGCATAAGTACTTTATCATGTTAAGTCGTCGCGCTCTATGCATTTTTTCGAAATGTCTGACGGTGACGACACGATTATTTATTTTACACAGTCCATCTTTTCCCCGTCCTCTAGCGACAACGAGGAGGCACCAGCGGAGCAGCCGAGGAGAGAGCAGGATGTGGCATCGTCAACACCAAGCATGCTGCTGCACGAACAGAGTAAAGACACGACAAGTCTTCAGGGCGAGTTGTACCACCAACAAAAGGTAAAGGACCAGCAAATAAATAAGGTTATACAACAGGAATACCAGGTTTCCGACCGCATAGTTTCGACGTCCTCTGCCGGCAGAAGTGCAGTGACCGCCAGAAACCGGCAACGAATGAAGAAAACGCGGCCCTTGGACATCCGGTTGATTATCATGACGCTCGTTATGCTGGTCACGTGCGGGTTGTTGTTTTACCTGATTCAGCAGAAACAAGCAAAACTGGACGAGATGACCAAAATGGTGGAAGAAAGCGGGATCGCGCCGCCTGGCGGGCCAGAATCGTCGACTGGCGCGGGGGCGGGAAGTAAAGCCGAGGACGGTGCTGGAGGTGGTGCAACGGCCGCCACGGGCGGAAAAAACGAAAACATCCTCGCTGTGGGAGACAATGTGCAAGTCGTGGAGGGGGAAACCAGTCCCGAGCCGGGCGCAAGTCCAGCGGACGGAGCAGCAGGTGAGTCTCGTTTGTATCTATCATGTTTTTGTGTTGTTTTGGACTACTTATTCTAGCTTTACCGCATCCGCATGTAGAAGTAGAAGATCATTGAAACTTGGAATTCCATGATATGTAGTTTAGTTAGTTACTGATTCATTAAAACAAAAACTGCAAAAAAGGTGATGCTGCCGCTCCGGCCACTGATGCTGCAGCAGAACCGCCAGCCGCCGAGCCCGGAGCGCCGGCAGAAGCAACGGCCGCAGGTTGATGAGCGGGAGGAGAATAGATGTACAGGCCGCGAAACAAAAGACACAACCAGAAGCTCTGTAGTTTGGGGTGCAGCCAGTTTAACGTTCTTTCGCCTGGCGGGGGCGATGAGCATGTTCATACAGCGCAGATGAGTATTGATTTTTGGAGATCCAGTAGTTGGAATCCGAAAACAAGCGGGGGCTTCGCTTTACTTTATCAAGTGATGCGGATGTCGAGGACGGACCACGCGCATTTCTCTGATCGAGTTGTAGCAGCACTCTCTGCTCTCTCCTTTCACAGCAGTTTCAGTTGTGCGTACGTTTCTGACTGTTTCCCAGAAAATGAAAATATCAAGGAGAAACAAAACAGTCCTCCGAGTAAATGGAATCCAGAGCTGCAGCTTATGACTCCCAAGAAGGTTGAAGACTAGGCACTGCTCATTACTGTTCCTTCAGGTCTATATTGCACAGAGATGGATATGGCTGCTGGCAGTTTTTGCGGTTCCGAGCCAGCACGAAATAAAGCCGCGGCGCTCTCATACATCAATGTTGCCAGAGCAAGAGTTTTTTGAGCGATCCATCGTACAAAATCGTGAAAAGGAAAGCTTGGCGTTGAAGGTAGCACATGAAGCAGAAAGCGAAAAAAATCGGATCCTCATTTTCTGAAAGTTCCAATAAAAAATGAAGTTCCGTGTTATTGATGAAGGTGAATTTTGTCGAAATCAAACAAGCGTTCCCGAGATCATCTGCGTTTCTTCGCAAAACCATCCTGCAGGACCCCCCTATTTCTTGCGAAAAATAATTATTTCAGAATTGGCCATTTTTTGCGGTGAGTATTGGTATAATTACCCCCATAACAAGCCCTACCCCAGACTACCAACATGTAAGAAAAATTTAGAGGGTCAATATTCATCAAGACAAAGCCGGGTGGCTTCTGTTTGGTGCGTGAAGAGAATGTCCTCACGCCCAACTTATAGGGCGCAACAAGACGAAATCGGTTCCTTGGACGACCTAGACCAGCTAGAGCGTAGCGTCGCAGCGCAGCTGAGCAACCTCGGGCTCAACGATGCCAGCGCGCTGCTCAGTGAAGCTGACAAGGCGCTGCTCAAGAGCTTGGACCACAGCGCGGAGGCTGCGGCACGAGGACCAGCACATGTTGGAGGTCCAGACGACGAACTGCACGGTTTGTTGCAAACGGACGACGCCGACCTCGCAGCCCAAGTCGCAGCGCTGAGCGACGAGGAGAACGAGCTGGAAAGGGAACTGCTTGCAGAGATCAATGACGGCAAGGACGAGGTTACTGGTTGTACTGGGCGGGAGATGAACAGCACCAGTGATCATGGGCAGCCAACATCTACTTCGCTACAACAACGTGCCCCGAGCCCGACGCCGAGCGGGAGCGCCGTCGGCGAGAATATTAAGCAGAGGAACAAGCTCCGCACGACCGAGGGGGAAAAGTTTTCCCAAGATGTTCTTGCTGGTGAGAATAACAAATCAAGATCTTCTGCTACGCCGTCGAGTAAGAAAGGTGAACGACTGCTCCCGCAAGAAAGCTCCGCCGATGCGGATCACGACCAGGCTCTGCAGGAGTTACTTGCCGGTGACGACGATGACGACGCCTACGGGGAATTCAGTTTCGCAGAGGTCGAGATGCACGCGTGTTGCGACAATCTGGAAAGCTTCGACGTGCTCCATTGGTGGCTGGCAGAGCTGAGGAGGAGAAAAGATAAAGAAATAAAGCAAGGAGGAACTTCTACTACAACTAGCTTTCCTTACGCGCACCTGCTGGACCGGGAGATGCAGGCGCAGGAGATCGAACAGACTGAGCAAAAAATCGCCAGTCTCACTTTTGAGATCCAAAACGGCCTTCTGCTGAAAGACGACTACGCTGAAAAAGTGAAAAAGGCGATGCAGAAGGACGAGAAGTTGCGAGTCTGGTTTGCCGAACACAACCGAGAAACTGACGCTGCGATCTGCGCCGAGAGGATCCGGATCGCGAAAGCCGAGTTTGAAGCTGCGGAGCCCGTTGAGCTAGAGGTCCTGCAGAAATTCGAGGCGGAACTCAACCAGCGCATTCTCGGCTACAAACAGGGCGCCTTTCGCTGGGTCAAGTTTTGCAAGGCATACTGTCAACACGCAGCGCCTTCGACGTCGGTTACTGCTGGCGCTTCGACGGGGGGCGTCGTGGGGGCCACCAGTAGCAGTCGGATCAACATATCACCAGTAGTGGTGCAAGATGGGTCGTCGTGCGGTGCAAGAACACCTGCGGGAGCTGCAGCAGCAGCACCACAAGAAGCACGGGCGGTGTACATGAGACACGCAAAGTGGTTGGCGGAGCAAGTGAAAATTTTAGAGGGGTACAGAGACGAGATCGCGGTCGTTACGGCAGCAGCACAAAAGGGTGGCGCTGGCGCGATAGGTGAAATTGTCCTCGATGAACAAGCAGGCGGCGCGGAGCAGGAAAAAGACGACGAGCCTCCCTGTTGTATAGGCCGACGGCAGCTGGAAGACATGCGGAAAAGCCTGCCGCCGACGTTCAACAAGTCTATTCTCATGTACGGGTTGAAAGGACAGCACGACCAGCATTCGCGGCGGGTGGGGCGTTCTGTTCGTGATGTGCAGGAACTGCAGGCAGAGCCTGTTCCTGCCAGTAAATCTACACGGCCAGCAACACAGCAGTCATCTTCATCTACCTCTAGCTGTAAAAGAAGTTCTTGTTCGTCTATGGAGGTGCAGCGTCGCGGCGTCGCTTTCTACTGGCGAGACAAGTTCCGAGAGCAAGAGGAGTTGTTTCGGCAACTTTCCCGAGAAGCTCTCGTTACGGCGAACACGCTCAGTGCCAATTTGCAGCAGTTGGCGAAATTTGAATCCAGCAAGGGGGCTTTGTTGTCGGGCGGGGGTCTGACAAACAGACAGAGTGCAGCAGCTCCGGGTGGGGGCGCTGTTCTTGGTGGTCGTGTATCTTCTTCGGGAGCTGCTGGCATGCCGATTAGCGGGGCCGCTGCAACTTCTACGACAGCTTCTACTTCATCGAGCAATAATCACGTGCTTTCGCAGCAGGAAATCCTCCTCGACCAGCGGCAGAAGCTGGATCGGCTGAAGCGCGAGGCGGTGCTGTTGCACCAAAAGCGAAAGGAGTTTGCGCAGACGGCTTTGTGGTTCGAAAAAGCAGCGGAGGATGACGAGCAAGTTGTGATTGATCCAGATGATAGTGGTGCAGCTGCTGTCGTGTCAGACGAAGAAGATCATGACGACGGCGAAATTGTGCCTTCCACATCGCGACCAATTTTGATAGAAGAAGAGGCAAATGAAAAAGAAAGTTCGTCATCTGTACTAGACATCAAGAAGGCGACATCCAAGTCGAAAGATCGACATTCTGCCGCATCACGAATGGGCCCCGTGAGCCTCTCGTCAACGTCGTCGGGAGGTGGAAATGCAACAGGACCACGTCCCCGAGAAGAGCGGAAACCTGCATCACCGCGACAGCCACAAACACCGACAAAGATGACAGTACCGTCTTTCCTGCAAGTTTCTACCCTGGCGCACGAGAAGGAAAAAATCAACGCTGACATCGAACCCGACCACTTGGAAATTACGCTTTCGCACGACGGTATCAAATGTAAAAATGTCTGGGTCTGGAAGCTTGTGATGCTGGGTGGCGTATCATGAACAGGCCACAAGTGCTGGCTCAGCATGAAAATAAGCTTTTGAGCTTCTAGGTGTTGCCTATTCTGCATGACAAACTACGTTTGTAAGACTAACCCGTCAAGGCCACACCGAAATTCCACCTTGCTCGCGGGCTTGGATGGTAAGGGGGTTCTGCCACACATAGCGCCCACTGGCCGTAAATGCGCGTAAGAAATCGATAGCGGTTCTGCGGTTGCGGTCGGGTGATAGTTAGGAACTGGATCGGGTATCCACCTAGGGGTATCGGCAGAGGCTAAATCTGTTCTAACGCCCAGGTATTGGCAGAGGCTAAATCTGTTCTAACGCCAACCCGCCAGGAGTCAAATGGTTACTACTACTACTACTACTTGCATGACAGTAAAATGGGGCTCTTGGGAAACGTGCATGACAGATTTAAGAGTCATGCCAGACTAGCACGACAGAGCTCGCATTCTTCCAGACCCAGACATTTTTACAGTTGATAGACGGCAAGTCCCGGCCGTGGTGGGACTGGGAAACGGCCTATTTCAAGCTCGACTTCGGCCTCGGCAAGGAGGACACGGACCAGCGGATTTTGAAGATGGAAGGCAAAACCAACCACTGGAAGGCCTCGTTTCCGTTCCCAGATTTCGGCCACAAAATTTCTTCATCTTCGACGGCGGCAGCTTCAACAAGTCGTGTGGGCGAAACCAAAGCATCCGCTGGTGGTGGCGCTTCGTCCTCGAGAAGTAGAGCGATGAACATCGCAAATAGTAAAAACGCGACTCTTGGTAATTCTGCGGTTCCTTCGAGTAAGTTCCAGCCAGGCGGAAGGTCCTTGACGCAGATGAAAAGTAGCGGCACAAGAACCGCAGGTCCGGCAGGTGGCGGTGCGACAACTGCTGGAACAACGACAGGAGGAACAACAGATCAAGATCGTCCACAACATTCCCAAAACTACAGTATCCACTTGCAGCACAAGATTAAGCGCGCCCGCTTCAGCTTCGAGATCTGGCGGCCGCGGACCCTCGCCTTCGTGATGGGCCACCGCCCGATCGGCCACTGCACGAAGGGACTGAAGCTGTCCAACCTGTTGACGGAATTGGAGACACCAGTTGAGTTCTGCGTCGTGTCCGCGGAGGCAGACGATCGCACAACCAGCATGAACTTCCGCGTGCAGTTCCGCGTGCGGAGCCCGTTGCAATGCATGAAGTTGGTCGAAGAAAAAGTGGACTTCTACCACGTAGGCACCAGCTGCTCGTCCGGCGCGGCTTTGTCTTGTTCAGCAGGAGGGGGTGGGGGGAGTTCTATGTTCCACATGAAATTGTTCCCCCCCAGTCTGAAGGAGTTCCCTCCACCCATGAACATTAGCGTCGGGGCGGTTCCCGTGGGCAGCAGGTCAAGTAGTAGCTCAATCGCAGCGATGAAAACCGCGGCGGTGGTTGGGAACACCAGTGAAGATTTGGACGAAAGCATCGTCGTTGTCAAGGAGCGCAGGAGGACATCGAGCATTGAAAATGTTAATATCCCAGAGGTGGACCACCAGCAGTTTGAAGATCTTCGAGGTTGTGCTGCTGGCCCTGCTGCAGCAGTTGGAACAGGTGGGGGGCCTTCATCTCGTGCTCCTACAATTTCTACAAGCGACAAAAGTTGTACTAGAACTTCTCCGCATGTAGAAGACGACGTACGGAAATCTCACCCGCAAGGAGGTGTTGGCGGTGTTGGTGCTAGTAGTGGTGTTGACGACCAGCAATCCACTGCGGCATCCAGTACATCCTCGAAAGAAATAGCGACAGCGCCAGGAGGAGAACATCTACAGCACGATGTCGATCCAGCGAAGGAGAAAACCACAACTGGCGATCAACGCGACGTCGAAAGAACCTCTTCTACAAGTGCGGCGGATGTCATCGTAAACAAGCCCCTAGTGTACCCCTTGCCGCCGCTGCCACTGGCAAACAAAGCCGCGTTTGAGAGATTGGTAACAGAAAACGGGAATTACAGCCGTTTCTGGTCCGCACAGTGGTGCAATACGGTGGAAGGCTTGGACTTCATGATCACACTCGGCAGCAGCTCTTCCGGCGGTATTGGTAGTTCATCTTTGCCACAGCCTTTGTTGACTCAAATCCGGAACGACAAGCCGGTGTACGAGCAGAAAAAACACAGGCTGGAGCAAGCGATTACAAACGCAGAGGTGGACTTTGACGACTACCTGTCGCAGGTAAAACAGGACATGCAGACGGACGCGCGGCTGGCCATGTTCTACCGTGACGAAAAAAACGACGCGGTGGCCTGCAAAATCGTGGTATCTACTGCAAATATGTACTGGAGTCTGGGAGGTTGTCTTGAAGCATGCATCGAGATTGGTGTCGCACATCACAATCACTACAAACGGAACTCGCCGTGCCAGATATGCCTTGCGCAGTCACTCGCACCGTAATTTTTTTTGCATAAATTACGTGCGGCGCTGCGTTTTGGAAATTTTGATTTTCCAAGAACTTTACATGAGCATGACAAATGACAGCTGCTGTAATAGGCTCCTCCAGGCCCAGATCGATGTTTGCAGTTGATAAGTGTTTGACCGCCACAAATGTCTCAAGCAGGCGCTTGCAAATGCGGAAGAGGAGTAGTAGCGAGGAGAAGTTAAGACTGAGCTGAATCGGAGGCAGACATAGAAGATTTCGCCAAAGTATTCACGAGGCTACGCAGCTAGAAGAGCTAGGCTTCGCTGTGACATTTGAAGTCCGCGACCGCAAAAACAGACTGTAGGACACTTTCCATGTCTAAAGACGACTCTGTACTGTATGTCAGTAAGTACTCATACATAATTTCCCGCCGTGAATCAAAGAACTAGAGAAGCACAAGAAGCGACACAATTGATTGACATCATCCCAGATGTTAGAGACGACAGATATGAAGATAAACAAAGTTTTTTATCGCGATCAAAATAGTGATCACAGCCGTGCGTGGGAACGGAGATGAGCTACTACTTCAGTGTAGTACTTCATCTTCAGATTTTGGGATCAGGGACGACGTAGTGACCCGTTGTTCTTACAAAGACAATGCAGCAAGACCTTTATCGTATGTCGTTGTCGGTCGTCACCTCTGGTTCTCTGGTGCGCAATAATAACGTAATATGAGGATTATCGTGGGCCGGGGCGAAGCGGACGCCATCGGGATTGGGGTGTGGACAGCTAATTCATTGATCGTGAGGATCTGCTGTAGCTTTCCGTACTAGAATAGATTGATTACTCGTCGTTTGAGTTTAGCTCTTAGTCTTAGTCGTACACGCAAACGCAATCCAAGTCTTCGTATCGCAGGAGGCTGGTGCATTCAAATTTTGACTCCATAGGTGACTTCCTTACGCCGGTGGCAGGCTCTTGTGTCCTCAGGTGTTTCCTTGCTACTTTTCCGGATCGAGCCTATTGTTTTTCGAAAAAAAGGAGAAATCAAGATCATCATCATCAAGATATAACTGATTCCAAAATGAAAACGAAAGCCGGCGACGTCGAGTAGAACAAGAACGGCCGCCGGGACGAGCTGCTAGCTCCACGACCTGCAGCAATGTCGGATGTTGGACATCAAACTACGTCTAAAACTGGCGCAGGTGCATTCTTGCAGCCCACAGCACTGCAAGTAGAAGTCGCAGGAGGGGAGAAACATGCAGCTGCTCGTCGCGGCCCCTTTTTGTCGCCGGCGACACCTGCTGTATCTTGTTCGCCACCATCTTCGCAACTACCGGCGCGTCGGAAGAGATTACTGATTTTCACCTGGGAACAGAGCTTGCACCACGCTCCAGAAGACTTCTTCTGGACCTTCGTGCCGCAGTATCCAAGAAAAAAACATTGTAGGTGTAACTTTTTTGGAGGAACAGCATTACAAATCTGTCTGGCATGGCAGCAGAAACCTGTCATGCGCAGATAGTACGTGAAAACTCCCTTTAATGGACCCTGCAATGCATGCCAGGCATGACAGACGCAATCATCTTGCATGTTGCGCATCACAAATTTACACTAACAGCGTTTTTTTCTTGCATACGCAGTACACAAAGGACGAAGCGTTGTCAGTGCACCGGATTCACCACGTGCTCGCCCGCCCGCTGTTGATGCCCCGAGAGTTTCGTCTACGAAGACCAACTATCAAAAGCAAAAATGTCTGGGTCTGGAAGAGTCATGCTGTTTTTGCATGACGCAGAAGGTCTGGCATGGAAGCTCTAGCGTCACAGGTAATATCGAGAAGCAAGCTTCCGCAATGCCGAATCCGCATGACAAATTCCCCATTTTGGTGACAGAAAGTGGGGAGCTTTTGCTACCTATGCATGAGAGATCTTTCTGTGTTCTGAAATGCGCATCACAAGTTTGTATTCTTCCAGACCGGGCATTTTTGCATTTGATACCAACCGAAGATGAACACAGCACCATCGTCGCCATGCGGAAAGTGTATACGCGCGCGGTGCAAGCGAAGATGCATTTGGAAGACCTTGCGCAAGAAGAAGCATCGGGATCAAGTGGCCGTTGTACTAGCGCAACAGACACCCCAGCCGTTCCTGGTTCTGGACGTCAAGATCGTCCTAGAAGTTTTTATCTCCCTGGCTGTCTCCGGTGCGCAGAGCCAACCGAGGGAATTTGCGAGACGTGCAAAAAGCCGAGCCGTCCGGTGTGCTACGAGTGTCAGAAGGAATGCAGAAGTTGCGGGGAAGTTGAGAAGCTAGAGGACGGGAGGTTCAAAAAATGCGGTGCGAAAGATGATCGCTGAACAAATTACTACACAAGCAATTTCCACCCTCTAGTGCGCACACAACGTCGTGGAGGTAGAACGAGAAGTCTTGAGCTAGAACTTGATAAAAAGAGGAAGGCCTCCACTTGAGTATATCTTCGTGCTGCTGCTGTTGCATCACCATGCCCACGATGGAAATTGTGATCCCCTTCTATGCTGTTGCTGCTCTAACAAGCACGCAGACACATGCCTTATAATGGCATGTAATGAAATATTAATCTCGTCGTACTGAACAACGTCACATCTGTCATCTTTTTATCGATGAGCCGTGCACATATATTGGACGACGTCTGCGTCGAGAGGGAATGAAAAAAAGCGCAGCGGCCGCAGATCATAATCATTCTGTCGTCCGTGTCGTGATTGTTTCACCTCAAAGGACGTGGAAACGATGTTCCTGTATTTTCGCATGCACGCGCTGTTTATTTGAACGGACGAAACGGATCTCTACGAGTGCGGAGCTAGCTGTATTTACAAGCGCGTCGGTTTTTTTTATTGCGATTATTATCCAACAGAAACAAAGTCAAAGTCAAACTGCTTGCTTTTGTCACCTTGTTCCGACTTTTAGTTTTGCAGACAAAAATCCAGTGGACTGACGAGTGCGATTATTGACGCGATGTGTTGTGGACAAGCATCAGATGGTTGAAGTATGAACTTGAGGAGTTTTGCTGCGTGCTTGTGCTTCGAGTTTCATTATCTGAGAAGTTTTTTTCTGCTCATTTTCTGATGTGGTATATCCGCTGTTGGAACTTCTACACATAAAAATAAACCGATTATTCGTAAGCAGCGCAACGGCAACCTCACATTACCTTCCGAGAATGTGATGACTTTATTAATTTCACAACCACAACCACAATCACAATGAATCACATCCATTACTTACTCCGCCCTCCATTACAGGTCTCTTCGTTTTTCTTTATCCCACCGTCGCTCAGCTTCGGCTTTTGTCTTCACATTACGATTACACTTTGAACCAGCGCGCCCAAGCGGGCCGCGAGTTTGTGCGTACCTAATAACGTAAATACCAAGACGAGCGTTTTTTTTTCGATATTACATGAAGATTGTAGTGCCGTGACGATCATCGGCATCGTATCGAAAATATCCAGAACAGCGCTTCTGTTACAACAGTTTTTGTTCCCGAAGATAAAATTTTCCTTTAAACGAAAGCGATCTCGATGCGTCGGTAACGTCGCTGGGTACCACTCCCTACAGCTTTTCGTAAATGCATGATAAATTAATTTGATCAACGATGAAATACATCAAAGTTCTTCGAGTTCATTGTCGATAAAAAGTAGTAAGTATATCGAGGCGTCATTTTTGCCGTAACACGGTTCCTGTACCTGTTTCAGTTTTCTTTATCTCCATACCGCATAAGTAGTAAAAAAGACCTCGGAATAAAACTAACAGTATTATGGTAGGTACATGAGGTGTGCCTGTGCGCCAGAACGAGTAATCATGACGGAGAGTAGTAGCAATGGAAAATAAAGAAGTACATCAAGAAGTTCTCAATAAAAGTAGTAGTTGTAATCTTGAAGTTGTGTGTCTACCTTTTTCATACACATTTTGTCTTTGATAGTAGCAGTAATAAAAACAAGCATGACCACTTACATCTCATGAAGGTCACGCCTTATCAGAAGAATTTCTCAAAAATCCCAACAACAAAAAAATTATAGCAAGCAAGTTTTCAACATTCGGTATTTCGTTGCCACTCGCACTCTCTGGTATCAAGAAAATCCAAGAACATCCCTGTTGACTTTCTAAAAGTCTAAAGAACCTCCCTATTCTCACCCTTCAAAATATACGACACCTGAAATCGGCATCCACCGTAGTTCTCCGCGCGCTGTCCCCAATTTTTACCTACGACTCTCTCGAAAAGAGTCCGTGACGACGCTCACCTGCGAAGAACCCGGATCAAGTTCGGCAAGAAGAAGGAACTACTGCAAGAAATGGCTATCACTGTGGAGCAATCTACTTCCAACAAGTCCGACGCCGGTGGCGTCGACAAGATGAAGCAGTTGCGCGGAGGAGCTGCAGCTCCTGCGGGTGCTGGAGCGGGTGGTACTGGGATTGAAAATACCCTGATCAACAAAACTTCTAATCCCACCACCTCCACCCGAGGCAACGCGGCCACCACGACGACCAGCAACATGATGGGTCCGGCGGAGCTGAGCAGCAACAAACTGAAGAAGTTTAAGCTGTACATCCCCTCGGTCTCGTTCATCGAACTCTGCTCCTGCTTCTTCATCGTCGGCTTGTATGGGAAGTTGCTCGTGTACTTTTTCCACGAGAAGGACGGCGTCGCGAGCTCCAGCCAGTGGCATTTGTTCCTGCACAACTCCCTAGCGGTGTTGGTGTACGGCTGCTTCTGGCGGTTTCTGCAACAGCGCTGGATGAAGTGGAAGGCGTATTGCGCGAAAAATCCGGAGACCGCCACGGTGCTCAAGTTTCTGCTCGGCGGGAACGTGGATCTGTTCTCGGGGATCAGTCGCAATGGCCGGAGTTCGACGTCGTCCCGTGGGACGATCATGTCGCAGGAGCAGGAAGGGCTGGAGGCGAACGACTCCGGGCGTATTTCTGCCGAAATGGGCAGTTCTGGCACGACCATGAAGGGCAAGCAGATGAATGACGAGAAGGAGATTAGTGGACTACTACACCAACAAGCCAACATCCCGACCAACACCAATCTGAAGCTGCAGCATGACAAAAAACAGGGCTTTGCCTACGACCTGTCGTACGACGACACCGGCGCGGACAGCACCGGGACGGGCGAAGACTCCAGCCCCTGCGCCGGCAATTCCCCCCCGTGGGACAAGAAGACCGGGTTTTTTGGCACCAAAACTGGCGGTGAAAATAACCGCACGACCGAGGATTCGTCTCCGGATTTGAAGAAGAGGACCAACAGTGCTGACGGTAGTTGCAAGGATAATTCATCTTCCAAGATCACGAACAGCACGACGACGAACAAGCCGGTTTTTCCGCTCGCGAAGCCTAGTTCGGACGACATCAAGCGTTTGGTGAATTTGTCAGAGATGACGTACGACACGGTGGTGGACCCGGCCAGCGAAGGGATCCGCGTCGGGTGGGGGCACGCGCTGATCGTGTGTCTCTCCTACTGGTACCGGGCCTATTTCATGCACTGCACCGTGGAGCGCATCTGCACCACGCACCTCTTTCGCGACAACGACCTGATCCACGCCTTCGTGTCCCCGCTGGCCGGCCGCTTGGTCGCGATGGTGGGCGAGCAGGTGTTCATGTGGAACGCGGTCATCCCCTGCGTCTGCTGGGGCCCCTACAAACGGTTCAAGTACTACATGCTGTGCGGGCTGGTCGCGTTCGCGGAGCAGATCTCCAACATTGGAGTCATCAAGCGCCACTACGGCTTTTTCTTGCTCGAAAACTCCACCTGGACCATCGTCTTCACGGTCATCTTCTGGCAGATCTTCAAGAAGCGCTTCTTCATCTGCCGCTTGTCCTCGGCCCCGAAAGAGGTCGCGATCGCGGAGGAAGAGGAAGAAAAGTTGATGAAGAACCACGGTTATCCTGTGCAAAAGTATCGTACTCGTAGTAATCGCGATCATGCATGACAAATATCCCTTTTATAGGTAAATCAGCATTACAAATTCCATTTCTCTTCTTGAAAAAACTTGTGATGCAATTTATACTAGTACGATACTTTTGCAATGCATAACGGTGCGTTCGAAGAAGATTTGACGTCGGCCGGGGACCTGCGCAAGCGTGGTTCCTCCGCTGCTGGTGGTATTTCCTCGTCCACGACCTCGTCCTCGTCTAAGCTGCCCAAGGCGGGGGCCTATGAACTGCAAAAGTATCGTACTCGTATAAATGCATTAATACAACTTTTTTCAGCATGGCAAATAAAATTTGTAATGCTGATTTGCCTTGGCAAAGAAATTTGTAATGCAAGACCTGCATTTATACGAGTACGATACTTTTGCACAGCATAGGGCAATGCTGCAGGCGAAGAAACTGGCCGAGAACCTCCGCACCAAGATCGTGAACTTCCGCAAGCTATCAAATGCAAAAATGTCTGGGTCTGGAAGAATGCATGTTTGTAATGCTTGTCTGGCATGAGTCTTAAATCTGTCATGCACGTTACCCAAGAGCCCCGCTTTTCTGTCATGCAGAGACGCAGTTTGTCATGCAGAACAGGCAACACCTAGGTAGAAGCTCCGAGACTTGTCATGCGGAGCCAGCACTTGTGGCCTCTTCATGATACGCCGCCCAGCATGACAAGTTTCCAGACCCAGACATACTTGCAATGCATACAAGCCGCGCACGCTGCGCATGCTGGTCTTGACCCGGTTCGTCGCGTTGCTGGCGGTGGGTCTGTTCATCGGGTACGAGCTGTACTTCGACCTGCCCATGTACTACTCGCTCTGGGACTCCACCTACCTGAAGCAGGACTACGACCTGCAGTTCTACCCGCAGGGGCTGAAGCACTCGCTGCAGTGCCACACCATGGTGGAGAACACCTCCAACGAGCACTGGCGCCCGGTGATGCTCTGGCAGGCGGCCAACTACACCATGGTTCCGCTGGCCATGGTGCTGCTGTCCTCCCTGACCTACGACCGCAAGCGGGTCTTCATGGGCCTGGACCGCCGCGTCTTTTTCGACGTGTCGGAGAAGATAGGAAAGTGCACAATTCCCCTGCTTCCCTCTTCTTTGTAAATGTTGTACTTATCTATGCACCACGGAAAAAATAGAAGTGTAACTGTTCGTGTAGAAGTGTCGCGGCCAAGATCAAGAATTCGGGTTATGTTGCAGGAGCTGGATTTTAGAACTAGAAGTGTTATGTCTATCATCCAGGCCGCCGCTGCTGGACCAGGTCATGTAAGCTGTGCCTAGAGGGAAAGGATGGCTTCGGCTTTTAGTTTTATTTGCAGGACAAATGAGGGGGAGGCGGAGTAGTTGTGCACTCTCATAAAGGGCGGGTTGGATCTCGGTCATCACGTCTAAGGAAAATGCCGCCGGGAACGGAGGATACCTGCCGCGGGGGCAGTAAATTCGGTGGATGTAGTGGACAGGGTGTACTGGAAGATTTCTTGGAGAAGACGAAATCAATCGTAGCGTAGTTTTCAACTACGCAGTTGAGAAACGATTGCAGTACTGTTGCAGCACTTTCTTTGGGGAACGAAAAATATTTGCGGTAGGCACTGGAGTTTTTCAGGAAATTCTCTTGATGTCCTCTAGTGGCTCATGAAAGAATATCAACGACAGATAGACGACAAAAAAAACAGAATTTTCAAACCTCGAGTCTAGATGTAGATTCGTTTTTTACGCACTTTTAGTTTTACATGCAGCGACAATTTGAATAATAAATACGTATTGCTATGATCGCAATCAATTTCAATATGTGGATGGCTTCTCAAATGCAAGAGCGGATGTACGTTCACTGAAATCGCACCAGCTTGTTGTTCAGTAACAGGAAAAGCGATTTCAACATCAACACCGAAAGCGAAATGAAATACGACCACTTAGTACGTAGTACAGCAACGACTTAGCGACAAGTAGTTTCACGCACGACCGATAATATGTCACAGTAGGTAAAAAAATTCCCCGATAATATTTTGTGATCCCCCACGCACGACCGATAATATTTTGTGATCCCCCACGCACCAGTCCGACCCGAAGTCCTGGAAGCAAGGGAGCGGCTGCCGACACTAGACGACCGAACAGGAGGCGGCGGAAGCTTTGGAGGAAGCGGAAAGCTCCCGTTCTTCGGTGCCTACAACAAGTACGTCGAACACATAAGCCAGCCGCGGGGCGCACTGGACACCGGCCCCGCCGGGAACCGTTTGCAGGATGCGGAGGGCGCCGGCATTGGCCACGCTGCTCACACCCACGAAGCGCTCGACGCGCAAGCGCAGTTGGCGGACGACGCCGCAACTGAGGCTTCAGTAGCTCGACGGTGGGGGGATAAGAAGTCCAGCACGAGCGGCGCTGCGCGGCGAAGGGCGAAGCGGCTAAAGCGACAAGCAGGAGACTGCGCGGCACCGGCGCACCAGGGAGCGTGGCCTTCAGTCGGTAAGACGCTCAGGACGGCGGCGGCGGTAGTAGCCTCCTGCGGCGCTGCCATGATCGGGGCGATCGTCCCTTGGCCAACAGCACGGCCGCCAGCACAGCAGGATGACGTGTTGACACTCTCGCCCACCAACGAGACCGTCGCGCCGCCGAGAACTACCAGAATGCTGTTCCAGAAGGCGAAGTGGTCTGTCTATCGGGAGGAGATGACGAAGTACCTCCAGGCGCACCCAGTAACCCAAAAGACAACACTAGCGGACCGGGCGGAGCTATTCAGATCAGCAGTTGTCGAGGCGTCAAAGAAAGCGATTCCCCGGGCCACCGCAAAGCCAAGGAGACGAGCAGAAAAACAGAAGCAGCAGACAGAACTTGAACTAGCCATCGCCATGCGAAACTCTTGCAAGCGCATGACGATCGTCGCGAGGACAGCCGAGGGCCGCCAGTACTGGTCCGACCAGACAAGACAAGCAACAAAGCGCATAGTAGCAGCGGAGAACGACCGCAAGCGGAAGGCGTTCCGGCGGGAGGCAGAGCGAGCCCAGCAAACAACCGCGGGGGCGTTCCGTTTGTTGCGGCAGCTCGAGGCAGGAGGGCGACCCGTTCGAGCCGAAGCGAAGGTCTTGACCCACCGAGGGAAGCAGCACAGCCAAGGCCTGGCAACGGTCTTTGCAGAGCACTACGGAAGCCTCCCGCAGCTACCGCAGCAAGAGGTAGACAGCGCAAGGACGGAGGCGGAGGAAGTGTTCCGGGCGGAGATACCAAAAGACGCAGGCGTCACGTTCTCCCTAGACGAAGTACAGGCGGCCATCTCGTCCCAGGCAGGCTCGTCGGCGGCAGGGCCGGACGGAGTACAGGGGGCGCAGGTGAAAAACCTGCCGACGGAAGCCAAAAAGTTTCTAGCCAATTTCTTCAGCGAGTGCGCGACGACGGGGGTCTGCCCCAAAGCGTATAAACGGGAAAAGCTGAAGCCGCTCCTCAAGGCAGGCAAGCCCAACCACCTGCCGGGCAGCTACCGCCCCGTTGCCCTCACGTCCGTGGTGTGCAAAATCCTGGAGCGCTGCGTGCAGCAAAGGGCGAGGCAGCTCTTCGTCTCCTCCGGCCTCCCAAGCAGGAGCCTCAGACAGTACGGAGACAGCAAAGGGCGAGGCGCGGCAGAGCATGTCGCAACCCTGGCGGCCCGTGCGCAGCAGACCTTCCGAAACGGGCGCAAAAGGGCCACGGTCCTCCTGGACCTCAGTACTGCTTTCGACCGCCTAGAGGCGAACAAGTTTGCCGCCGAGGCGCTCCGATCCCGCTTTGTACTCCCCCCGCAGCAGCGCGTCCAGTTTGTCCTGCTGGTCCGGTGGATGAGAAACTTCTGCCTCGATCGTTTCCGAGTAGTAGAATACGACGGCGGCAGAACGGAAGCCCATGCGGTCCGGCAAGGGGTGCCGCAGGGCACAGTCTGCGGCCCGACGATATGGTGTTTCTTTTTCAACGCAGTTGCCCGCTGTGTGGAAGACCTGGCGCCGGGGTTGGATGTGTTCCTGTACATGGACGACGTAGCCCTGTCCCTGGACTACATCGACCCAAAACAAGCCCAGGCGATCCTGCAGACCGCCTTGAACCGCATTGCTGCTTGGTGCTCCTCCTCCAACATGGAGCTTTCCCCCGGCAAGTGTTCGGTCATAATCCTCCAGCGAATGTACGTCGGGGAGACGCAGGAGTTGCCGCTGCACATCAACGGCGTTCCACTTCCATACGACGCTGCGCCGAAGTTTTTAGGCGTTTCGCTGGATAGGGAGATGAAGTTCACGACCCACGCACAAAAAACCGTCGCAAAAGCAAGACGCCGTATGGCCGCAGTGCGGGCATTGAGCAGGAACAGTTGGACGCGGGGGGCCGACATTCGGGTGATGTATCGGCTCTTCGTCGAGTCGCTCTTCCGCTACGGCTTGGGCACGTACTTCCCAGCGCTTCCACAGAAGGAAAAGGCCGAAATGGAGCAAATCCAGCAGCAGGCGGCGCGCCTGATCCTCGGGGCCCCGAGAACAGCAAACGGGGAGGCTGTGGTGTTTGAAGCAGGCCTGCAGTCTCTGAGCGACTTGACAACCGTGGAGGCAGCGGCCTTAGTCGGCCGAGCAATGTCGCGACCACAAGGAGACCCCCTGCGAACCGAGGTGGAAAGGGGCGCGCAAGTAGTCGATTGGGTGGATCGGGCGTTCGAGGCCATCACCGGGTCCGCTCTCCCAGGGGGGACAGAAGTACAGGTCGAGCACGGGGGCTGTCTGCCGCAGGACGGGATCAGCTCCGTGCATTGCGCGATCGAGGCCGGAAAGCTGCGCTTTGATCCCTATGGCGTCCCGGACGTCGAGCTGCGGCGCGCGACGCAGGCCGCGGACATCGCGATCTACACGGACGGCTCGGTGCGGGAATTTTGCTACTCCGCCGGCATCGTGGTAGACGGGGGCGAAAACCTCTACGAAGAGTACGCCTGGCCATGCGGCTGCTTTGGTGACTCCTTCGACGCGGAGCGACAGGCTTTGTTGGGTTCCTTCATGTTGATGCAGGACCGAAGCGAGTTTGCGGGGACGCGTGTCATCCTGGTGACCGACTCCCAGTCGAACCTGGAGGCCCTTTTGAATCCCCGCATACGCGATGAGTCCGATGTTGGTCTCTATAATGCACTGGCGGGAGCAGTCGAGAACGTCCAGCATTTGTGGCTGGTCTTTACGAAATCCCACCGGAACGTCGTCGCAGGGAACGAGGTGGCCGACAAGTTGGCCTCGCTAGTAACCAAGCACAGCAGCAACTTCAACGATACGGGCGCCCGCGTGACACATCGACAAGTGAAACAAGAAGTGCAGCGATCAGTCAAAAACGCAACCCGCAAGTGCCTCCAAGGGCGGGGGGAGAAAGCGCCAGACGCGGAGGGAGGTTCCAAAACCCTCAGCACCCTGCTAGGGGTGTCGGAATTCAAGAAGAACCCAGTGGATTCCGTCTGCGCTACACGGGAAGACGAGATCTTGTACAACTGCGCCCGCTTGGGTTTGGCCTGCTCGGATAGCACGGGACGGGACTACGCTTGTCCCTTCTGCAGTAGGAAGGGTGTTCGAGGAGAAGAGGCCTCCACCTGGCACCTCGTCGCGGGTTGCCCAGAGCTGGAGAGCCTTCGGATTCCGCCAGAGGATGCCTGCGAAGAAGTAAACGGACCGTTCGTGTGGGGTCCGCATTTGCTTCAAGACGACCCAGCCTGGGGGGTCGAGTACCTGGCCTGCGTCCGCGATCTCCTGAAGGAGCCGTACGAAGAAGAAGACTGCGGGGAGGACTGTGATGACGACGACGAGGCAGACGAGAGAAGCATTGCGGCGCCGGACGAAACTGCAGATGACGGGTGGCAAGGCGGCGGCGAACTCGAGCAGGACGCAGATCCGGAGATGTTGTGGGCAGCCGCAGGCGACTACGTCGGGGTGCCGGAGCGGGAGCGGAGCCATGCGGTCGTTGTCCCGGGGGGACGTTCGAGAGGCTGTTGGAGCCTCGCTGCCCTAACCGCAGCAGGAGAAGCACTTGGTTGGACGGGTCCGGGGATTCGTCGTCCAGGCTGCAGCGTCTCCGTGGGGAACCTCGTACACCTGCCGTCCACCAGCCGAACAGCGGATGTTGGTGTACGCGCGACCGACCTCGCGCAACAGCCCTGGAACAGCAGCCACGACCACAAATTCCGACTACAACTAGCAGCATCTGCAGCAGCGAGAAAGATCAGCGTTTGCAAAAAAGTAGCGCCAGGACGTCCCCCACCAACCCCGCGCACCCACACAGCCGGCCCAGAAGGGGGGTGGGGGCGTCCGGCACGCAGGAGGCTGGACACCTCCCCGCCGCCGAGCCGACCCATCCATTACGACCTCCACGCTCCTCTCCACGATCTATTCATCACGACCTGCCGCCTGTCGCCAGTTCCCGCCAACCCCACGTTCCTAACGGCCCCACCTCCGGAGCCCAGCAACAACCGCACGCAAGGGCGGGAAGCTGCTGGTGGAAGCTCGGCAACGGCAGTGATCTTACGACGGTATGGTGTCGATTTCGGGGGGAGCGTAGAGACGGCAGAAGCAAACCGAACCGGGACGCAGCAGCTACAGGACCAGCATACCGTGCTAAGAGCAAAGCAGCAGAAGGAGCCCCCCACGCGACTGCCGGGCGCCAACACCAACCAGTCCCGTTCCCCGGAGCCCCAGACCAGCCGCACACGAGCACAGGAAGCCGGACACGGAAGCCGGGGCGCGGGGAGTCGCGCGCGGGTGCGGTCCTGTCGCTTCGGCGCAACGGGAGTGCTCCTACGGCAGTATGGTGTTGA